CTGTCAACTACTCGTTTTGCCGGCTGCGCTGGCTGTTGGCGTATGACGTCACGCGGAAGCGTAACACCCGATGACTGTTTCATGCACTATTGGTTGCGGTTCCAGTACCAAAGCTGTGATGCGAGTGGTAAACCTTATACTAGTGCATGAAACAGTCATCGGGTGTTACGCTTCCGCGTGACGTCATGCGCCAACAGCCAGCGCAGCCGGCAAAAACGAGTAGTTGACAGCGATCGCTCTCTGTGCCTGTTAATCGACCGCCATTCATTGTACACAATTTTTTTTGTGCACAAACCAATAGCGGTCCTGGCCAATCCAGCAAGGTTGTCAAGTTAGCGGTTATTCCTCCTGTTTTCACTGCAATTGTAGGCTGAATCTTCATCGTGGATCGTTTTTTACTTCAAGGACCTGTGTAATGGTTATTCCAGGCAAGTTTGGGGTGAGTTGCAGTTGCAATGTGTAACGGGGACAAAATTGAACATTTTCCAATTTTTTTTTGCAAATACTACAAGTTTTGAGAAAAATGCGCTCCAGCCCTAATAGACAACCCAATGATGAAACTCAGGGCTGGGTAACTCCAGCTAGAAATCGCCATGTTTGCCAAAACTTTCCCTCAAAATAATATCGAAAACATGTAAAATTTGGGAGAACTCACCATGTTTGCGCCTCACAACAAGCTCAGTCGTCTCATCTCACAAGAAATCGTCTTTGCTCGTTTTGCTGCTACGATGCCTGCCGAGGTCACAAATCGGTCAGAAATGTACGCAAAAATGAGTCAGCCCTTGTGGCAAAACGTGACTCACGCCTAGTGTGCTACCGTTCAAGAATTCCCTCGCGAGGGTCAAGTGGTTCCCGTGGAGAGTGGTTGGTTGTCGTCGTCTTGTGCATGGGTACCAGTCAAGTTGTTGTGGAGGGGAGCGGTTATCGACATAATGAAGGGGGCTTTTTCAAGAGAAAGTTCCTTTCTGAAATTACCCTATGCTTGTTTCCCCCCGACTTATATTGGAACTTATATTTGATAATTAAATTTGAGATGTTTGCACCTGATTGACAAATTGGTTTGACCATGGAGCGATAAAAACGGTTTGATGATACACCCATAATAATTAATATACTAATGTTTACATATTAATTTATGTCATTAGATAAATAATTTAAAAAAAAAAAACAAGAAGAAAATTGAATTATGAAAATTACAAGGTTTTGTGTCTGTTAATGAGTGAACCCAAATATCATGTAAGGTTGATTTACATTATTTTTGTCATTGATATTTAGGGTGGTTTTATTTTTAGTTCGCCAGTGGAAGGGAAACGAAGTGTTATCGAGTGGGGGCGCTACGCACATTTCACGGTCTATGATCTGTGCATATAGGACCATTATTGTGCGATCACTTTCGTAAAGCATGCGTCTTATAGTGGTTTTATTTTTGTTTTGAACAATAAGAACCCCCCCCAAAAAAAAATGTTCACTGTGTATTAACTAACTGAATTATCAATGAAGTTTTACTACCCGCGAGCTTTGAATTACCATGGAGGATTCCTCCATGGAATTACTGAAGACCAATACCCCACAAAAACTGCCGAGAGAAAATATGTGGATAATCTGATAGTAATTTGCACTCGACAGTGGAATGTTTTGCATAATCTGGGATAACACAATGACATGCCTCCCCTTCCTACGCCGTGGCAAGGGTTCGATTCCTGCCCCCTGTTTTTGGATTGGGTTTTCAGTCTCGCTTGATCGATTCCGTGGGTTTTCCCCAGTATAGGCTTCTGGGGTTTTCCTCCCACTTCTAAAACCATAATTTCTTCTCATTGTCTTCTTCTTACAGTAACAGGTTTCTTCTTGCTTTTGAGCTACAGTGCCAACAGTACTTTTGAGGAATCCTTGGTTTCATTACCAGAAAGAAATACATAAATTTATAATAAATAAATAGTAAAAGCTGGAGAGTGAGAATTTGTTTCACTTGCTTTTTGTTTATTTTGGCAAAATATGTGCAATACGAAAAGAAAATTAGCTGCACTGTCTTGAATGTAACTAAAATACTTCAAATTTGAGCAAACCTTTCGAAATGTACACTTATATTACAAAATCATGATGGTCACACTAACACAGAACAAGGTACAAGACGAAAAGGCAAAAAACTCATGTATTGCATGAAACTCATTGCATAGATGATTTAAAAAATAATCTGCAAATATGTGCTCAATTGTAAACTTATTCTGCTAGATCAAATTTAAAATTAAGAAAAATTTGCAAAAATTAGCAGTCTTTATTCTCTGGTATTTCATTAGAAATAGCAAATTTATGATCAGAAAGACAGTTCATAACAAAAATGATATTCGTTCCATGCCAGCATCTGGCCTCAATGGGTTTTACTGCCTGTTGCTTTAATCTGACATAACACAAGAATTGTTATAAGTTGCACCCCCCGCCCCCCATTAGCCAGCAGCCGCTGACTAATTTTATAATACTAATTCGGCCGCTAAAATGTAAATGGAATGCTAAAGTTCATACATTTACTCTCAAATTCGGGCGATTCACAATGCAGTGCGCCACCAAGAGTTTGCCATGGAGAGTTCATTTTTTCCCATTGTAGTAGATTGTCGTCAAATTCGCAGCGCGGGACACTTGAAATTGTTCATTTTTCTGGTCAGTAGTTTTGCAAGCGTATGATTCGAGTATCTGTTTGCCCATTTCTTTGCTTTTTATCAATATGGTGTTTCTTTGCAAGGCGGCAGAACGCTATGCCCCAATCTATAACAAATTAGCTCAAGTTGTCTACTGACACTCATTCCAATGGGCCGTGTTTTGTCAGCCGTAAACTTGAAAAATGGACTCTCCATGGCAAACTCTTGATGGCGCACTGCATTGTGAATCGCCCAAATTGGTTTGGAATGACGGAGAAAGTGTTGTTCAGTACAAAACAAAAAAAACACTCTTCTTATTATTTGGTACTCCTTTGATTTTTGTTTAGCAACATTAATTTACTAACCATTTTTCCCCTAATCAGTTTCATGACATTTTGGCCACTTAAGTGCCTGACTGCCGGTACATCTTGAGAAAATAAGCAAAATGGAATGTTTCGAAGGCTGTCAGCTCGAGAGTAACACTCAAGTAATTTTTGTAAAAACAAACCCCCCCCCCCCAAAAAAAAAAAACACAGGAAAACAAAATAAATGGCAGAAAAAGCCCGAAACTTCACACATCTATGCTGAGAGGTTGATTGGGAAAATCTTTCACAAAACCTTTGAATTGTTCCAAGCTTCAAATATTTAGTTTAAGATATTTCCAATCTTCACGCCAAACACTCCATTATCTGTCATGATTCACACACATTCAACAAATGAAAGACCCTTACGTGGCTCTGAAGTTACTGGAACTTAAATTTCAACGATAGCTTTTTTTTTTGGTCCTAGCCCTGTGGCTGTGATAATACCCTTTATAGCCAAATATTTTGAGAGTTTATGTGCGCTATTTAATTCTGTACAGAGTCCAAAATTGTCTTGATGTCAAAATGGTACCGCGAGATTCAAAGTGAGAAATGAATGCTGATTGTACATACACATTAAGCACTGTGTATTACCCTACTGATGATCATAATCTACAATCCCGGCCAAAAAGGTTGGGACACTTCCTGAGCCTGCCACGGTCACCCACTCCCCCGCTCAATGTTGTTCTCTCCAGCTGACGGAACACACACCGGGCAATGAGAGACAACATTGAACGGGGCCGGGGGGTTGGGGGCCCAGCGATATTTGGCCAGGATTGTAGCAATGACAATGTTCTTAAATAAGTCATTACGAGTAATGCACCAATTACCAAAATTCTGCCCCGTTTTTCCTACCTTTGCACACAGTAAGTGAATAATATGCACACAGGTCATTCTATCAATTCAGGGTCCAAAGTGTGACAATTTTCCTGTCCCTGTTACCTTGGTACTTTGTAATTTGCCATTCAAGTATCATTAACCCTAGCCGAACTCAACCCATGAAAGTTCAACAACAGGTTTTGTTTAAATCTGTTGGGATAGGTACAGTACCCCTAAACTGATGGTCTTTTACACTGGGGTTGGCATACCTCCAGAAACTAAGTCCAACAGCGCGTGTGTACAATTTCCCACGTGGGTGTTGGAATTTGCCAGAATGGGTATGGTTCCTAGTAAATTAGGCTGGGGAGTTAGGGTTAACCCTAACCCTGCCAGACGCATCACAGTGCATCAGGTGGAAAAGTCTGGTGCACTTTGATTGAAAATGATACCAACACCAGCACATAAACCGGCCACTTCTGAGGCACTGAGAGCTAGTCCCATAGAACAATGCCACAGTTGTATCCTGCTGAGTTTGGGGACCACAGACTCTGAGGCAGTTTGGCCTTGAGACTTTTGGCCTGATGGATCTTGCTACAATGGGCAGGCTTGTCATTTTTTGACAAGTGTTGCATGTTGCTGCGTTTGGCAGGGTTTCAAGCCAATATATCCTGGAGGGTTAGGGTTAAGGAGTGCATCAGAAAACATAGATGTCAGATGTAACAGGGACAGGAAAAAAGTGGACCCCCCAATTTATATTATGACCCACACATCCAAAAAACAGAACTTTGTGATCCAGTAATGTGTACACTAAAATACATGCCGGGAGTGTACATGTTTCACCATTTGCAGTAAACTTCTGCTTCATGACAGATGTCAAACATGGGTGGGAATCGAACCCGCAACTCGCTGCTCCTTTGTACAAAGACAGGCATCCATTTTGATCAATTTCTTTGTGCCTTGATGTGAAAGATCATAGTTCCATCTTGTAGGGCAGGATTTATCACAGTAAACTTGGTGCTTTTTTTTATAGTACCTGTGTACCGCGGTAGGGAATCGAACCCACTACTAGCTGCTCCTGTTGTCAAAAGTCCCACATCTGTTACTACATTGTAGCTCCAGTGTTGAAGGTCTTTTTTTGTTGGTCTCTTCACCTTGATATGGAAGGGTCAAAGGTCACAGTGCCATCTTGTAGCCTTTGATGAATGGCAACTCGAGTGGGAATCGAACCACTGTTTGCTGCTCCTTTTGTCAAAAGTCCCACATCCGTTACAAGCCCCGATGTCAAAGGTCTTTTTTGTCGTCCTCTGCACCTGGACGTGAAGGGGCTGAGGGTCATAGCTCCATCTTGTACCCTGTGATGAACGGCAGCTTGGTGCCAACGCGCTGCTGGTAGTTCAAGTACTCCTCGCCGAAGAAATTCAGCAGCGTGATCTCCTCGTCCACCACCCGCTCGTTGAAGAACCTCCAGGATGTTACTGTGTACGCGATGAAGCAGAAAGGGTTGCACAAAATGATCTGCCAAGAAGAAAACCAAAAATATTTACAAAAAGATCATGAGCAATGCCATAAGGCCAAAAAAAAAAATAGTTCTGCTTCCGATTACATGCCTTTCAAAAATAGGGTCGGTCGGTCGGAATTTTTTTTTTTTTATTGCCAATTTTTTTATGCAGATTGAATGGGGTATTCAATTATATGCGAAGTTTTAGCCTGAACTATTTCCATTGCACTATGAAAGCTATAAACGAAATGGCAACAAAAAGTGAATAAAACCTACCTTTAATTATTGTCAATATATTTACGTTCGATAATTTTAAAAAAAATGGAAAATTCAGGTCGTTCGCACCATATGCACAATGCTAGTCAAGACGCGGGGAACTGGCCAAAACTCCGAGGTGTGTGATGCGTGCGTGTGTGGTGAGTGGCCCACCATGGGCCGACAGACCTGTTTTTACGGTCAAAAATTTCGGACAACACGCGGCATGTATCACTCGAAATACGAGTAGTGCGATCTCAAAATGAACTCTTGAACACAGAAAATACATACACAGACAAGCTAGATCAATTCTGTAAATTAACTTGCAAAAATGTTCTTTCTCCATCGGTGTTTTCTTGGCATTTTTACGATGTCGAATCCGACCAGTTGACAGTGGCCTGCACTGCTAGCGCGCTATCGGTCGCATAGCTGTGGACTGGTTACCGCATTTTCATCATGTCTTCTAAATTGGCCCCTGCGCTGCGCGGCGGGAACCAGTCGTCGCCACGTGATTATAGCCACCGTGACATCGAATTGCGAAGTAGTTATATCGCGAAGCAAATTTGTAAAAATAACGGAGGTTTCTTTTGAAAAAAAGCGAATGTAAGTAAGAAAACAAATAAATACGAGCATTTTTTGATGCAAAAGGGTTGTTGAGAGGTATTTTGTGAAGAAAGAAAGACAACAAGATTTTATTTTTATTTATTCAATATTTTTTTTTTTTTTTTTTTTTTGGAATTGCCGATAAAAGTTTTAGGGTCGCAGCCTAAAAATAGGGTCGGTTGGGTAACCGGAAGCAGAACTATTCTTTTTTTTGGCCTAATCACACAGAACAGTCAGCACACCTCTGGAGATAATTTGATAGAGAGAGAGAGAGAGAGGGGGGGGGGGGTTCAGAATTGGGCCAACAGTGCTCATACCTTCTTTTATAAGTTCTCTTGTTTTGGCTGTGGATTTCAAAAGCGTTGCACAAAAATGATTTTTAGGACAGACTGTGGCACCTCCCTTATGAACAAACTCTCTAACCAAGATAGGACTCCTCAATTCCTACTATCTGTCGGAATTTAAAAGGGCACAATCCAATGAACCCTGAATTTGATTAACTACCTCAAATTTATGTGTAATCTGTATTTTCTTAAAGTGGAACATAGAAATTAACTGAAGAGGGGTTTGAATCTGCGACCTCCCAATTGCTGTTTCAGTGCTCTACTAACTGAGCTATCCAGCCCTATGTTGGCTGTTTCCCATGTAGTCAATGTCTTTGTTCAAGGGTGGTACTCAGATGCCATAAACCTGTATATGTACAAAGTAGCCAGGGATCACGCCCGAAGTCACGATGCTAGCAACATTAGCAATGCTGTAACCCTGGGATTAGTTTCATTAAGTATTATCTGTGGAAACATATAAAGGCCCAATCCAATGAACCATATCGTCGCATCAGTGCAACAAGGTCGAAACTCGGCAAATATGCTCCGTGCAACAAGGTTGTATCTCCTGTATTGCGACGTCCACTGACTTTGTGTGTACATCCGGGTTATTTTAAGCGAGATACAACCTTTTGACATTGAAAACTCGCGTTTCACGTACATGACGTCACACGCCATTTTAGAAGATACGACCTTGTTGCAAGAACATGACGACATATTCAATTAACTAACTCAGATTCACTGACTGGTTCAGGACAGCAGAGCCCAACCATTATTATAGTTTACAGAAGTTGAAGTCCAAAATTAAGTCAAAGTCATATTCCTTTTTTTTGGTCAAAGCACAGAGTTGGGCTTCTGCAAAGGAATGCAGTCGAGTCCGTCGAGTCCATTACAAGTCCCTGCAAGTCCATCACAAGTCCTCCAGTCCCAATTCAACTCACAAGCTATTCAAATGAGCTTTGACAAAGGCATTCCCTTGTCATTGTTCATCCACTGTTACTTGTGATTGGACTTGTAAACTGACTTGTGATTTACTTGAGACTGGACTTGTGATGGACTCGACTACATCCCTGGCTTCAGTAGGCTAGCAAGTGAATTTGAGAAAAAAACACAAAATCAAAGGCTGCATCCAACAAACCTGCGTTCCTAAACTCCAGTAGAACCAGCCCACGTAGGAGGGATGCCTAGACCAGCCGTACACGCCGTGGGTGACCAGGATGTGATCTCTGGCCCGGGTGGTCTGGATGTAGTGGTTGAAGCTCCTGCCCGCAGTCAGCATGGAGACCTTCCTCAGGACCTCGCCCCCCATGCAAAGCAAGAGACCTAGCAAGCTGACGTACCAAAACTGCTTGAAGTCTGATGAATGGAAGAAGAACAAATATTTTCTTTCCATTTCAACTCTACATGGGAGGTATTGCCTGTCGGGTTCTTAAGTGTGACATCACTTCAACTTAAAGGTATAGTCCATCATTTGTAATTTGTGCATTTTGTTCATTTGAAGCAACAAAAGTGCTCAAAATCTAAAGAAGGGTGCTGAACAAATAACCTGTTGAAGTTTCAGCTCAGTTTCAGCTGTATATTTCGAGAAAAACAACATTCTAGGATCTCGATTTCAAATCAAAAGTTGCTGAATCATGTTTTGAATTGGGCCTGAATTTAGCGTCCGAGACACGTTCTCACTAGCTGATTGCAGCTACGCGATGTCGCGCACTGATCCGACGAATTGTAGCAACCACAGGCGCGCGTGTGCTTGGTGTCAACGCTTGCGCGTGTTTCGTTGAATAAAAAAACGAACTACTAACGGAAATTTCCAACGGTGCTCCTTAAGACGCACCGTTGGAAAGGCCTTCTTTTGTTGATTTCTTCAAAATGACAGCTTTCATGAAAGAATAATATCACAGGGAGTTTAGTCCCCTTACTATCTTTCAACCAAGTATGTTTTTCAACAATAATTACACCCGTTACTTTTGGATAGCTGCAAATGGTGGACTCTGGCTTTAAACCAGGTCCACTGCACGCGGAGTAACATTGGAACCATTGGAACTGGTTCAAAGTGGCGTGTTTAGCCAATGGGCGCTTGTAATCAGCGGTGCGTGGGCGTGTATGACACCGTCACTGGAAAGAGTTCCATACCTGGACATCACTTGACACCCTGCGCACAAACCCTATGAAACTGGTCTGAAAAATTCCAAGTGTTTTCTCAGTAAATGCTTTAATATTTTCCCTGCTAAATTTGACTTTTTAGGACATGTTTATCGCTTTCTGATGGCTGATAGGTCACTGCAGGGAAAAATTAGTGATGTCCATGTATGGGATGCTTCCCCACTCACTTATAAACCAATTTATAATCATTTTGGAATGGCGGTAGAAGGGTGCATTTGCATATCGTTAAAGTTATCATAGCTTTCCCAGACGAAATTATTTGTGGGTCATTCCATTACTTTGGGGTCTAATGTTTTTCGTGTCCCTGTTACATCTGATGTAAGATTTTGCAAATCGAGGACATATTCTTTAACCCTAACCCTCCTCAATCCTCCAAAATCCTCATTGCAGTTTTTGAGGATTTTTGAGGATTGAGGATGAATGGCAGAAAGTGCCAGTTGATTTTGGAGGATGCAATGGGTCGAGGTCGTAGGCTGTACCCAGCATTCCTTATGTTCAGCCATGCATAATGGAACCCTGCATTATGCTCGATATCATCCGCACTGCTTCTAAATGTCATCGGTACTGACTCGACCCATAGCAGTGAATGGAGGAGGGTTTTGGAGGATTGAGGCAATGGTCACCCCTCCACTGTACAAATTCAAGAAATAACGGATGATTTTGGAGGATTGAGGATGAATCCATTTGTTTACATGGTGGCAATTGGAGGATTTTGCAGGATTGAGGCTGGTTCCTAGCCAAAAGGGCCTAGGGGGTCAGGGTTAATGCCTTCTATTTCCGAGAGTGATTATGTAAAGCAAAAGACCTGCCAAACAAATTTTTAAAAAATAGTTTGAAGTCAATATTAATGATACTTGCATGGCAAATTACACAGGTTAGGTGTAACAGAGCCACACAAAAAACGGTTGCACTTTGGACATTTATGGAGTATAGAGTCACGTAGCAATAAGCCACAAAAGTGCACATTTCTAGTTGCTATATGAAGCACTTTGGTTGGGGAACTAAAATAAAATCTCCTAACCCTAACCTTCCCATATTTTCCAAAATCCTCTTTGCAAAATGGAAGATTTTGCAGGGTTGAGGCTACATGGCAAAAATGTGTGGCTGATTTTGGAGGATGCACTGTGCGTCAAGGTCTTGGGCCGGACCTTGTGTTGCTTATGCTCTGCCGAGCATAATTTAGGCCTAGATTATACTTGACATCCTCCGCACTGCTCCAGGGAGTCACTAGCTCTGCCTCAACATATTAACAGTGATTGCTGGAGGATTTTGCAGGATTGAGGCAGTGGTCCACCTTTTAAGGACCACATTCAAGAAATAATACAGGATTTTGCAGGTCTGAGGTTGAATCCTAGGAAAAATGCCTAGGGACTTCGGGTTAACAACAAAAAAATTATTGAAAACCTACCTGGGAAAAAATACAGCTCCACAAAGAACTCGCACCAGCTGCAGGCAGCAGCAAGCGCGTAAGCCACGCTGTGATTGAGGAGGAAAGAGTCCACCGACAGACTCTCGTAGTTGTAGATCGATGTGGAAAAGTACTCAGAGAAGTGGAAAAAGCCGAGGACGCACAGGTACCAGCCAAAGACTGCGACTGCTTGATGAAGAAACGAGATGGACAGGCCGATCCCAAAGACTATCCCAATGAAGCAGGCCTGAGTGGCAATCTGTGGGTAGATTTGTAACAGAAATATCACAAAATCATGACATCAGCTTTAAAATATTTGTTTGAAATATCCTTAGCTGTCAAAGACTTGATTTGTCTGACATGCTGTGTGAGCAGGGAAAAGAGTACCGTTATTGGGAAGGTTTTTTTCCATTTTCAAAATATACTTTATTTTAAAATGTTTGCAAAATGTGGCAAGAAAAAGGATGAGGTCTGCAGTTTGGCCTACAATAACAAACAAAAAAGGCAGGGAGATTTACCATATAAACACACAATATAAAATCTTTTTGCCTTTGCCCTTATCAATTTCATCACTTTTACATAACATGCCACCTTGTTCACTTGGCAAAAAGAAAAAAAAAAGAAGTGGAAGTTGCTAGACGTAGACTGAACACGTATTGAAATGAACTCATGATGACTTGGAAGAGCCAACTTTTTTTATTGACATGTGAGCAACAGCCTCGCAAACAAAACTGAAGATAGCGCATATTCATGAAAGACAAGACACAAGTGCTTGTTTGACAAAGAAATGAAGGTTATGATTTGCTTTTATCATCAAAGACATCATGTCTTTTCATCATGGTGGTAAGGCAAAATTGCAATTTAACTTGTGCTCGGGAAAGAATGTAGTATCCAGACCTCACTTCAGCAGTCGTGTACAAAGACTGAAGAGTATGGCATGTATGGAGAGTCAAGAAATTGGACATGTTGGAAATGTTTCCCAATCCCAAATTCATGTCTTTTCAACATTTTTGCAATGACTGACCTTACTGAGATAATATAAAATCATGTATGAAGAAAAAATTGGCACCAGGTTGCAACATTGTTTTACAGTAATTGATATACATTGATGCATAAAACAGTAAACAACAATCAAACAAAACCAGCAGCATTTGATTGAAAAAAATATCAGACACCAGTGTCTGGTTCCGAGTATTCTTCACACAATGTATGGTAGGCGCATTGAACAGGGTACCTGTCTGTAGTACTTCCGCCGATGGAGCACATACAAAACTGCAAAATTTACAGTTACGTACGCTCCGCAAATCACGAACAAATAGTTATATAGTACATCTGCCACTGCTGGATCCGATACTCTAACTAATTTGTGCAATAATGGCACGATTACGATGCCTGCACCTTGCAAAAACCAACGTAAACTTAACCACCCCTCAGACGGAAGCGCCATTTTGAGTTATCCTCGTCCGGTCCCAATAATTTTGCGTAATTAATATCTAGTTTTTAACCAGGAGTTATTAACTTTGAGTAGTTGTGTAGAGATCTAGTTGTACTTTTTAAAATCATGCTATTATTTCTCAATTGATTATGTCGTGAAAATAAAATAGGGCTTAATAAAAAAAACTTACAAATTGTGTAGGACACGAGAGGGCGCACTCTGTGTGCCATGTGAGCGCAAAGTCAAGTAGCAGGGGATCTGGATTCTGGAACTGGAAGTTCAGTGATTTTATCTAGCCTAGTTAGTTGAATATTTTTTCTGCCATTTTATACTAATTAATGCTGAAATGGTTTACCTCAGTACAGTCAGATTAATTCGGGCTAGAGGTCCACCCAAATATTGGAAAAAGAAGTTTGTTTTCGACCAGACAAGTGTAAGTTAAATATAGATAAGGCAAAATAAAAAAAAAAACATGTTTAGCGTCCTGCCTCTTTGACAAAAAGGAAGGAGGAGGCCCTTTTTTTTTTTTTTTTCTTTTCAAAATGGCCGCCCGACACATTTTTCAAGACAACGGGGCCGGGCTATTTTTCAAGATGGTTACCAGCTTTTTTCAACATGGACTCATTGACTATTTCCACAGCTTTATACACGGTATAAAAGTCTAAAAATATGATTTCTTTCGTCAGAGATTGTTAAAATTTATCAATTTTTGTCTTTTAAAAAAAAAAAAAAAAAAGAAAAAAGGAGGCGGCCTCTAAAAAGGAAGCGGGCGGGGACGCTAAACATGTTTTTTTTTTTACTTCGCCTAATACTTTTTTTTTACGAAGTGGCTATCGTTACGGCAGTCGTTGTTTAGCGCCCTCTACGATACTTTTTTGATACGCACGCAGGTATATAATTATTTGTTTCCCCACGTTTTAGCGAGCAGTGCGACAGCTCAGTCGATAGAGGGTAGGATTTTGCACCGCGAGGTTGCGAGTTCGAATTTCAGTTTTGCACTCGAATTTTTTTCCTTTTCTAACCTGAGGTTTTGGAGGATTTTTTTTAAAAGGGAAATAAAGTCCGAATTTTATAACGTTCAAATTCACTTTTTTCCTTCTAATTTTGTATTTTCTTGTCATGTTTTTATAAAAGTTGCAGTCTACCGTAACGATAGAAAATGGGAAATGCGTTACGGCTGCCGTAACAATAGCCACTGCGTTTTTTTTAATAGATTCATTCAATTTCAAAATAAATTTGATCTGCATCATCACATCAGTGCATGTTTGTGTTCCTTCCTCCATATTCCTATCGATTGTTATCCTTGATATGCCATAATCATAGTCTGTACTATCAGCATTAAATTAAAGGAAAAAAATGTTGCAACCTGACGCCACTTCAGTGTTCAGCGACTGTGTACAAAGTCTATGGACAATGATGGAGAGTCAAGAAAATTGTCTTAAGTTACTCTGTACTCTAGTCAGACTCAGAGTAAACTTGGACCCAACTTATCGCCTTTTAACATTCGGACATGGTGTGGCAATCGATGTTTTATTTTTGCTAATATTTGGTATTGTTCAATCCAATGTCTTGAATGTATTTGAATCTCAGCATTTCTTCGGTCGGCGACGGAACTGCTACAGTATTGCTATTCGTGCGCTTCACAAAGCATGGAGGAGTGCATACATTGGGAGAAAGATCAAGAAAAGGGAAATAAGAAGGGTGAGATGCCTGTTGATACATTCCAACTATAGCAGCTGCCCCAACTACAGTTGTGAGAAGTCCTAACTATGATTCTCCAAGTATAATGGGCGTGGACATCCTTTGCCTTTTGTGAATTTTAAAGAATGTTGGCGGGATTGGGCTACATTTGCCTGTAGTTTACCGTGTCGTGAAGTATCTTATCCAATTCTGTTTCAGCTATGGATTCAGCGAATCAGCTCTGGAGTGATGGAGCATGGTATGAGATACAGTCCTTTCATTGGCAATCTAACGAAGGTAAAAAAATGTATGCAGTAAATGTTAATCAGTGCTTTGCAAAATAATATAAATGGAAAGTTGAAAGGTCAAAACAGGCAGTGGATATTTGGGGCCGTATCATAAGTCCGACGCCTCATAGGTCCGACGCCTCGGACTTATGAGGCGTCGGACTTATGAGGCATAACATTTATTTATTCCGCCTCATAGGTACGACACCTCATAAGTCCGACGTCGGAAAAACGAGGCGTTTAATATGTCGGACTTACGAGGCGTCGGACCTATGAGGCGTCAGACCTATGAGGCGTCAGACTTATGAGGCATCGGACCTATGAGGCGTCGGACTTATGGGCCTTTATTTGGTTAGGGGATGCGATTTTGTCGGACTTATGAGGCGTCGGACCTATGTGGCGTCGGACTTATGAGCGGACCCCGGATATGTGGCCAGCATCAGCGATCAAAGACGACCTCTGGCAAAGTAGCGTTTACTAAAAGCAAGTCGGCGCAGTAAATATCAGCCAATCAGAGAAAGCCTCCGTGAAAGTGACGTTTATTAAAAAGAAACCCGGCGCCGGGGAAATGATATTTGCGCAGATTCGTCGATTAATTATGCAAAACAAGACTGCGTCTTGACCTCAAGATTCTGACCATTCAGCGGGCGCCTTCTATCGGTTTCTGCAAAAGTCATTGTGTTAGGCCAAAAGAAAAAATAGTCTCTGGTCAGCGCGCGCGTCGATTTTAATCATGCACGTCAACCTTTTTTTTCCAAAATGTTCCGCGGTAGCTCCAACAGCGCCCTCTATTGCCGCACCTCCTCAATTTTTTTTTACCAAAGAGCACCAAGGAATGGGAAATTGCACCGAGGCAAATGATTGAGGGCACCAAGGCAAATTATGGAGGACACCAATGTACATGAGGACACCAAAAAAAGCAAAATAGTATCATTTGTCTGTACAATCCAAGCTTGAAAAAAAAAAAAAAAAGCCGCGTCGCCGCATCAATTCCGGAACTTTGGTCTGACCAGAGACCAAGTTTTTATTTTTTTTGGCCTTACAAAAACATACATGAAGCAGCCAAATTGACCAATCAACATTTTAGTCCACATTTCTGAATAAAATGACGTCACATTTTTCAAAGTCGACTCCAATTGGCTGGAACGCGAGTCGCATAAAATTTGCTTGCTAGGATTTATCTGACGTTGGTAGTGTGGCTCTGCAATATCTGATCCTCAGACTTGGAAATATCCACAGCCATAAAAGAACCAAAAAAAATTAACTGGCATGTACTACTGGCATGAGTAATAACAACTTCTTAATTTGAAATCTTTCCATCATTTCATGTAATGGATGATGTTGTTTTTGTTTTTGGGCTTAACAGTACAACATACAACTAGACCGAAAGATGCTGGCCAACCTCGCAATTACAGAACCTAAGACATTCAAGGTAAGAAAGTTTAACCCTAACCATCCCAAATCCTCCAAAACCTTTTTTTGCAAATTGGAGGAATTTGCAGGATTGAGGGTACATGGCAAAGGTGCATTACTGATTTCGGAGGACGCACTGTGTCAAAGTCTTGGGCCGGACCTTGTGTTGTTAATGCTCAGCCATGCTTAAATTTAGTCCTTGATTATACTTGAAATCCTCCGCACTGCTCCAAGATGTCACTGCCTCTGCCTCAGCATATTGACAGTCATAGCCGGAGGATTTTGCAGGATTGAGGCAAAGGTCACCCCTCCACGGACCACATTCAAGAAATAATGGAAGAATTTACAGGATTGAGGCTATATGCTATTTTTCCATGAGGCCAATTGGAGGATTTTGCAAGATTGAGGCTACATCCTAGCAAAAAGGCCTAGGGAGTTAGGGTTAAAGAAAAAAAATGGATAACTCTAAATTCTCTGGAGGATCTAGAGGACCTTCCATTCAGTTAGACCACCTTTGGGGTGAGAATAAAATGATCTGAATTCAGAGTAACCCTAATCAGGATTCAAATGTTAATATGATTAAAAAAAAAAAGCTCTTTATGTTTTCCATGTCTCGTGTGGGTTTTCTCGCAGTGTCTGGCCGAGCTCGCCAAGACCAAGCACGAAGAGGGTCTACTGGCCGCAGTCCAAGCCTACCCAGACAGGGTGCTGCTGAGGCAGACCTCCCAGGACGACCTGCTGGAGTCCGTCAAGAAACTCAGGCTGAGCACCGAGGAGAAGACATCCAGCTCCAACCAATTGACATGACGAACTCAAAAATAGATTCACTTGTACATATTAATACTCCGTTTTGTATTTTAAGAAGTGCTGTATTAGGTGTATGAAAGCGAAATTTGAAACTAACAACCATTATGAACTTGAAGACTGTCGGGTGTGGTTGCAATTAAAAGGATGATTCTTGCATGATTTTTTTTACCAGGTTCCCATGTTGCACATCCCATAGGTTGATTCTTTCTGGTTTTTTTCAAATTAAATCAGAAGATCAATAAAGATGACTGTTTTTAAATCAATGCTACACATCCCCTTTCCCCTTTTAAACGAGTTGTGAAATGTGAACGAGACAAGACATCTGGTTTAAGAAACCTCCATCATTGTCCATTGTCAAATGAGGTCCAGCCCCCCCCCCCTTTCAATTTACTAAGGCCTTCCCTCCCCCCCCCCCTTTCATTTTACAAAGGCGGGCTTTTTACTGTTGGCTTAATGATATTAACATTAGAATGAAAGTATATTTCATTTAATGATTTCTTTACAACAATATGGTTGGACTGTGCACAGTAGCAGAGCTACTTTTAATGGATGTAGAACCCTTTCCACTTTTTTCTTTCATTGATTCTTGCATTAATTTTTTTCCAGATCTATATGCACTTATGGGTTTTGTGCATTGAATGTGAACTTGACTCACCCCACTCCAGCAGTTGTGGATTGTGTGTGCAAATAAAAGAATTCTTCTTTTGTTTTGCAGCCATATTCTTTGGATTGTGTCATAGCATTTTTTCTATTCTATTCTTACCAACAAATATGTTGTCATAAGGGGGGAAAACATGAACTATATGTTTAAAACTTAGTGATATTTGAAAACTTGCTCTACTGATGATTGAATTAAAATACAGTATAAACTCTGTTAATACACAATTCCGGTTATAACAAACATAAAGCCTTGGTCCCAACTGTGCATTTATGTGCACAATGAATGGGACCGATGTTCCTCTTAATACAAAATTCTGATATAACAAACAATTTGACTAGGTCAGTACGAGTTTGTTATAACGAGACTCGACTGTACAAGTTATGCATGGAAAATCCAGTACAAAGGGTGGCTGCTTCTTGAGACACAAGTACAGTCGAACCCCGATAAGAAGAGCACTGTTAATACAAGGTACTGCTTATAACAAGCACAATTGTAGGTCTCAAGTCTTTGTTTTCCTTTGCTTTTCATAACTGTTAATACAAGGTACCTGTTATAACAAGGTAATTCGTGAAGTCCCAAAGACCTCTTTATAAAGGTGTTTGACTGTATCAGCAAAAGAGTTGAGAAAATGGAAGAATCGCCACGCCAATCTTTTTTTTGGGTGGGGGGGGGGAGGGAGTGGCATGGCTGGCTTGTGTGTAAAGCGCTCGCCTCTCACCAAGGTGAACACGGTTTGAATCCTGGCCGCGGATCACATGTGAGTAGAGTTTTCCTCCCTCTGGAAAAATCAAACACTTTCGATCTCAGGCTGTGCTCCGTGGTCATATATGGGTCGATGTGGCCGGCAGCCATAGGAGCCTTTACGTGCCAGCGGCCTGACCAGCCGCGTTCTTCGCAATTCAGCATCCCAGCTGCGAGTAAGGATGATTAGCCTCCCAAATTATTATTATTAGGGTATCCTCTTTTTTTCTTTCTTTTTTTCTCAAAAAGTCCAGATGCTAAACTGTTATGTCATACTAGGCCTTATTGTACAGCCCATGCTTGATTAACAGTACAATAGCTGTTTCTCTGTCCTTTTATAACAACATTCCTGTTATAAAGAGGTAATTTGGCTAGTCCCATCGACCTTGTTATAATGAGAGTCGACTGTACAATGCTATTGCCATTGCAGGGGTCCAGTGTCTGTATGAAATGGCAAAACATTTACATAACATGTGTAGCACATGAACAAACACTCGTGAAAATGGACATTCAGGTTTTCTTCTGTTTGTTTTTTTTATTGAAATACGTTTGGACACTTAGTCTGTCGTAAGTATTAACATAATAATATGAGTTTTATACAAAGTACATTTTTTGTTCAACTTCTGGACAATGTTTTGTACAACGTACGCATTGTACAATTTGTCGGCATCGTTATGTACACTTAAATAGTTACAATGAGCAATCTTCTCAGTAGTCAATAACCTACAATATACCTGCCTTTATGTGGCATGCTGCCCTCTGCAGAAACCAAAACAGTGGATTTCCCTGATACATCATTCCTGCCTCTGGACCAAAATTACAATAACAATTTAAAATTCAAAGTTAACTCCCCTAGAAAAGTTGTCTTTATCAAATGTAATCCAGCACCAGAAGAAAGTGTGGACTATTAAAGTCAACAAAAAAGAAACACCCCACATTTATGGATTGAAACATCCCCACCCAAGCACCCTACATTCTTAGAAAGTACAAACATTTCAGGATTTTTACGACATTCGTACACTCTCTTTACATTTTACCATCATTCTTTTCTCATCAGCCTTATCTTTGATAGTGAAAAAAAAAATGATATACGTGTATCATATGTGAAACAAATAATATGAAAACAGATTTAATAGTCTTGTTTTGTTTTTTTAAATTAGCACTTAAGTCACAACCTGTGAGTGCCTGTTTTTACAAAGGAAGTGGCCCTGTGATACAAAAACATTTAACACCCAAAGAGAATAAAGCAATAGTGTCACTTAAGACAAAAGAGAGTAGGAAATTACTAGATTTGTTTTGCAGAGAAAAAAAAACTTAACCCACTTTGTCATATTTAACTTATCGACAAATACATGGACAATTGTACTAGGGAAAGAAATTGATGAATTCTCTTCTTTACTGTGCTCAAATGAATTGAAATAATGATGAACTTTTCCTTTCTTTTCAGTATTCTGTCTAATCTCGATGCCCTCTCAAAAAACAACCAACAAGGAAAACAAATTAATAGGAAAACACCAAAACACCAGGTTTTAAGTGGTTTTTCCAAAGCTCTTAATTTGCCGCACCCCCCCCCTAAAAAAAAAAATTACAAAAATGTTTTCTGTCTTGAAAACTACAAATGAGGTTACTTTGTCAAAAATGTATTCCTACAATGCGCAAGGTAGTTCAGGATCTGCAATACTTCAAAACATCCTGTATGAAATATTTGATACTTGTGGCAATCAAAGAACAACATGAAAATAACAGGAGGATCTTCCTCACAAAGCAAAAACCAAAAAAAAACCATTTTGTAATGATTCACACTTTCATTAACTTCTGAGGGACAAAGTTAAACTGACCACAATTGGGGTTTGAAACATAAAATATCTAAAATACACGTAATGACATATTGAGGCACTTCATGAGTGACCACACCCATCATCACCTGCGTCTCCTGTCTCTGGATCTGCTGTGCCCACCGGAGTCTCTCTTCCCTCCTTTTCGAGAACGCTCTCTGGAATGTGATCGCTGTCGCCGGTGCTTCTCCTTGGACTTGCCTCCCGAGTCCCTACCAGGACTGTCCTTGTAATCGTACTTCTCCCTGCGGATCGGCGACCGGCTACGCGAGCGGCTCCTGCTGTCGCGGGACGACGACCGGCTGTGCTTGCGCTTGCGGGATCGGGACTTGCTGCTCTTGGCGTACTTGCGGTCGCGCTCCCTCGCGTGCTCTCGCTCCCGCTCCCGGTCGCGCCGGCTCCGCTTGTGGTCGTCCTTCTTCTTGTGTTTGCCCGCGTGGCTGCTGCTGTAGTGTTTGTCGTTGTGGGACGGGGAGTGGCTGGGGCTACGGCTGCTGCTGCGGCTGTGGGAGGAGTGGGACCTGCTGCGGCCACGCCCTCCCCGCCGCGGACTCTTTGAGTGGCTGCGACTGTTGGAGGCGCTGGTCTTGGAGCGGCGGGCCACTTTGCCATTGCGTTCTTTATGGCTGGAATACAAAAAAATGAAGATGTAAAAAATATGATGCAGGAATATTTCCTAAGTGTTTGAGACACAAAGAGATGAGCCCTATAAGAGATGAAAGGAATGAGTTCAGTTTCAAGGAACTTTTATTCCCTTGACGGGTGCGGAAGTCGTTTAATGCTTATAGCGTTTATGGTGGAGGGATCAGGGCAAGGGAGGCAGAGTCAGAGATTTGAAGGCATTTTATTTGCTGTTTAGTTTGACTGAAAGAGACTGGCGCCTTACCTGCTTTGAGCACTGCCTCCAGACGCTGGCTCCTCCTTCACCCGGTAGGGATTGTAGGAACTAGGAAGGCCTGGTGAGTCTGCGTTGACTTTAGGAGATGCTGCGTCAAAAACAATTTAAAGACAAGAAATTTCTATCACTATCGAGACAATTTCTGGAAACGGTGTCACATCTGCATATCAACGGAAAAACCAAATCTCTTTTAGAACCAGGAGAAACTTTTTTCCTGTACCACGTTTTTACTTTGAAATGCACAGCATCAACATAAGTATGTCGGTTCTATCACAGATCTTGAATAGTCACAAGAAATAATTTAATAACTTTGAGAACGGCCAGAGCCGTATATTTAGAGATAGTTGCGACATGAGGAGTACCCATTTCGAACGCCACCCTTGGTCCGAGAAAGGGAAAAATTCTGCCATGCGATTTGAGGGTTATTTTAACCCTCCTGCTATTTAAACAGTCACAGACAGTCAAAATTCACTTCGGCTGCCCCTGCTATACTTTACAAAGGCTAGTCACCATCAGTCAGATCATGTCAAGCAAGCACTGTAACTAGTCAAACTCGAGACGAAAACCATGAACAGACAAAGCAGGCAAGTTGTGGGCACAGCTGTTTTATCACTCACCCGGAGTCAAAGAATAACTACATCAAGTTTATTAAACAGTTTTAGTCAGGCAATCCTGGTTTGTGTAGGCTGGGAATTCTTAACTGTTGAAAACACCTACTTGTTTGATTTTGACCGAAAGGACTACTTGGCACAGAATGTACGCTTGCATAGGAGGGTTAATGGCATTGTCAAAATTACTTACAGAATATTTGGAAAAATTGTGTGTGTTGCTACGCAAGCCGAGTTGGACTTATCACAGCATAAAAATTGACAGTTGTTGCAAACTCTCACTACAAAGAGCTCTGGTGTTAGCATGTCCAGCTGATTGGCAAGAGACTTCGTTTTTAAGTAGAACATTTTAACCCTAACCCCCTTGAGTGATTTACTAGAAACCTTCTTCACTCCTGCAAAATCCAACACCAACTGGCAACTCATACACCCAAACTGTTGGACTCTGATTATTGGTGGTATGCCTGACCCCATGCAAAGCATAATCAGTTTACTAGTGCAGCACTCCCTCCAACAGATTCCAACAAAAAACCCATACCATTGGATTTTGATGGGTTGAGGATGGTTAGGCCCAAAAAAAAAAAAATTCGGTCTCTGGTCAGACCAAAGTTCCGGAATTGACGCGGCCACGCGGCTTTTTTTTTTTTTTTGCTTTTTTTTTTTTTTCTTCGAGCTTGGATTTTATAGACAAGGTGGGTACTATTTTGCTTTTTTGGTGTCCTCATGTACATTGGTGTCCTCCATAATTTGCCTTGGTGCTTTCGATCATTTGCCTTGGTGCAATTTCCCATTCCTTGGTGCTCTTTGATAAAAAAAATTGAGGAGGTGCGGAAATAGAGGGCGCTGTTGGAGCTACCGCGGAACATTTTGGAAAAAAAAAAAGATCGACGCGCATGATTAAAATCGACGCACGCGCTGACCAGAGACCGACTTATTTTTTTTTTTGGCCTTAGGGTTAATATTTGATTGGAAGCATCGGGCTTACCTTGTCTGGAAGAGTGAGGGGAGAAGTTGTTGGGCGTGCCTGCCGTGCTGTTCACGTCCAGCGTGTGCCCCTTGAGCTTGGCGTACTTGGCCTCCTGCATGGCCAAGCGGCACCGCTCCACAACCTTGTCCAGCTCTTCATAACTTTTCTGAAAAACAGAACAAAAAAAACAGAACAAAAATACCATTAAATACATGCAAAGTACCAACACTTTGTAAATGTTAAGACTACCTGTACACTCTTCTTAAAGAGTTTAGGCTTCTACGATGAGCTGCACACTATTCCATAAACAATTCAATGCATGTACATGTAGAACATTTTGGTAAATACAGGAGTCATCATCTGTGCCAAAAAAGCTAGGACCCATTGGAAAATCGATAACCACCGTGTTTTTTTTTTGGTTTCAATGCACACTGGACTGAAGATCGTAGACATTCTTCTTCAAACCCAACCACCAAGGCCCCTTTTCTAGGAACCATCCTCATGTCTGCGAACTCCTCCAACTGCTGGCTTGAGAACCTGGATTCTGCCTCAGCCTCTTGCAGTCACTGTTAAACCCTTACCCTAACCCCAATGATATCCAGATTAAGTGCATATGCTATCCAGTATTTAGCGTGGGCCTGTTATGCATGGCTGAACAATGCAGGCTACAGCTGAAGACCTCGACACAACGCATCCTTTGAAATCAACCGACACCTTTTTGGCAATTGGCATAGAGACTCCAACTTCAACATTTCTCCCAAACAGCCTGCAGGCCCAATTTCACGGGGCTGCTAAGCACAAAAATTTGCTTAGCACAAAAAAAAAAATGTGATTTTCATGCTAAGCAAACTACAGCTGAACACTAATCAGGAGCAATATACTTCGCATGGAGTTTTGGCTGGTAACCTGCTTTTTATAAGCCAGACTTTTATTGTGTTAAGCAAACTGTTGTGCTTAGCAGCGCCGTGAAATTGGCCCCTGGTTTAGGATCGGTTGGGGCTAACGAAGGATTTGGATTTCCCGATCTTAAGAGTGTTTGGTTTTATGCAGAAGTTGTTTTTCAATTTTTACTAGTAAAGTGATCAAGGAGTTGGGATAATGAAAGCTGATAACTGCCGACCAATCACTCACCTTTGGTCTGGCATAGAGCCGGAGGATCGTGAGCGATATTTCTTGGATTTCATCCTCGTCTGTTCCCAGGAGGCCGTACCATGGAGGGTTGTTGGGCAGAATAACCTGTCAAGAGAAAGAGGTCACTTATTAACAAGTACTAAGATGTTTCTCTGCTTGTTGGTGCAATTGCAGCAGATTTGGGAATAATTCAGAACTTTTCTATGGCAATGTCAAATGAAAATATGAGATTTTACTTTGAGAATGAAGAGTCAATTAATGACAAGATGGCAATCTCATTCAAACATCTTTCTGTGCTGCCCACTCCAACGCATGGACTTCTAACACAACAAGCAAAATTACACAAAAAACTTGTAGTAAAGATTTCAAAATAAATAAGCCACGGCAGATGCTGGACTTACGTTCAGTTGCCTTGCCGAAAGGTAGATGCACGCGCAAGCGATGGTCTCGGGCATGTGCTTCACGAACACATCGGTGCGGAGACTGTCATTCATGTAGTTCCTGTAACACAGAAACGGAAATCTTAATAACATACCAGCCTTTTTAAGCCACTTGCATTACAATGCACAAAAATACATACGGTACTTTTTTTTTGAATTAGTAAACTAGACTGGAAGATGACATTATTTGCCAAAGTTCATAGAAGGGCATTTCACAGAATGACAATTCTGTTCAATGGAGTAGAAAAACCATGCTGCAACATTATGTTATATGTGAATTTTAACACACGTCACTTTGAAAACATTCCGTTCAGTGAAAGCTCATGCAGCAACGTTTAAGTTGTATGTGAATTCCGTTGTACATTTTAAACATTAATATTGACTTTTAAACTTCAAGTATTCCAAGAAATTTATCGGCAGGACTCGAACAAGACTCTACAACTGCCAAAGTTCTACTTCTCTGTTAGTAAAATGTTTACATACTGACCTTCCATCCACACCAAAATTGCACTTTTTTTTTACCGTCCTTATCCCGATCCAGAATGCTCGTCACTCAATCCCATGCTCAAGCCAGTCCTCTCCAGTAACCAAACAGTTAGTTTTGGTGCATCGGTCCAAATCCTTAATTATGCAATCAAGTCCCATTGCTTGCATCTTGTCTTAACAGTCATCTCGCCACATTGTTGACCGCGTATAGTTTGTGGCGTCTCATTGCCTGAACATCCAGCGCATTTCGGGTGAAAGCGATATATCTTTTGCACGATTCCGCCTCGGCGTGCATCCAACAACTACTCATGCTGTGTGTGATTATACTCACCTCAGCTATTCTGTAACATCTTAACCCTTCACCTGTTGATTTGAACAAGATCCAACAGCATCAAAAAGATCGATTCGGTGGACGTTTCCTTCCGTTGTTTTCCACCCTTTGCTGTTGTTGGATTTTGTTGGATTCAGCAGGTTTTACAATGTTGGACTGCTTGATGTAACAAGCAAGAACTCTGCTAACGGACTGAAGTTATAATTAAGTACATACAAAAATGCTCAGTAAGAAAACAAAAATCTTTCACGACTAGGTACCTCCCAACACGATTCAATCAAATGCTTTCAGTAATGATTGACATGGAGGTACATGTATGACAAAACCCAACACAGCTACTTTAGAATCGTTGAAAAACTCATCAAAACTGCTGTTAGATGAGTCCACACATGTAGCACTGGTTCTTCAGTTTCACGCTTGATGAGACAGTAGATGCATCTTTCGGCATTTCCAACATCTCGTGCAGTCCGATGAACCGTGTCGTCACACGTTGCTCACTGGAACCACACTCAAGATGTTCGGGTTTTTTTTTCCAACTTGTTGCCGATACTCTGGTGCTGGTGAGCCGACTCGATTCTCCACCACTGCAATTGAAATTCTCCAATAGAATCAATCTATCCAAGGCACAATCTTGCTACATCAGCATGTTTATCCACTACTCAGCAAAACAAAGTCTTTTAGATGGTTGGGCAAGTAAAAACACGGTCATAATCAGCTCCTTTGTAATGCCGTTTCCAATGGATATGTTAAAGAGTTCCGTGCAACAGCACGTTGGGCAATATTGATTGCAACATAAAACTGCAGTCTCAGAAAAAGTTAGGTTTTTTTTAAGCAGGTTTTTAAATTCACCAAGATTCTTTCCTGCATTTTGCAAGAGGTACCTGTTCTCCCACTTTTTGTCCTCAATCCTTTATCCTCAATCATATTACAAGTGACCCTCACAGCATTTTTCTAATCCTACAAGGGTATGTTCGTTTTACTTGTACTCATTATGTCAAACCTGTCTGGCATCTCATATATTTCTCGGTCAGACGCCTGGTTCAACCTTCATCAGAGCTGGCCCATCTGTCTTGCTGGGCGGTACCTTGAACAGTCAATCCTTGGTGCACTGCTAATAAGGCATACACTTTTGGTTGTTGGCCCAAGGTCGAAGAACAGCTGCAGCACGCATTTTTTTTCCGCAAGTAGAGCTTCTCGTGAATAACCTCAACCAACTTAAAGTTCCTTGAGCGTAGAAGGCTAAACCCTTGAGGGAGAAAACTGACAAAGATACTCATTATGCAACAGAGTACCCTGCTCAGTTGAAATCAGTTAATAATAACTATATCCAATATGACACATGTATTTTTCATTACGTTAAAAGATAACAACTCGTGATTTTTTTTGGTTTGATAAAATTTGCATAAAAATCCATATTTTGTTTTTATAATTGTTAACTCTGATCTGTTCTGATATTTGAAATTTTTGTTGAAAAACTTTAACAAAATGTACTAAATTTTGGGAAAATTGTGTTTACAGTCTTCCCTGATCTTAAATTACTCACGACATTCCTGTAAATTTCTACCCCCCTCAATCGATAAAGTACACATATTAACGTACTACGCTATATTGAATACCACTAGGCCTAAATAATGTAAGACTAAATAATATGAGAAGAAAATTGAGATATCAAGAATTGGAAAAGTGCAGAAACTGCCAAAATTGATACACAAATATTGAAGCACCATAAAATGTAAAACACTGATTTTCTTATTCCTCTGATGCACACGAACGCTTGGATCACCCATCCCTGACAAGACGAAGATGCGTTGCTGTGGCAACAAGCTCGCAGGCAAGTGTGCACTGCGGTCTGCACTCCCCACGGAGAACAGACGTGTCCAAAGCGATCCAGAGGATAGATTGAAGCAGAGAGTTGGCAGGGCTGAACATGGGACGTGACTGGAGCAGACCGGATCTGGGGTTGTCCCTTCCGCCAAACGACGAGCCATTTCAGTTGAGAGATGGCCGGCCATTTTAGGGGACGGACGGACGACTGGACGGTTGATTGGTAGGATGGAAGGGCGGACGAAGCCGCTGACCGTCGAGTCTTGGCCTCAAGACCGTCAGCCGGCTACCTCCCTATTAGTGTTTACTTACCCCTAGGTACCTTGCGGTAGGGGGAAAGATGAAAAAGTTTCCAAGTCATAATCAGAAAGACAGCAGTAAGCAAATAGGTCACCCAATTACATGCGCTAAATCCTGGAGCTTGGTGGCAACAAAATTTGATCCTTTTACCCATATTTTTTTTGGTTTTTTGAATATTTGACAGGACATGCAGATATTTTGTTTGCTTTTTTCTTGCAATATATTTGCATGGGAAACTTGGCATTTGGTACAAATTGTCATGTTTCAATGGTACTTGTTTTACCATTCACAAGATGATTTTGTACGGTTTGCTCATTTTGAAAGTCAATGCACCAACTTGTTTGCATAAGCGTTCATCTTGTTCTGAAACATGCTACTGCATGCATTTCCAATTTAAAATGCAAGATTAGAGTAGACTCTGTGAGTGGTCTTTAATGCTGTTACACTCAGGTCAAAATTGGATGAGCTTCAGCTTACTACAAAAAACCCAAAATTGTTAATTGCTAAAAGTTACCATTTTTAACTTTCGAAGAGCTAACATCCCCATCATACAGTTTGATAAGAATGTGTCCGACTGTTTTTTTATATCATATTTCAGATCTTTTCATCCAATTTTAACTCATGAAACAGCCAATAAACACCACACACATGAGCTACCTCAAAACAACACCACCGGCCAACTTACCAGGCAGTCTGCACAAGTTGTGCGTTGCGTTCGCACTCCAGCACTTGAAGGTAAGTAACAATCATCTGCAATCGCAGCGTCAGTGCGAAAGAGACAAGACCAAAATATCGGTTAGCTCTAGCAACTGATCTTAATACACAACCCTTACATTAAACCCTTTTCTGTGGCGCGCCTAGGAGGCGCCACAACCTGTTAATGAAAAAAATCCTGTTTCAAAGAAAATACTGGTACCACATGCAATACTGCTTGGTGTTAAATCAAATCCGAAGTTACCTGCAATGAAAAGTAACTGTAATATTTTAACAGGCATGCATCTTGGAATTCAGAGAAAAAAACGAGGAACCTCCAAACCACACAAGACTTTGTACAACTTTTTTAAAATTTGTAACTGCATCCATTGGAAGTAGAAAAAGAGGAAATCAGCGGATCTGAGGAAAAGTTGCATGCCTGTAAGACAGTGAGACCAAGAACTGGGATTCAACCTTTAAGTGGGAAGTTGACATTCAGAGCAATGTAACAAAAAAACACTGCAGGCCAGTTTCAGTCGATGGGATATGAAGTATCAAAGTAACCGTGTCGCACAGAGCACCGTTGCACAAAAAAGAAAAAAAAACCACAGCAATGTAGAGAACAGTGAAGCGTGACTGAATGTGCTTGCTTACCCCGAGCTAAGCCACCTAGAGAATGTGCAGGGATCGAAGTGTTATCCATACTCCATAGAAGATTACCTCAACGGAATTCAAAATGGAATTGGAAGTGGTTTTGCAAAACTTGAAGGGTTGTGAAGTGCAGAAGACTAGGAGGGTGAATGCAATTTCCAACGACGCAAACACTTTTACGGCACTTTTTCTTACATTGGTCAAACCTTACCAAAGTTATTACATACCGGTATATGTAGTTAATATATCGGTCTTTGACAACAGCAAAAAAAAAAGGTACTTGGATCAGGTCCGCTTTTGGAAAATTCGAGGAAAGAGGCGTCTCTTCTCATTTCAGCAAAAAAGAGTCACTTTCAAAAAGCCACAACTAAGCCAATTACTTTATCACAGTTTGGGCAGTCAGGTTGGCGTAGCAGTACTTTCCTCGCCTTCCACCGCTGTGACCCGGGTTCGAATCCCGCCTGGGTCATTAAGTGGATTGGGTTTTCAGTCCCTGCCTGATTCCGTGGGTTTTCCCCAGAATATTCTTCTGGGGTTTCCCTCCCACCTCTAAAAAAAACCCTATCTTCTTCTCATTGTCTTCTCTCCACAGGTGTTTGCAGGCTTGCGGGCTACAGTGCCTGGGGAGTTTTGAGGAATCCTTGGTTTCATTACCCGAAAATTTTCAACAATAACTGTTTGCTGTACAAAAGCATAAATGGGAGGCGATCAACCTCAATCTTGTAAAATAGTTACTAGGGGTCCATGAGGTGACGTACTTGCAGTCACGGTTCAAAGTACTACATTGTGTATTTAAATAAAATTAGACTAAAAATAAACATGCCTTATACTTTTTCAGCGCACCTGCAAAATAATGTAGTGTGACGCATTTCATTCACATTTTGCGCACGAAAAACAACGCTGAAAAATGAACACATTTGAAACAATGCAAATATCCTGTAAAGATGTCATGTTATTCAAATGTTTGGGGGAAAAAGACAAAATTGTGTTAGCATCATCAGGTGAGAGTCGCAAGGAAAGATACCAACCTTGTGCGGGTGCTTGACGTGAACGCAGAATCCTAATTCTTTCAGGACTCGGCGTTCCGCCTTGATGACCTGGTTCTTCATGTTCAGGTACTTCTGGTCCAAAACCATGGGCTCGATCGACCTGCAGCAGGAAGAAATTCTGGGTTTTCTGTTCCACGTTTTTTTTTCCATATTAAAGATGACTTGATTTCAGATGTTATCCAATTTGTGTGATTCGATACTGTGGCATTTGGTTGGTATCAATAAAACAGAAACAGTGCATGGTGAAGTATATGAGAAGCCTTATCTCTACCACAAACCTCATTGCTTAAAATTGTATTGAAAATGAAGGGAATTGACCTCTTTTTTTAACAACCAACAAAAAGTCAGAATTTTTGTAGTATTTCAAACTTGGGAACAAACTGACACTCGCACATTTTCAAGAAGAATTTGTCTTTTTAAGTTCTGTGCAAAACTATATTTTAACTTCTCTTTTAAAGTCCTGGTTCCATGTTAACCAAAAAAACACACACTACCCAATTAATTCATCTTATCAGACTTTTTACAAACTCCTGGAAATAGAGAATTTTACACTGTTCCTTGTTAAAGACAATGTAAAAGGAATTAGCTTTGGGAATTACAACTTTTGACTTCTATTATGTTGTTTTCAGCGGACAGATTTTCTCTGTATCAAGTGAAAATTGTCATGCACCTCACCGTATTTTACCATAAGAGCGTCCTACTTATAATCAAGCAAGTGAGTGAAACATGGATTCTGTAGAAAGGTACTGAAAAATGATCTCAAAGGCCGAGACAAGCAATGAAGCGTCATGCAAGAAAATGTGCAACACCCGGGGAGGGGACTGGTCATGTCAAGATGGAAATCAGACTAGCAGCCGGACGGGGGGCACTACCACATACGACACCGAAGCCAAGTACCCAAGCGACTCTTTGAGAGAGGGGGAAGTAGGGGGGTCACTGGCACAGTGGATGGCAGCAACGGAGCATGTCTGATCGTCCTGCAAACCAACCCCCTTTAAGCCTGCCCTCCAACCCTTCAGGCCAGGCCGGGGACTGGACTAACGACCGGAGAGTCGGGGCGAGTGAGTGTGTGTCTCATTGGGCAGGCAGGGCTGCGCTGTCCGCTGTGGGAAACAACCACAGTGAAGGAAGAAAGACGAGTTATGCTAAGTCGGAACACAGATAAATAGCTCATCTAAGATTGAATACTGTGTGAAAGTTTCATTTCAATTTGGAGCTTGAAGTTTCAACTAACAAGAGACTGAAATGGCATGCAGGAAACACTAAACCTTTTCAAAAGTTCTTGCTTGAACACAAAAAGAACCAAGATTTGTCATACTGAAATTCGTCAAATCACCTTGAACAAGCTATCTAAAATGTTGATAAAACCAAATGCCACACTATCAAAGAACAAAAACATACAAAGAACTTGACCCTAACCTTCCCAAATCTATCAAAATCCCCCCCCCCCAAAAAAAAAACTGATGGGGATTTGGTGGGCAAGCCATGAGCACAAGTCCATCAAAATCCACCTATAGTAGTGGTGGTCTGGTGGTGGATTTCAGCGGATTTGGTCCTAAAGCATTATGTGAAGCAGGGTCAGTGATGGATTTTGGCGGACTTGGCGCAGTACTTAGTACAATACACTGGGTAGTTAGGGTTACTGATACTACCAATCTTTAATCAAAGTCAATTTATAGTGTGTTACATGAGGTGGTTATCAATTTTCCTCATTTTTTTATTAGATTTAAAAAGCAAGACACAAAAAAAAAAGAATACCAACGATGGACAAATTTAATAAACCCACCCTTCCTGTAAATGTTACCCATGGAAGGAACCAACCTTGTAAATTCGAAGAATGAAAAAGTAGGCCAGATTTAGAAAAATCTTTTTTTTGGTTAAATCGGAATATGAGGAAAGTTCAGCTTGAACGATATCCACTTAAAGGTCAAATGCTTGCACTCTTGTGACTTTTGAAGGTCATCCAATTTTATTAAATTACGACTGACTTTAACTTTGCCTACCTGTTGTTTCGCTTCTGCCGAATGTGATGGAATACATTGATCACATCACGGATGCGACGCGGCGCCTCTTCGATTTTCGAGGCTAAGTTGATGCAGGCCATGGCTACTATCTGGAGCAAGGAGAAAACGAGAACAGTGAACAGTACATTGTCACAACAAATTTTTTTTTTACAAAACCACATATACGACAATTTGAAATCATGTAAAACCAAAACTAAAGCCAGCAAAAAAGTTTAAGCAAACACTCGTGTTTGAGATTTTTACAAAGAATTGTTTACATCGCTTGCGGATCTATTTTATAATAAACTACTTGTGCCTGTTCCACATCTTTAAGCTTAAAAGTCAGAAATTAAGTCTGAAAATCTGGGGGGGGGGGGGAGAGGGGAAAGTAAACAGCATAATGTACCTCCATGTTGTGTTTAACAAATGACTTGGAGTAATAAAAACGCTGGAAAAGGACTTGTCCAGTTGCCATGGCCACCTGTATGAGAAACAAAAGAAATCTAAGTGAAAGGTTGTTTTGCCAATGGAAGTAAAATTTAGGTAGGCCTAGCAACTTTGTTGCTCTTTGTTTTGAGCTAGGCCTATCTCTTGGATATGGGAGTTGTTAATATGGTACAAATTACAGTGGTCGTGTAGTTGCGGCCCCAGTTCCATATATGAGAACAAAATCCACATTACCAACATGCAGGTATGTAATAAATAGAGGGCAGGGTTTTCGAATTGTTGAGGAAAAGTTGGGGGTAAAAAGACAATGACAACAACATGAACATAAAGATGGCGATCACCGTGACGTACCAAGAATGCCCAAGGCATGCTGTATCGCATGGCGCAGCGCCAATATTCAATTCAATTCAATTCAAAGTAACATTTATTTCCACATGATCATAAAGAAAAACACAATAAATATAGACAGATGTGGAGGCACGTTCCAAAAAAGCGGGGCTTGTCAAGGAACAGCCTGTTTACAAAAAACAAAACAAAGTAACAGCTTCACAATAAACAAATAAACATAACAACACCTATAAAAATAACAAGAACACAAACAGTGTGAATATTAAACTGTCATGACTGTGTAGGAAAATTGTAATTTGCTAAGAAACTGTTCAAAATTACAAAATAAATGGTGTCATTAGAATTTAGAATTGAGACAAGTTTTGCTTTAGTTAAAAGATTTACAGGTTGAAAGTTGAAAGAAAAGGTCATTTTTTGAATGAAAAAAAAAAACACCCTGGACTCTAATTTGATCGAAACTGAAAAGGGGAGATGGAATCTAAGATCACCATAGTTTTTTTTTATGTAGCGACAAATTGATAATCACTGACAGCTGGGCAGAATAGAAATAAAAGAAAACTCTTTGTATCACATTCACAAACAAACTTGCCACACGAGGGCGCTAGACATGCATCATTTTACAACATTCATTCATGCCTTCATGGCATTGTGCCTTTGTGGTTTTGCAATTTAATAATGACTAGGATGATATTATTAAATTTCAAAATGAGTTACATACAAATATAAAAGTGGCCTAAGGGAACTGCGTTTTTTTCATACTCCTGACTTTGGACTCAACTACGTGAACATTTTCCAAATATCAAAATTGTTACTTTTTTTGACTTGAGGAAGAAATAGAACATGCATGACATTTTGTACAAAACAACGTCACCTGCGGCAGTTTCAACAAGATTCCTGCCGTCTGAATAAACTCGCATCCCAGCACCCGTAGATTTGTTTCTGTCTCCGAATCCAGTCCATCTCTAACAGAAGGAGTCGGGGACAATTTCTCATGAGGAATTACACAGTTTTCTAACGTGATTATCACTTCGCCGTAGGTTTTTGCCGGCATCGTCGTCGAGAACTCCTTCTTCCCGTCCGCCATTTTAAAGACGAAAGTCCAACGTTACGAAATATGAATATGCATGACGCTCATGAATCTCAAGCTCACAAAAAATAGTTCCAGCATTACTCAACTTTCCTCCCGAATTTCAGCAGACATTGCCATTTAAATTTCAAATGTTACATTCCTTGTTTAATGTCTCGAATGTACATTTGCACTTCCACTGAGAACAATAGCGATGATGTCAAAACTGAAAACATTACTTATTATTTTTTTGGCATCATTATCCTATTTTACATTGTGGATGAACACATGAAAATTTGCATACACTGGACAATCACGCGTGCACGCGGCCCCGTAAAATTTTCACTGGTAAGCTGACGAAGCTGTATGCAACAACGATAATAGTTCCAGAGTACCAACACATTACCGCGAAACATGACGTCAGGATATAGAAAAATTGCTTATTTTCAAAGAAATCGCCAAGCAGCATTGATTCGTAGTGCTCTTTTCTTTCTAAGAAGCACATTTCTCGAATCTGCGTGTTGCATTAAAAGCTAGAGAGATTTTGATTGATTATCCAGAAAATTCGGAGTATTTAGCTCCAGTACGATTACATGTATATTCCAAAACATAATAGAATTTTTAAAAAGCACTCTGAGAAGGAGCGCAAACCTCCGCCAAGGCTAAACAATAATTACCCGCCATCATGCATATGTCAGCAGTTTTCCCAAAAGATATAATCGCATAAACGGTAAAGAATCCTTCTTAAAAATCCTGGATCCAGACCCAGATCCGGATCACTTCCAAAATCTAATCGATTTGTACGTTGCCAATTATAATCCATCCATAACCCTCGAGTTATATTGTAAAAAAAAAGACAAACTGAAAACCAAATTCGATGAAAACGAAACCTCCTTGGTCAAGCCAATGTCTGTGACTGGAACAGCCTTAAATGCAAGCTGCATCCGCCATTTGAAGGTGGGCACCATGAATGTACATGTATAGTAGTGTGTTCAGCATGGTCCATTCGTGCAGTTTTCAAATACAAACACTTTAGGCCAAAAAAAAAGGCTCTGGTATGCGCGCGCGTCGCGCGCCGTAGCCATGCGCGTCGGCAAAAGAAAAAGTTTTTTTTTTTTCAATAAAAGATGATGTCTCAAAACCGCCAAACTCACTGGTTTGACTGGAATCCTGCTGCAGCACGATTTTAACGTGTTTTTAGATGGGAGTATGATCGAGAATAAACTTTATGTGGACTCTCTGGACTCCCGTACATTTTGCACTAAGTTTAGTCGGGCACCATTTGCAGTCATCAGCCGACATTTGAAGCAAAAAAGTCAGGTAAAAAAAAAAAAAAAGCCGCGTCGCCGCACCACTTTTTGGGCAAGCTCCATACCAGAAACCGGAGACTTTTTTTTTTGGCCTTATGCTACAATGAAACTTTATTTCTTGAGAGTAGTTTATTTCCATACAAATCTGCATACAGTTTCACTTTTGGTGTCAAAGTTCTTTAAAAAAAATATTGGAACTGAATGTTTAAACGTACTGTACAACTTTTGCAAACATCAAAAAAACAAACCACTAACTTTTTGTGAAATACCTCACTTAACTGTCCCAAGCATCCTGTGATATCATTGAACCTGGTGTGCTGTCATTTTCCAAGAAAAATGGATTTTTGTATCAAACTGACTGCTTTTAAATACTGCCCGCAATTTACCAAATTTAGTAAGTCCACATTTTGTGTTAAATTGGTTACACATCTGTAAACGGGTGCCAAGGGCGGATCCAGGGGGGGGGGGCCAAAGGGGGCCATGCCCCCCCCCCAAAAAAAAAACGAAACCAATTTTTTTTTTTTTTTTTTTATGTGACATCACAATAAAGGCAGGCAATGAGTACACCACCATCTTTTCCTCAAAAAAAACATTGGTTAAAGTGGTCAGAAATTGCCTCAGATCGCACCACAGAGCATCTAGAATCCAAATTTACAATGATTTCACCCTTTAACAGTCAAGTAAGGTAATGCATAATACAGTCAGACACCTCTACAACATGGTCCTTGGGACTTTATAAATTACCTCGTTTTAACAGGTACCTTGTATTAATGATCAGTCATGGAAAACACTAAGGAAAACAGAAAACAAAGAAATGGGACCTAAAATTTTCCTTGTTATAAGCTGGGGCCAATTTCATAGAGCTACTTAAACACAAAATTTGCTTATTAAGCACAAAAACGTCTTGCTTAATAAAATCATGTTACCAGCCAAAACTCCATGCGATTGTTACGCTAAGTAAAGAACAGCTAAATACCAGTCGCAAGCAATGTACATTTCATGGAGTTTTGGCCGGTAACCTGATTTTACTAAGTACTGTTTTTTCGTGCTTAAGCAAATTTTGCGCTTAAGCAGTTCTATGAAATTGGGCCCAGGATGTTGTATTAACAGTGCTCTTCTTATCAGGGTTCGACTGTACATTTTTTTGTTGTTTTGTTTTTTTGATGTTTGCAAATGCTGCATATTACTTTTTATTTAAAGTACATGCATGCTCACAAGTCATTTGTAGGATCTACTTTTTTTTACTAGGTGGGGAAGTTGGTCTCAAAGCAGTTTGTGCTGGTCCCAAAGGGCCAACCTAGTTGAATTATATAATATGAAACTTTTCAAGGTTTGCTCCAACAACGTATGAAAATGTTTAATACATCTTACTTTAAACGATTACTGCAACATGGTCTTTCTTCTCTAAATACATAATAATTGCAAAGTAGCAAAGAGGTCTGTCTAGGTTAAGAATATACAAGTAGCCATATTTGCATATTCATGAATAACTTCAATAAGCCTCTGTCACACTTTGTTTACCGTGCTTTCTTATGGGAGGGACGACAGTTTCTTTGTAGCCCCATAGTTCAAAAACCCACAGGCATTACAAAGTGTGACGACATTAACACAGAGGCTTACTTCATGTCAACTGTTTATCATGATTAGTGTCTTATATATGTACACAAATCTCGGCTTTTTACAAAGTGTTTTACACCAATTAACAAAGAGCCCACAAAATAAACACCCCCCAAAACAATCAAGAACTAAACATTTAATAATATCCACGATGGTAATGCGAGTCATCAACTGACGGTCTTCACAAAATCAAGTGCAACAAAAAATAATACACAACATATAATTTTCAATCCCACTATCTGGGTTTTTTGGATTCCTGAGTCGCGGCTCTTAAAACGACATTTCACACTTTTAGTGCCATGACATTTTTCATGGGTACATATAAAGTATACATACATTTCTACCTTTTTCCCTGTATACAAATTGCCACATCGGACACATTAGCAACACTTAATTATATCAAAAGTTGAGGGAAGGCCATGTGGTAATAGTGACAAGACATAACTCTACAATTGACCCCAGATACAGTTTATTATGATACAGAGAAGTTCAAACACTGCTTGGGAATATGGCGCTTGTGATCTTGGGCAAGACACTTTACTACAATTAACCTATTGCGGTAGAATCGTGTCAGCGCAGCTTGTGAAATATTGTCCAATTACATGATATACAAATGGGCGCGAAACGCGCAAAATCTGAGACAAACAAAACTTAACGTATCAAAATTCCATAAGGGTGTCTAAGGGGCGTGGCTAACTCGCAAACGACGATAGGTCAATTGCCTGTCTCCATCCAGGAGTATTAAAGGGTACCTGCGAAGATAAGAGACCGGATTGAGCTGATCTCGAGCTGCTGCACACAAAATGGTCTCGTGGCCTGATGAACAGGGATAACAATTGTGAAGCGCTCTGAGACCTTTGGTATAAAGCAATATTTATCAGCACTGTTATAATTTTGAGCGATTATTGTCTCACTGTACAAAAAAATAAACTCCATTTATCGTCGTCTGTTCCGCCTCTGTTGAGTCATCCTGCTCACCCGTTTTGGGTTGGCTGTGGATCCCATGCCTAGAGTGAAGCTACCGGTGTTGGTTGGGGTGACCCCACCAAAACTTGGGGCGGCTGACGGAGCAGGCGTGCCAAAACCACCAGTTGCACCTACAAAAAGTTTTAAAAATATGAAACAGTACAAATCATTAGCAGGCGGTCAATAGCAATATTTTTAAAACCTGCTACTGATAACAACTGTCACAAAACCAACCCACTTCCTCTTCCATAGCTTTTGTACAGGCTGGTTACCAACTACCAGAACCCCTACGGAGTAAACCACATAACTGTCAAAACCTGTTGGAGGGGTTTGATAGATAGGGTGCCCTTGAATACTGCTACAACTTTTACTGCAATTCCATTCACCAGGGGATTTGTACTACATGTATGTACACGCAGTGGTACGGCCGCGCGTCGCGGCAAACTTGCAGTCAGGCAAGATGACGTCGGTCGGTCACCCCAAACTGTACTTTCTTTGCCGGTGAGGGGGTACTTGTGAACGGAGCGGATAGCGTGCGTTTGATCAGAGTTAGTTGACCTATGGTTAACAATGGTCCTTGATTGAACTTGCCCCAAGGTTGAGACATTATTTGGATGCATCAAAATTTCCAAAAAGAAAAAACTGCAGTGCCCGATTTGTTCATTTTGAGATTGCAAAAAAAACCAGGACAGTCAAATTCAAAATAGGATTTCCAAAAGACAATTCCCTGGGGGGAAAAAAAATCCATGGTGGAATTTTATCAGGATTTTTTGTTTTTCCTAATAATAACAAAAGCTGACCTGCACCAAAGTTAAATGGCTGTGGCTTGCTGGGTGTCGTAAACCCACCCATGGGCTGGTTCACCTGCTGACCGCTAGCAGCCTGCTGGCCAAACTGATACATGCTACCACTGCTTGGCTGGCTTGCCGCTTGGCCTGAAAATACAAAGCAAAAGCAAACTGAAACGGCCCGTGCACTGTAACTTTTTAGATGCAATTCTTGAAGATGCACCTTTTGTGTCTCATTTAACCTTGTTTTCAATTTTGGTTTTGCCATTTTCAAGGGTATTTTTGTGCCCTTTTTTGTTTTATGCTAATGTGAATTTCCATATTTGTTGTATGAGCAAAAGTGTGATGTCATTTCAGGCAGAAACCTCAATGTTACAGCTACTACAGCACCAAAAGTTACCGGATGTTGCGAGTTTTTGCCGTTGTAGATTTTCTTTTCCTTGGTGATTCGATGTGGCGTCAGTACATGACAGTAAGCCAATGAGCAGATGTTTCTCACCAATATTTTCAACAAGGCCAAAAAAAAAAAATAGTTCTACTTCCAATTACACGGCATTCTAAAATAGGGTAGGTAGGTAGGGAATTCTTTTTTTTTTGGCCAATTTTTGTTGTGTTCAATCATATGGAGGTGTCTGCGTGTAGTCAAGTGTAAAACTTAGAAATTGATAGTTTTGGGTGTTTTTTTCTCATTTTGACCATAAAAAAATTAGGGTAGGGGCTCTCAGAATAGGGTAGGTAGGGAAACCGGAAGCAGAACTATTATTTTTTTGACCTAAGCAAATTGAATGGAACACCCCTAAACTGCACAGTGTCTTCCTGATATGACATCGCATGACAGCGCCCTCAGTTGTCAGGAAAAGTATGGAAATTTTTTTTAAAAATGTTTAAAGAAGTGCACTTTTTGACCCAGACTACAAGACCCAATTTACGAGGCTGGAAAACCTACAATGTGCTAGTTCTGACACGATTGCCTCTGATCAGCACGTAATTTCACTCTCCTTACCAAAACTAAACGTTGAAGAATTGGTCTGCGATGCAGCGGGCGCACCAAAGTTAAAGCCTCCTGTGCTTGGTGCAGGTGCTGTCGGTTGACCTCCAAATACACTCTGTCCCGGTGTGGGACCTCCAAAGGCATTCGTTGGCTGTGCTGTTGCTGCGCCAAAGGATGGTGCTTGGGTGGCTGGCTGTTGTCCAAATATCCCACCTGCTGCACCTGACATGCCAGATTGGAATGGAGACGCAGCTGCAGTTGCAGCTGCAGTTGCACCTGCTCCAAATACTGACGAGCTGCTGGTGGCAGGAGCTGGATTGAATGCAAAGCCGCCTGAGGAAGCAGCAGCAGTCGCAGTTGGCTGGCTTGTCATACCGCTGCCAAACTGAAACGTTGGCATGCTCGCTTGCTGCTGGCTCTGGGAAGGTTGGGTCTGGGGTGGAGCACCGAATGCAGGCTGGAATTGAAAGCCACCCGAGGTCGTGCTGGAGCTCTGCGGTTGGGCCCCGAAGTTGAAGGCCGGAGCAGAGGGCTGGGCAGGCGCAGCCGATACAGTCTGGCCAAACGCTGGTGTGAAGCTAGGCTTGGTGGCAGCAGCAGTGGTGGTGGCACTCCCGAACACACTGCTGGAAGCTGCTGTAGTTGGGTTAAACAATCCTGAAGCGGCTGCTGCAGACGTAAGGCCTGTTTGCCCTCCTAAACTGCTTGCTGCACCACCGAATGACAATGTTGGGGCTGTTGTTTTGGCTGTTGTGGATGATACACTTCCAAACATAAACGGCGTACTGGACTGGGCCTCCGTTTTCAGTGTGGGGTTGCCAAATTGTATCCCACTTGTACTAGAGGCGGAAACGGTTGCTGGAGTACTTGAGGGCATCTGGAACCCAGCAATGCTCTGAGTGATTGGTGTCGGTGCTCCAAATTGAAAAGGTGAGGGTGCTGTGCTGGCGGTTGAGGCACCTTGGAGGGCAGAGCCAAAAGTTGGTGCAGAGGGTGCAGCAACCGATGGGGCAGAAGATGCAGCGACTGATGTTGGAGCGCCAAACTGGAATCCAGAACTTGCAGCTAGTCCTGTTCCAATAGGGGGTGCGCTAGAAGGCGCAGTCATCAGTCCCATACCACCACTAGCACCAGACTGAGGAATCAGCGAGGTGCTTGTTGTGCTGCCTTGCAGTGACCTTGTGGCTGTTGAAGTTTGTGCCAGAGCTCCCTGGGATGCTTGGGGCTGCCCTGCATTGGAGCCAAGCGAAAACCCACCAATTGGAGTTCCTTGGCTCAACAGTCCACCAAGGGATTGCTTTGGGGCGGCCTGTCCCAGACCTGCTTGGTCTGTGCCCCCTGGCTTCCCCATGGTCATCAGTCCAGGAGTTACATTTGTTGTGGCTCCTTCAAGTCCAAATCCAACTGAGGTCGCTGTTGTGGTTGGATTATATCCAGCAAGTATTCCCTTCAAAAGAGGATCCTTCTGAGGAACTTGTCCAACTGACGGCATGGAAGCTCCCGACTTTGAGGAATCCACAACAGTGAATCCAAGAGCTGATGAGGACATAGCTGCTGTGGCCGGGGTAGCCTGTGTCATTGCAGCACTTGAGCCTTGTGTCAGAGGAATGCCAAATGTGACACCCTTCTGAGTGGCAGCTTCCGTCTGCTGGGTACTAGCTGCAGGGGCACTGGTGCGCTTGGTCAGTGCTTGGTTATCCTTGACAGCACCACCAGAGTCAGTCTTGGCACTGGGCAGCAGCAGTTGGCCTGTCTGGACAGCCGAAACAGGCAAGGTTTTCATCCTGCTCAGCTGGAGTAAGTTGGATGATGTGAGAGTTGAGCTACTGACTGCGGGTTTGGCAGAGACCAACGGTGTCAGCGGCGCCACAAAGCCCACTGAGGTCGATGGCTCTTTGTCTGCACACGTGAAAGAAAGCAATCATAAATTCATCAGATTTTCAACAGAAGTACCTTCACATCCAGGGCTTTCACAGTTGGGAAATGGTTTTAAAAATCTGGCTTGGAGTTTGAAACTTTTAAATTTGAGTTTTCCTCAATCTCTTCGTCACACAGGACTATGATCTGAGAAGTCACGTACCTTTGGGCAGATTCTTGTTCGCTTCTTCCTCGCCATCTTTGAGGGATTCCAGGATGTAGTTGACTCTCTGCTTGGCCAGGTGACGATCCTCCTCGAGATCAGCTGCAGTGTACTCCCCAGGAGGGCTAGAATTCTGAAACAGGTCAAGGACATTAACTGTGATTGACAACCACTCGACATTCATAAGACCTCACAAAGAGCCAAGATGAAACTACACCTTTTCATTGTTTCTTTCTATGATGTTTTGAACTACTGTTCATGGTCAACTCCTAAACACTGATGAAGAACAGCTACTGGCTCTCTGGCAGGGCATTACATGAAAAATGGTGATTCTAATTTAATTAAAAACAGAGATATGCTAAAGAGTTTGTTGTAATTATCTTTATTATTTCAGATACCTAGGAATTCAACTAACAATTTTGGATGGCTGTAGCAGCAATCTGCTGACTTCACAATTTTCCTCAAAATAATGAGGTACTTACTCGAAGCATCTGTTGTCCCAGCGATCTCATTTTGGGTGTCTTTAGCCTGGACGCTCCCAGGTTCTTCCCTGCCGCCTTCGTTGGTGTGCCGTCCTCCGACGAACTGCTCCGATCTTTGGAAGTGGCCTCCTGTCTCTCTGAATCCGACTCCCCGATCTGGTTTGCAACTTTGGGGCCGGTCGTGGCAAATGAGTTGCTTGGCTGGTGGGTTTTGTCGGCGTTCGGCGATTGGGTGTCGTCATTGGGCAAGAGAGACTTCTTGGAAGGGGAGCTCTCTGGCTCGGCTGGTTGAAGGAGCATCCTCTTTCGCATCATATGCTGGGAAAAAGTTAAAAATTTGGAAAGCGGTTATTTTTTCCCTGTTTCTCCCTCTAAATTAACATGTACCAAGATACTTGGTTTAAGGTGCAAACTGCAACTTTCGCGAGCATGTGCTATGTTAAAATGCACATAAATGTGTAATCTGTTTTGGTTTTACATATAGCCTGGTTTTCATTTTAAAAATTACCCACAATTGACATTCAAAATGTTCCTTTTTTTCTTGTCAAGTTATTTATCAAGTTGGTGACGGGTACCCGATCCCATAATCTGGAACCGGTTCCTGACATCAGCGGACCTTCCGATGCACACCCCTACTTTGTTTGAACAGACACAGTGTTTTGGGTATTAAACAAATATATATACAACATCTACAACACAAAGTCTTTCGTTAAGCACTCAAGAGAATCTGTCAAAAATTGGCCCCATCTGGACATGATCTTGTGGGGTAAGACAAATATACGGTTCCAAATGCCAGCTAACATAATGTCAATTAAATCTTCTACACTGCCAAGTTCAACCCATTTCAACTAGCAACTTTTCTTGTAAAGATCTATAACTTGAAAGTTCCGTTTCTACATGTACATACAATAGCGATTGCAGCTCTCCTGCTTGAACTGATGGAACTGTCGATGGCGTTGCGTGGGGTGCGAGTCTCCAGGCCCCTAGCACCCATCCAGGCGGTTTTGAATCGGATCCTAGCTTGTTCGTCCGCTGAGCTGTCTGCGTCACCGTTGACCAAGGTGGAGTAATTGGAAGAGCTGGCTAGGCTGGGGGTGCTGCATCGGGAACCATTGTCTAGCCGTCTGTCAGTGGCAACAACAAAGGCCATGAAGGAAAGAGAAATTAATAAAAGAACTTCAGTAACAAAACTGTCATTGCTGCTTTTGGTAAAAGTCCTAAGCTCATCACACAAAAAACCCACAAAATTCAGATCCCTACTCCAAGTCATTTTTGAGATACAGCCCTGCTTTTTTTATTCCTATTCTAAATATCCCAAATAAAGCTTTTTGTTTTTGCATTTTCCATGATCAAAACAATGGTTCTTTCCTTGCCGTCCACAGCTATAGCTTCAGTTTGATTCCTGCCCTGGTCCACATGTGGATTGGGTTTTCAGTCCCTACCTGATTCCATGGGTTTCCCCCCAAATATTCTTGTTTTCCTCCGACCTCTAATAATGTTTTTTTTTAATTGTCTCCTCCCTACAAGTTAGGCTTGCGAGCTACAGCACCTTTGGTGCTTTTGAGGAATCCTTGGTGTAATTACCATGCATGTAAATAAAACACTCAAATATCATGAAACGGAAAAGGCTCACAAGATCTAGACATCATTCAATCGATGAATCTAAACTCGTCTCAACTTTTGGTGATGTGGCATGGCATGATCTACAATCCCGGCCAAAATTGGTTGGGACACTTCCTGAGCCTGCCACAGTCACCCACTCCCCTGCTCCCCCGGTCAATGTTGTTCTCTCCAGCTGATGGAGCACACACCGCGCAATGAGAGACAACATTGAACGGGGGCCGGGGGCCCAGCGAGATTTGGCCAGGATTGTAGCTTCACGGAAACTGTCCCAATGTTATCCTAACCTGCGTTTGGCAAAGGTGGCTTGCCCCCCTGCAGAGGACGCGACGCTACTGCTATCATCCTGGTCATCAACAGCCAGCCTCTTCCTTTTCTCATTCAATGCAGCCATGATGGTTTCTTTATGGAGAGGGCTCCCACTGCTGCGCTCCAGGGACAACCGTTGGAAACTGTAGTAAAAGAAAGAGGTAAACAAAAGGTCCTTTTCAATTGGTTTTAAAAACCTAGGGTAATTTTGTGCTTTACAATATTCCACTAATTAGACACTGTAAAAAGACTGAGCTTTTTGAAGATTCTGTTGAAAACCCAAACACACCAAAGCGTCACGGTCCCCAACTAACTTACAGAGGACTAGCAGACCGTCTTTTATCGGGTCTCGCTATCTTCACCGTGACGGGACTGTGCGTTCTCACGCGACCCCCTCTCCTTAACGGACTGAGCGAATTGGCCGCCGCCCCGTCTCCAAAGAAGATGGAACTTGCTGGCAGGATGCCCATGTTTGTCCGGGTGTAGTCGGGTTGGTGCGTCGGGAAGTGGCGGTTGGACAACGGGAACACTGTTGCTTTACTGCTGAGGTCCGATTGCAGGGGAACTTTGCTGGGGGGTTTCATGTGTTGTGGTGATGAGCTGCAGGGAAGAAAACAACGAAAGTACAGTCGTCACACGTGATATCTGGAAAAGGTTTGCAATGCTTATTTTAAGCTCAATTTAAAGATTGTAATTTGTGAGAATGTAGCATGTTTGAATGACAGTTGCCGACCTACAGATCACAGTTGCCGACCTACAGATCACAGTTGCCGACCTACATGTAATAAAACAAACAAGAAGTGAAATGTCTTTTGGGTGCAATCGGTGGATTTGCGTTAATGCACAGATATGCGATGTTGCAAGTAGGTGACTGCTCTATGTTCTGACACTATGTTCCAACTGCTCCACTTATGTCCAGCACCCCTATGTTTTGACCACCCGCACATCATATTGTGTACTGTTAGCCAGTTTAGACTGGTTGGGGCCAGTGACCAGCCTATGTTTACGTTTGTAGGGGTGTCGGAATACAGAGGTGTCGAAAAATAGGGGTGTCGGAACATAGGTTGAGCAGTCGGAACATAGGGGTGTCAGCACATTCAACCACATTGGGATGTCAGAACACAGGTGTGTAGGAACACAGGTGTGCAACCTTGCAATTACTTAGTGGATCCTGTGGGAAATTTCAGATTTTACAATCCTTTGGAGCCATGAATTGGTGACCGACCGATGGCAGACGCGCGGAATCCAAATGAGCTACACGTAAATAAATGTAGTTTCTCAGAACAGACACTGCACCGTAAATCACAACTCACTTCGGAAATATATTTTTCACCGACTTGACGGGTGAAATCCAAGCTGGCGACCGCACAGTCGACAACGGGCTCCTGGTTAAATTCGAATCCATGTTTGCCATGGAGTAAACGGGCGATACAAATCCACTGGCTGCGGTCATCATTGGGGAGCGTGTCTGTGAAAAATACTGTGTCTGTGGCGGCCCAAGTTCAGTTGACAGAATCGGGGATAAAGGGAAATGTTTACTCTGCGCTGCCCAACCAGATTTGTCGTAATCGGTTCCACTGTACACAGATTTTTGCCGAAATTCTGTTTCTTTCAGAGAGGAACTCGTTCTCGGAGTTGGTCTGACGGGAAAAATTGTCTCCCTAGTTTTGACAAGTCCACCATCAGTTGGCCCCGCATGACCTTTGACCCCGGATGCGTGTGGAATATTTCTCGGCACTCCATTGACATTGTTGGCTTTGCCTGCAATTTTCAGCACCAAGATCGAAACTCCCAATATTATGCACAATAACAAGGCTGATAGCACACTGAATTTGAGAATATAAACAAGACAAAGAGGTATTAATATGCCACAAAGGGCGAGCAGTCGACACGAGTCACCCGTCCACCGCATGTCTGCGCTGCATGATCGAAAACAAGTGCATCAGGGTGACCGTAGGGTCATTGCAAGATTCTGCTAAATGCGCTTCAAAAATCTGTCAGATTTATCAAAAATCTGCCAAATTCCCCAGATTTCCTCGAAATACACTAAAAACCCTTAAAAACACATGCAGATTTGTAGTACTGCCTTAATTAAGGTTCAAATTACATTATTAACAATTTATAGTCACATAAAGATGTTATGAAATTACATGAATTGCGTAAATTTCAGGCAAAATGCGGTTGTGGCGTGACTGAGTCCGGTTCCCACCATGGAGTTCTTATTCCTCCATGTTCCCACTGAACCTCAACGCTAAGACCAGCCAACCTGTCCCATTATTATGCAAGGGTTTGTTTGAAAAAAGATTGAAGATTTTTTAAACAAATGTTCCATTTTTTTTCAAATTGCTATGGTTTTCTATGAATAACCATTTTTGCAAAAAAATCTGTCCAAGTTAGCCGAAAATCGGCTAAAACGGTCATCCTGAAGTGCATGCCACTAGTCTGGAACTTCAATTTTATAATCAAACAAATTCAATACCAAAATTTGTGTACGAAAATTTTTTGTTGTAAAATATATAAATCATTCAATATATAATTTAAGAGCTATCATATATTTATCAACACAATAAAAAATATTCAGAAATTATGCAATGGATTTGAATACTTTGGTACGAGGTGAAAATAAATTTCAAACATTTTGACGATAAATATTGAAATTAAATGTAAAAAATATAGTAGGGCCTATACATTATTTAAAATAATTAGTAGAATAATTTTACAATGAACTTTTAAATAATGAGTTGTTAATGACAAGTTCTGAGGGAAAATTTTTGAGAAACGATAGTTTTCAAAAATCAAGATCGCGTTTTATTGGTCATCGAAATCGAGGCTGAAAAAGAGCGGCCATTTTAATGTTGGCGGGTTGACCAAATTGTGTACATCAAAAAGTGGTATTTTTTACAAGATTCATTTATCGTCGGTAAGGATTTTATTTGTTTACGTCCAGAAAATAAGGCGAATGAAGCTTGTCCGCAAAAATAACGTCGAATTGTGTTGTGAAATGATTTTTATACCAAATTAACATCTCGTTCGTTACGTTATCGACCGCATATTGTCAAGTCGCCCCAATAACATTATCAGTTCGCCCCCAAGTACCGTTCATCAACATACATAAAAAAAACTCTCTTGACTAAACTTGGGGTTCAACTGCTGTTGTGACTGCATGTCCTTTTATTTATCGCCTGGTTCTTGACAAATCATCCCCACATGCTTGACTTGACAAACAAAAAAAAAACACCAAAAGTCCAAAAACAAAACACAAAAGTACATTTGAAAATCAAATTGCGTTACGCCGGCTGTCGTAACGATGGCCACCCATCCAGACTACATTTATTATGAATCACACATGTTAAAAAAAAACAAAATTAAATCTAAAATTTATCAAACAAAAACCGGCCAAAGTTATGAAAAGTAAGAATATTGGGCCCAATTGCAGAATACCCCGCCACTCGATCTATCCACCTCGTAGCCGGCTACGAGGTCACGGTTGGTTGACCTCAATAAACATTCTCAGCGCTACTTGTATGTACTATGCGTCATGCTCCATTGCACTCCCACTTCGTAACTGCGTAGCCGCCAACAGGGTGGTTGGTTTGGACTTAGAATTTTTTCAGCAACTCCCATTCCTTTTGTGTTGCTTCGTTCTCAAGCATATTCAAGGGGACTCCCACTCCGTAGCCTTGTAGCCGCCAACAGGGTGGTTGGTTTGGACGTAGAATTTTTTTCAGCAACTCCCATTCCTTTTGTGTTGCTTCGTTCTCAAATAATGGACCCCCACTCAGCATGCTCAGTATCCGCGTAGCTGGCATGGACTTGAACTGTTTCTTTTCCAGTGATTCTAACCTCGTAGCCAGAGAATTTAGGGGTGTATTTCCGAGTGGCGGGGTATTCTGCAATTACTCCGAATATTGGTCATGTTGGTAGGCCTAACATTCGAAAGAAAAATGTTAAAAGTAAGACCATGGAGCTATAGCTCCATGGTAAAGACCAAATATATAGGGGACCCAGGGGTCTATTTTGATTTTTGGGAAATTAAAAAAAAAGAATGCTTCTGTGGTGGGATGCTTGTACAACAGACCAACTTCCCAAATGTCAAAAAAGGAGTTCTAACTTCTAGCGCCCCAGTTGTAAATACTATAGATTGAGCATTATTGATCTTCTGAAGCGCTTCAATAACTGTAGGAATTTAAACCTCACGATAGGCCCCAACAATAGATTAGCAATGTTTAGCTCCCAGACCTTTGTTCAAGAAACTCAATGGTTCTCGAGTTTGGAGTGCTGAATAGTAACACATAGTAAACAAAGAAAACTGTTCGAGTACTGAATGGTAACACATAGAAACTGATGAAAACTGACGTCACTCCGCCCCTATCTATAGTGCAGTGCGAAAAAGTTAGCACAAAAAAAGAAAATATATTTAAAAATAGATCGAGAAAGGAATAAGAACCAATTTTAATTTTCAATTTTACTTGCTGCCAACAGCTACCCAGTCACAATGAGTTTTGAGTTTGTTCTGCCGCTTCACCAGAAGGACCTGCTGCAGAGCAGCGGAACCAACCAGTATGTCGTGGAGGAAGTCTCCCCGGCCAGGCAGGTGCCAGACAGGGTGTTTGGCTGCAAGACGGCGCTGCGGACCGAAGGCCCCTCCATGATCCTGGATCACTTTGACGGCTTCTACAGCTTGCTCAGGTAGAACATGGAAATGTCACCGGTTAATTAGGAAGCTTTTAACCTTTTACTGAACCATCTGAGACTGCCGTTTTGATGGCTCGTTGTACCGATGGCTCGTTGTAACGGATAGTCTATAGAATCTGCTTGAATGGCAAGCGTCTATGATATCTAAGAAGATTGTGTAAAACAACACTGCGTCTTGACTACAAGATTCTATCGGTCTTCGGTAACCCGATGTATGACAAAAATTAAATGGCGGCTATCGACCAATCAACAGCTTTAGCCAAATTTCTGCTGTGAATGACATCACAACTTTTCAAAGCAGCTCCGATTGGCTGGCGCGTAGGGTCGCATAAAATTGACATGCAATATATCAGATGTTCGTAGTGTGGCTAGATCCTCTGACTAAGTACTTGGTACTTGGTTGGTTCTCCTAAGGACTTCCACGAGGGAGTATAACTAGGAGGCCAGAAACACCGGGGCAAACCCCCTTCTCTTAGCGATAAGTGTTACTGGGTTCTTTTACGTGCGTTCGGCCTTATATAACACACGGGACCTCCGGCTTAACGTCCCATTCGAAGGACGAAGCAATAATGGTTAAGTGCCTTGCTTAAGGGCACAAGTGTCCTGGCCCGGGCTCGAACCCACGCCACTGTGGCCTCTGAAACACCAGAGCATGAGTCCGGTGCTCTTAACCGCTAGGCCATGACACTCCAGAAGTAGCAGATGGGCTACATTTCACTGAAGAAGGACCGAGAGTTTGGAAGATCAATCTTTATAAAAAAAAAATGTACATCAACTTGTCACTATCCACATAATCTGAAATGTGTTTGCTGATGATAACGTTCATGTGTTGTTTCTGGTTCCGTGTTGCAGGCACTTCAATGAAGTTGAACAAGAAACAAGAGAAGAGGCGTGGGAACTCCTCCTTAAAGGTAACTTCACTTCCTTTTTGGTAAATTAACATGACTCCCTTTCGTAACTGTGTAGGCCCAACAGCCTAGCAAACTTTGTGTGAGAGCCCGTCCTACAAGACTCTATGTCCAAATTCCACCGTTCATATTTTCACCATCTGTTCAATGATTCTCGTCTGTCTCCCATCAGCTCAGCAGCAGCTAACAGCAAATCTCTCCTCCACCCTGGACCAGCCCGAGGTCCACAACGACACCCAGCGGCACCTGAACACCCTCAAGATGCTGTGCTACTTGCTGTGTCAGACGGCCGAGGCGTTTGAAGCCGAGGCCTGCAAGCCTTCCATCGATACCACCGTCAAGGGAGGAAGGGTAAGGACTGATCTGTTAAGCCCCGCCCACTTTGTTTTGACCAATCACAGCAGTGTTTAATATCCAACATGTATGTGCTTCGATTCGCTCGTACCCCCCGCCCTGCAAACAGGATGCTGGGATACTCTGATGAGCTTCACAGAATCTTGTGAAGGAAGTGGCCTATGACCTATGTATAAAGCATCTGGCTGCAGCTGTTCAAGTGTGCTGTTCAAGTGTTAGACAATGTGCGCAAATGCTATCCGAAAACTTCCCATAGAATTGCGCACATTCCATACCGGATGTGATTTCTGTTTCATTGCGGACCATGTGGACAAAATTTTGAGCGTCGCATAATGCAATCCGACTGTTCGTGATTCTAAACGGAGTCTGAGCGAGTGACGGGAATTGTAAATTTACAACACAGATAAGTTTTACAGAATTTCCTACATTATGATTATTACGCTTTTCAACGAGAAAAAAACATCTCTGAACTGGAATAAAAGAGTAATGAATCAGTCTTAATGGCCGTTTCAAACCTTGCAGAGTCATGACTTTGATGACGCGCAGGTCACTGGTCACGCAAAATCCAACCAATCAGAGCTTGAATTCATCAGAGTATCCCAGCATCCTGTTTGCAGGGCGGGGGTACGAGCGAAGTGCTTCGAGACTTGCTTCCAGTGGTAAAGAAAGCGTATTGTATGCTTTCGTAAAAAGTACCTGGATGACTGCAATATTATTTTTGATATTTTTAATGGTTCCCGCACAACCTAGAGCGTAAACAATTGCCGTTGTCAACTAGTCAAAAAAGTGTCGCAAGCGCGCAGTACTGTCGCGCCTGCATGCAGCCGCAGCGCGCAGCAGGGTATATGGGCACTGTTGTCAATAACCACAATGGCAGTTTCGAGCACCGTGAAATTTGCTTCGGTAAGCAAAGAGTAATTCAACGAAATTTGAGAAATAAAGACAGTGTCCTGAAATTGATCAAGTCAGCCTAATATATGATAATAATAATATTGGTTCCCTTTTTTCGGGGGATACACGATTGTAATTGCTCTCGCTATAACAATATTTTTGACTGGTGCAATATTTTTATAGCTCATGCAATATATTCGTGTATCCCTTCAAAGCCATCCAATATTATATAAATATCCGTTATGAATATATTTTTTATAAATAAATATTTTGAAAGTTGTATCCATTCTCAAGTGTTTCCCTCAAAAAAATCCCAAATCAAAGAATAATTCAACGAAATTTGAGAAATAAAGACAGTGTCCTGAAATTTATCAAGTCAGCCTAATATATGATAATAATAATATTGGTTCCCTTTTTTCGGGGGATACACGAATGTAATTGCTCTCGCTATAACAATATTTTTGACTGGTGCAATATTTTTATAGCTCATGCAATATATTCTTGTATCCCTTCAAAGCCATCCAATATTATATAAATATCCGTTATGAATATATTTTTTATAAATAAATATTTTGAAAGTTGTATCCATTCCCAAGTGTTTCCCTCAAAAAAATCCCAAAAAACCCTAAGCTGCCGAACACTCCCTAATTTGTTTTTTAAAAACCTTGTTTCTTGTGACTTGGCCAGGGTCGGGCCAAGAGCAAGAAGCTGACAGCCGGCTGGGACTGGGACGAAGAGAAGGAACGCTTCCTGCAAGGCATCCTGCACCTCCTACAGCTAGAGGTCTGGAGGCTTTGGGACCCGCCCATCGTTGAGGAAGAATTTGTCAAGTGAGTTGTTAATGTCCTCCTCAATAAAGACTTCAATTACAGATCTGCCCAAATCTGACAGTAGTATAGCAGTATTTGCAATGGGTGAGTGTGGCCTAATGTTGTGGGTACATGACTCGTGATCAGAGGGTCAGGGGTTCGAATCCATCTGTTGGCCACTTACGTGTCCTTGGGCAAGCCACTTGACCCCCTCCTTGCCTCGCTCCACCCAGGAGTACGGTATAAATGGATACCGGCATTAGCTGCAATGAACTGACATCCCAGCCAGGGGGAATAGAAGTATTCTTAGTCATTTCATGTCACCGAAACTGGAGATGATCGCCTTCCTGATGGACTGTATTGGCTCAAGACAGAAATTTTTACTTTACTATTTGTATGAATATTACAAAAATGGTGTCTCAATTTGGGAGTAAAAAGAAAATGACATTGGTTTATGGCGGTGTTTAATTAGGTATTAATTGGTAAGATTCCTTGCAAAACTGCATTGAAAGTTAATAGTTTGATTTTGACTACTTTAATTCATGCCTGTTGTCACTGTCTACGCTATTTGTCACTACTCAGCCTTGTGAGTTGCTGTTGCTACAAGCTGTTGGAGAACCCATCCATTGGGCGAAGTGCAGGGACAAAAGAGGCATTGTTCAGTCTGCTGGGCCTCCTGATCAAGAGATACAACCACACACTGGGTAAGACGCAAGTTTCAGGTTTATTGCCGATTGACCAATCTGGGCATGCTATCACTTCTATTACGGAAGCCCACTTAATTTCAACTAGAGACCCTTGTAAAGTAGAGCATTTTAAGGCAATTCAGGAAGGTTTTCAGCATAAAAACGCCAACTTGAAGGTAGTTTTTCTTTATACAAAAATCATTTGATCGTTTCATCACAGACACCACGAAGTAACACTCCACGTTTTTTTTACATTTTTGAACAATATTCATCAAGGCCTACCATTGCACGAAGTTTCAAAGCTTCAAGAGCTTTACTTTAATAATTACGCTCATTATTCATGGCAACTTTAGCGCAAAAGTGACAATTTTCGTTTTCACAAAGTAACACTCAAGTTCCATTTACCATTGCAATGCATGGCGCGCACTCTGCTCAAATATGAGCACAAAAACGTTTTCACAAAGAAACACTCTCCTTGTATGAGAGCGCGCGCTGACCTGAAGTTGCACTTTCCTCGTGTTGTATACATTGAAGAGTGTTACTTCGTGAAAACGAAAATTTACAATTTCGCAGCTTTTTCGGTTTCAAGAACGAACACTCACCTTTTTTCTCTTATTTCTTGTTGATTTAATACACAAACGGATGAAAAACAGCAGATTTAATACATTCAATTCATCAAGTGTCCACAACGAGAAACCCAACTGAAAATACTCTGCCGTTTTGAGGCAAAGTCTTGTTTTAGAAGGCGTTCAACTTTAGATGCCGTTTTCTCCGATTGCTAGTTTTTACTGGTATGTACATGGGTGTTACTTTATGGTGTTGTTGACGGTTTCTTTAAAGCATTGATTATTTTCAAAGATGATTTACATTTTCACACTGAAACCTCATCTATTATCCAAAGCTTCATATTCCCACAAAATCAAAACTGCACTGTTATCACACTTTATAAACTTGAAACTTTTCATAAGTTGCATATTCCATTTCTTCTGTTTTTTTTTTCTTGTAGGAGCCAGTTTGAAGATCATCCAGCTCCTACAGCATTTTGAGCATCTGGTCAGTCCCATGGCCCAGGGGGTGCACACCATCGTCACTCAGTTTGGAGCCAAGAACATCGTCAGCGAAATCATGAGGTAAACTAAATTGTCAAGTAAGCCACAAAGGCATTGACAAAATGGGCAAACCACTGATATCGAGCTGTAGCTCAGTTAGTAGAGCACCGGAACGGCAATCTGGAGGTCACAGGTTCAAAACTCTGCTACAGTCAATTTCTTTGTTCAACTTGTAAATTAAATTGGGAAGAAAATGAAACAAAGACATGATTTTTGATTTTTCGAGCTGTTCTTGGAAGAGGAAGCAAACCACCAACAAAATTTTCTTTGAATTAAAAAAAAGACATATATGTTACTTTTATCAAATGAGTCTCACCCAACAACCTAAAAGTATGCTCCAATGATTATGTAAACGAGTTACATAATCCAGTGTTTCCCCTGCCCATTCAAACGTGAGGTGGCCCACCTTGGTACTTTCAGTGACCACCTTGCTCAATTTTTGCCAATATCACCACCTCGCTGTGAAGATTGGCAAAAAAGGAAATATCAATTGAAAAATGTTCATTTTGTGTAATATATAAGCGTTTTCCTTTACCTCCATGTATCAAGAACTCACAATTTCGATATGTTTTTGGAATCATCGCGCATTTTTGTGAGTGCTGCATTCTTTTCAGTTTGCAGACTGTAAATTTCGTTTCAATCATCAACTTGAATTGTTACCACCTCGCTCAGTTCATTAGCCAGGGGAAACACTGACATAATCAATGAATAACAATAACCTACATAATGTGGGATAAGCAAACCAGTCACAGGCGTCATATAATTATATGACGTCTTGGCTGTTAAAGCCAGAGTCCATCATTTGTAGCTATCAAAAAAGTAACTGGCGTGATTATTGTTGAAAAACAAATTTGGTTGAAAGTAGTAAAAGGACTAAACTCCCTGTGAAATTATTCTTTCTAGCAAGCTGTCATTTTGAAGAAATCAAAACAAGAAGGCCTTTCCAACGGTGCGTCTTAAGAAGCACCATTGGAAATTTCCGTTAGTAGTTCGGGTTTTTTTATTCGGCGAAGCGCGCGCAAGCGTTGACACGGCGCACACACGCGCGTGGTTGCTATAATTCGTCGGATCAGTGCGCGACATCGCATAGCTGCAATCGGCTAGTGAGAACATGTCTCGGATGCTGACATTCAGGCCCAATTCAAAACATGATTCAGCAACTTTTGATTTGAAGTCGAGATCATAGAATGTTGTTTTTCTCGAAATATACAGCTGAAGCTGAGCTGAAACTCCATCAGGTTAGTTGTTCAGCACCCTTCTTTAGATTTTGAGCACTTTTGTTGATTCAAACGAACAAAATGCACAACTTACAAGTGATGGACTATACCTTTAAACCTAATTTTACCAAAGAACACTTAATTACTGTGCTCAGTTATTTATAATCAGCTCGTATACTGTGATCTTGCAGAGAGATAGGCAGCCTAGACCCACGGGATCTAGCCAGGGATAACAGCGGCACCCGGTCCTACGCAGCTTTCCTCGTGGAGCTGGCTGAGAAGATTCCTGGGTTCATGCTGCCTAGCATCAGCCTGCTACTCTGCCATCTAGATGGAGAGGTATAATCAACGAAATCATATCCAGAGTTGTCTTTCCAGTAATGAAACCAAAGGATCCTAGGCAGTAAAGACTCAGAAGCCCAGGAAACCTAAAACTAGCACCCTTGAACAAAGACATTGGCAAACTTGGGAAGGGCCAACATTGGGCTAACAGGGTGAGTAAAGAAAGCGGAACCCATACCCCAAAAATTATATTTCATATTTAAAAAATATGTAGCACCAAAAATAATAATGACTGGAAAGCCAATTTCATAAGCTACTTTTGGATGAAAAAAATTACTGATGTTGGTCAATCCCTTAAAAAAAATATCCCCATTTAAACACAATGACCCTAAAACCTGTCTCGTCCAAAAAATGCGATTTCAACAATCATCGTTCACAATTGTCTTCAAACATCACCAGCGATGAAATCTTAGTTTAAACGTTAACAATATTCAACAAAGTCCTTTTGAAGGCCTGTCTTATGAAAAAGTAGATTTTATAAATCATACTGTTTGTCTAACCAGGGTTGTTTATAATCAAAATATTGTGTGCTAAAGTTGGTGACAGTTGTTGAAACAAGTATTTAGTGTCATTTTCTTTGTTGTTCCAAACAGTCAAAACACACAATAAATTGATTTTTTTGGACGAGACAGGTTTTAGGGTCATTGCATTTAAATGGTGGTATTCTTTGAACGGATTGAGCAATTTCAGTATGTTTTCATCGAAAAGTAGCTTTTGAAATTGGCTTTCCAGTCATTATTATTTTTGGTGCTACATATTTTTTTAAATATGAAATACATTGTTGGGGGTTTGGGTTCCGCTTTTTTTGACTCACCCTGTAGCTGAGTTGGTAGAGCACCGGTATGGTATTCCGGAGGTCGCAGGTTCAAATCCCTCTGTAGTCAATTTCTTTGTTCAATGTTTTATAGACGATTGAATGATGTTTCCTGTGTGTTTTTCTCACCAGTCCTACACTATGCGTAATGGAGTCTTGGGGGTCCTGGGTGAGATCATCATTCAGGTGTTGAGCAAGGACGGACTGGACAAGAAAGCCAAGAACACCAGGGATCAGCTCCTGGACAAGCTAGAGGTATATGTGGATCTACCCATGGGCTCAATACGATTAACCCGGAAGTAAAAAAAAAAAACCCAAAACAGAATAAATGTTAGATTTAGGCATTTTCAGCAGCATTTTTCCCATCATGAGCTAAATTTTGCTTGGGCCACTGATTTTCCATTTTTTAAGCATAAGTATGGAAAGGAAATAATGGATTTCCTCTTTTGAAAAGAAATTAAGCTATTTGGAAAAACCCTACGGTGTGTGCACAAAAAGAGGTAGAAAACATTAAAAAAATTAAAAGCTTCATGTTCTGCTCGTTACTTTGCTGTTTTAATGTCTGTATTGAAGCTGTACAACAGAAAACATTGTTCAGTCATTTGAAATTGACATCCACTGCATTACACATGTGATGACCGGGAAACAGATTTTCTCACACAGTTTATTGTTCAAATGGAATGGAATATATGGTTTCTTGAAAGCAAAATCAGCAGCCCTACTTTTCCTTGTGCAGTCTTTGGCAGAAGGGTTACCATTTTGTATGTTCTCAACTAGCAATTATTAACAAGCAGTGTTGTTCAGGCATGCATTGATGTCATTACAAATTGAAAAATACTGTTGCATAAAAGTTGCATGCCTGGTTGTTGTTCTCTCTTGTTCCAAACTAATTTTGTGTAATTCTTACTTGACTAACCGTTTCTCTGTAATGGTTACTCACTACAATGCTGACACTGCAAGAGCATCACAGCTGTTTGAAAAAAATGTAGCATTTGAAAGCTTCATCTCAGTTTCTGTTCATCAATACCAGTGTCAGTTTCATCAATACCAGTATCAGTTTCTGTTCATCAATGCCAGTGTAGAATGCCATGGTCCAGTGGTTACGGTATTTGACTCATGTACGAAGGTGCATGGGTTCGAGCCCGGCCAGGAACATGGTGTTTGTGCCCTTGGGTGTTTGTGCCGGGGTAATAATTGTAAAGCGCTTTGAGATTGTTGATACGATGGAAAGCGCTATAGCACAATTATTATTGTCTAATAACATGTTCAGTACATTGAGGTAGTTTCATGATTTCTCCCCCCCCCCCCCCCCCCCACCCTACACATGCAGGATCACATCCATGACATCAACGCCTTCAGTCGCAGCCGCGTCCTGCAGGTCTGGCTGCACCTCTGCAGGGAGAAGGCCATCCCGCTGCCCAGGCAGCGCAGCGTCATGTCGCTGGTGCTGGGTCGTCTTCAAGACAAGTCCAGCATCGTCCGCAAGAACGCTGTGCAGCTGCTGTCGGAGTTCCTGACAAGCAACCCGTTCGCTGCAAAGGTATACATTTATCTTAATAATAATAGTAACGTGGAGCTCATATAGCGCTTTATACCAAGCGGCTCAAAGTGCTTCCACAATTATTACTCCCATTCAATCAGGCCGTGAGACCATTTTATTCTGCAGCAGTTTGAGATCAGCAAAATCTGGTTCTACCTTCAAAGGTACCAATTTATACTACTGGATGAAGAGACAGGGGTGTGAAATCTCAGCTTTAAAGCTGATTTCAGCTCTTTTTAATTGTTTTGGATTTCAGCTTTTTCCCCTCACTTGCTGTGTACAAAAGTATAGGAGATTTCCAAAGTTCAGCTTTTTTACACCTTTTTCAGCTGTTTTCAGCTATTTTTATTAGTGGTCACTCACACCCCTGATATTTAGAGAGGTAATTGTAGTAAAGTGTCTTGCCCAAGAACACAAGTACCATGTTCCCCGTCGGGTTGGAATCGATGTACCATGGCACACGAGTCGATTTAGTATACAAAAATTGAGTGGCTCAGAGTGAAATGGGAGGAATATTATAGCAAAGTAAAATCTGGACTTTTCCATTTCACGAGGCAAAGTCGAGTGTTCTGGAAAAGCCAAGATTTTACCGAGCGATAATATTCCTCCCATTTCACAATTTAAAGCCCCTTAATATTTGTTTTATATAACTGACATATAGATCCTTGTCATTTGATATATTTGAACTTTATTTCAATACAAAACTGGAGAAAAATGTATTTCTCTCTTCCAAACCACCTCTTCACAAAATGTTTGAACCCAACGCTGTAGCACTGGTTCTTTGGAACAATACGCGCTAGCCGAACGTGCACACAAGTATGCATTTGCACACAAGTACCGCGTCGTGGAACAAGAATGATCCGAACTGTTTAATAGTATTTCCCATTCCCCATGAGTGGATAGTACTTTTTGAGCCGCGGCGTGAATGGGAGCAATAACGAATGTCACATGATGTGAGTTTCACCAATCAAATGACAAGGATCTGTATGTCGGTTATATAAACATTAAGATCTGTGGCAAAGATTGTTACATGTGACAGGTTAATATCTCTCTCATTACAGCTGCCAGTGGACGAGCTGGTCACCACCTTAGAAAAGGAGAAAGAAAAACTGAAAGCGATGACACCGGATGAACCTCAAGACATATCAGGAGGTCAGTCTCAGCCTTTCTATTACATCACACCGGCACCCTGAATCGGTTAGCTCTCCCAGCCCAAGTTTTGCAGTGTTTGACAAATTCACCAGCTGCAGTATCCTGACCCAATAATAACACAGGGTGATTGAGTTTTGCATTTGGTGTCAATACTTAAAGGTATAGTCCATCATTTGCAGCTATCCAAAAAGTAACTGGCGCAATTATTGTTGAAAAACATACTTGGTTGAAAGATAGTAAGGGGACTAAACTCCCTGTGAAATTATCTTTCTGGCAAGCTGTCAACAGTCATTTTGAAGAAATCAACAAAAGAAAGGCCTTTCCAACGGTGCTTCTTAAGAAGCACCGTTGGAAATTCAAATTATTAGTTCATTTTGTTATTCGGCGAAGCGCCCTCAAGCGTTGACACGACGCACACGCGCGTGTGGTTGCTATAATTCGTCGGATCAGTGCGCGACATTCGCGTAGCTGCAATCAGCTCAGTGAGAACGTGAGAAGTTGAACGTGTCTCGGACGCTGAATTCAGGCCCAATTTAAAACGTGATTCAGCAACTTTTGATTTGAAATCGAGATCCTAGAATGTTGTTTTTCTCGAAATATACAGCTGAAGCTGAGCTGAGACTTCATCAGGTTAGTTGTTCAGCACCCTTCTTGATGATGGACTATACTTTTAAAGACTCACAATTGATTGTTCATTTTGATTTGTGGCATCAGATGTCCATGGCAAGACTGAGGAGATGTGGCAGGCCATGGAGCCGGAGTTAGTAACCGCCGTCAAGGAGTACCTGGAGGAGGCGGGAGAGAATGAGGAGGAGGAGGAGGCCAGCCGGGTGGAGATACCTGAAGATGCATCCGTGGAGAGGTATGTGGGAAGATAGTAGGGCTAGGCTATGCATTTTTGGAATAATTTAGTATTCAATTATTCCTGCTTAGTATTGATCAAATATTCAATTTTCAAAGTACACTGATCAAGTTAAACAAGCACCAGGCTACACTGACCACTGATCTGGATTTCCTAGTACCTGTGCTTCTTTGAAAATTGACAGCGAGTTTATTAAAATTATTATTAATATAAAAGAACAGGTGGTGGAATGACTGATGTTTGACCGATTTTGAAGAAGACATTTGTACCCGGCTCCACAAAATTGAAATTGAGTTATATACATGGTTGGAAAGCCCACAATTTATGCTTTCATTTGATATATAATAGAGCTCCATAGTCCCTCCCATTCTGGAGCTATGATGTACTTGCATATTAATTACTTCCTGGGAGTTCGAATTGTATAACTGAGAAAACAGGCTTTGAAATAGCTGGCTTTGTTGTAGAACAACAGAACGATGCACACAAAATGGTCTTTTGTTCCACTTTATTCATCAAAATCAACATTTCTGTGAATGAAATCTGAAACTGTGGGTATTGAAGATGTCATTCATGACAAAAAATGAAAATCATATTTTGACAAGATTTTCACCCTCTCAACATTGAGCAGGCCATTACAGGATAATGCACAGCGCGATTTAATACCCTTTTTTTGTGGAGCCGGTCACATTTGAGCTAATATTTCACATGAAGTCTAAAATTATGCGCCAAAGTGGCTTTCAACGAAAGTTTTGCTATTCACTCAGTGTTGTGACGAGCCTGCGAGAGCTCCTGGATAAATCCCAGCATCGCCAGGCCCTACGTCTGCTCCAGGCTGCCAGGGATTGCTGGCCAGACTGCCAGCTCCTCACCGCAACACCTCCTGTCTTTAGGTAAGGACACCTTCATGGTAGATCACTGCATCTGTATCTGTATCTGTATCATATGGTCGGCAAAGCATCCCGGGGGAAACATCACACCAACTTGATGTATACACATCCTTCCTGCCAGAAACACCGGGGCGAACCCCTTCTCTTAGCGATAAGCGTTACTGGGTTCTTTTACATGCGTTAGGCCTTATACAACACGCGGGACCTACGGCTTTGCGTCCCATCCGAAGGACGAAGCAAGAATGGTAAAGTGCCTTGCTTAAGGGCACAAGTTTTTGCGCCTGGGCTCGAACCCACGCCACTGTTGCCTCTGAAACACAAGAACATGAGTCCGGTGCTCTTAACCGCTAGGCCATGATCACTAGCTGGGGAATTTGTGTTTTCCTTGTTTGTTTCTGACCCCTGTAATGTTGCATAGGCACAACTACCGGTGCGGGATCACATTCCTGCAATGATAGCAGGAACTCACTGTCGGGTGGTTGTTTATTGATAAATGGGTGGATCTGTTGAGCTTAAAGGGAAGATGCAACATTTGCAAACATCAAAAAACGAAATGATCAAATTATCACCAAATACCTTACTGGATTGTTAGGGAATGGCATTCTAAAGCATCCTGTAAAATCGTGGCTCCTGGTGTGCTGACATTTTCAAGAAAAAGTGTATTTTTCCAACGCTGGTCGGCCGACCAGCGTTGGAGAAAACTGACTTTTTTCAAAAACTGCTCCTACATTTTCATATTTACTCATTCCTCATTTTCTTTGCAATTGATTACACACTGTGAAGGAGTACAAGCCCGCTAGACTGATTCCCTGACCTTACAATTCCCCAAAGACTGTAAATTGCTCTGTTTCATCTTGGGGTCAGGAAACCAGACTACAAGAACATGATTGGTTTTCTTGGTTTTCCAGCATCTACGAACCCAAAACGTGAAACAAGTCAGTTTAACAATATTTGCTATAACATACTAATCCTCCAAATCCATTTATTTTCAAAAAATTTCATCAAAAGCACATGTACATTCCCTTTAATGGTCTCTTGAATTTGTACCTAATCTGTATTTACTGCTTGTCTCTCTCATCTGACTTGGTATGTACACACCCAATTGTTTTTTCCCCAACCAACACTTGACCCTTATTATGCTACATTCTTCAGCCCCCTGGATGGAGATGAAGATGACAATGATGAATCTCAAGATGCTGAGGCCCAACTCCTTGCTACCCTCAAAGCTGTCTACCTTGGTAAGGATACAGACTCAATCCATCTTCTGATTTTGCTCTTTGTGCTGATTGATTTGTCTATTTATCTAATTATTTGGTTGACTGATTAAATATTAGCAACTTACCCTGCTGTTTTTCTAACTGTTTTTCTAACAGTTTTTATTCACATTCTTCACAAACTGCCTGTAATAATTAGGGCTGTGCATTGGACCGGATACCCGTGTACCCGACCGTTGATGTCAGGAACCGGTTCCAGATTATGGGATTGGGTACCCGTAACCAACTTGGCAAATTACTCAGTAACTTCTCAGACAAGGAAAAAAAGAAAATTTAATTTCAATCATTTGTGGGGGATTTTCTAAATGAAAACCAGGCCACAGTTCCCGTACTACCTGTAAATGCACACTCCTAGTAATAATCCATGAGGTCTTTCAGCGTGATAAGAACAGTCTTTGAGGAGCAGGGTTTTTTTTTTTATTGCGTATGCATAAGACAGACAATGGGCAAGAGAGATGATGAACTCTTGAACGCCATTGGGGAGATATGGCTCGCGCTCACACAAGAACACAATGGGCTTGTTTGTGGTTAACTCATTCTGAATGTAATAATCATGTTGTGCTTTGCACCATATGTGTGTGATCCTGTGTGTGCGTACAGTGTGTACCAGACACGAAGCTCTCTGTTAGGGAAGCACCATATCTTTTAAGTCCAAAGTCACAGGACAGATTGTATTGCCAAAACGTTCCACATTCAAATTTTAACAACAGAGCCAACAGCCAAACTCTCTTGCATTTACTTCCAGGTGAGAAGCTTTCGGAGCCGGTCGACTCGGACCCAGAGGAGGCCCTCAATCTTCACAATGTAGGAGAGCTGACGGGGGAGACAGCCCCATCATCATCAGGTGCAGCAGGGGGTGATACGGAGACCGCAGGACCTGTGGTCAACGAGCTGTCTAAGCAACAAGTCCTGGTCAAGTACTTGCAGGTGGGCCCAAATTACTGTCTAATCGAAAAGACCCAATTCCTGGAGCTGCTAGAAGAAAGCACGACTTAAATCAATTCCCGTGCTGAGCAATAATCAGGGCCCAATTTCACGGCGCTGCTAAGAACAAAAAAAGTCCGGCTTATAAAAGCAGGTTATCAGCCAAAAATGTGATTTTCATGTTAAGCAAACAACACCTGAATACTAATCACGAGCAATATACATCACGTGGAGTTTTGGCTGGTAACCTGCTTTGATAAGCCAGACTTTTTTTGTGCTAAGCAAATGTTTGTGCTTAGCAGCGCCATGAAATTGGCCCCAGCTGAGAACCAGTCACAAGTAGTATAACCTTTTTTTTTTCATTTGGTTTTTGCTTAGCAAATATTTCCTGTGCTTAACAAATTTCTGTGTGTGGCTTTTTGACCCAAATTTTATGAAATTAGAAACCTGGTGTCAATCGTTTTAAAGGATTTCAAATACTTTGTTAACATCAATGTGTAGTTTGAACTACTTGAAACCTTCTTTTGATTTTACAATACTGTGACTCAGTTTACATGAATGAATTATGAAATTCACTTTTATCTTTAAAATGAAGGGATTTCTTGATGAATTAGAAATTTCAAAAGGAACTTGCTTGGGAAATTAACTATCTTAGTGAAAGATAATGTTCTTCTAATGTACAACGCGTGCTGGAATTTGATTATTGACTCAAATCCAGTCATAAATCCATTTCAATCAGGTTGGCATGCAACTTGGGCATTTTTACTTCATCCCTAACCCCTAGGGTATTTGGGGCTAGAAACCCCCTGCGAAATGCAGTAACATCATTCAGCACTTGTCAAGCCGACAAGCCTGCTCAGTGTAGCAAGATCCATCAGGTCAAAAGTCTCGATGCCAAACTGCCTCAGAGTCTGTGGTCACCAACTGCAGCACAGTACAGCTCTGGCATTGTTCAGTGGGACAAGCTCTCATTGATTCAGATTTGGCCATTTATGCATCGATGTTGAAGGCTCAATGCAGCAAGGTCCCACAGAGTTTTACACCAGATGCACTGGTCTGCATCTGTCAGGGTTTAGGATTAATGTCAAGATTCAGTACTTACAATTTTTTCCCTTCTTTTGCTTGACCCCTGTCAGGACTGCGTGACCTTTGCCAACCAAATCCAGACGGCTGTGCCCATCCTGTGCGAGCTCCTCAGCTCCAAGGTCAACAGTGACGTCCTGGAAGCCATCGAGTTCTTTGTCAGGGCCCACGAGTTTGGGGTGACCAGCGCGGTGGAAGGCATCCGTCGCATGATGGTGCTGGTGTGGTCCAAGGAGCAAGGGGTGAAGGAAGCCGTGGTGACCGCCTACAAGAGGCTGTACCTGACCCCACAAGGTGGCACCCAGAGGTACAGATTGGTGGACTTATTATCCCTGATCAGTAGACTTTCTGGGAATTTCTGCTTCCTGTGAAAGTAAGGGTAGATAACAAACACGGGGTTGAAAGAGTTGAAAGAGGGTTCCATGCCTGACTACCAGAGGCCGTACCTGACCTCAGAAGGTGGCACCCAGAGCAACGGGTTGGTGTATGATTACCGGGCCCTGATCAGCAGGCTTGTAAATGTTTCAGGAAAATTGTCCGTCCCTGGCAAAAACAAGGGGTCTAAAGCAAGGCCTGAACGAGGCTCAGTTTCTGCCCACAAAAGGCTGTACCTGACGCCGTTAGATGACACCCAGAGTTGTGGGTCTAATGAATTAATTACCCCTTGAGATGAGCAGGCTTGTAAGTGGCTTTTTAACCCTAACCCTCCTCAATCCTCCAAAATCCTCCTGCCGATTTTGGGTGATTTTAGAGGATTGAGGATTGAATGGCAAAGATGTATCGCTTTTTTTGTGGAGGATGCATTACCTCAAGCCAGTAGGCCATATCCTGCATTGGTTATGTTCAGCCATGCATAAATCAGCCCTGTGTTTTTTTCTCGTATTTCATCCGCACTGCTTCTAAAACGCCATTCGCACTGCCTCAAACCATAGCAGTAATTGATAGAGGATTTGGGAGGATTGAGGCAGTGGTCACCCTCCACAGACTAAATTCAAGAAAATAACAAATGATTTTGGAGGATTGAGGCTGAATCCAATTTTTGTCTTGGTGGCAATTGGAGGATTTTGCAGGATTGAGGTTGCATCCTAGCCAGAGGGCCTAGGGAGTTATGGATAAAACTGTTAAAATTCCAGTTGGGGCAATTTTTTTCACAGAAATGCAGTGGCCTGCAGCCACAGTTTTCAGATTGGCCCCAAGTTTGCTCATTTTTTCTTTTGGGTGAATTTTGGGGGATAAAAAATGTCTTAAAAAGCCTAGGCCCCAAGGTGAAGTTTGGAGTGTTGTACATTCCACAGATCTAACCAAGGGAATGTAGATCAGCCATCCCCTTATAGGTTGGACAAATCTGAAATATTACCACCGTGCTTCTATAAAATTTGAAATCAATAGAAACTGTAATTTAACTTTTCCGAACTTCCCCTTTATGCAATGTTTGGAGTCCACTCTGTTGTGCATCATGCAAAGCAGGAATACACACAGTCCCAGGCATAAGATTTTCAGACTTTTGTCTCAAATCAGAATTTTAAATCTGAGAGAAAGACATTATCAGTATAGAAAGAAATGCATCTTTCAGACAATTTTTTCAATTTTCAGCCTTTTTTTTTAATTGACAATCTCATCCCTGCTTATAAGATACATTTTTTTGCCCAGTTCTAAAGCGGGAAGTTCAGAACAATAATTGCCCAAGCCCCCTCAGAAAAATAATTGCCCAAGCCCCCCTAGAACGCCATGGTCCAGTGGTTACAGTGTTTGACTCATGTATGAAGGTACGTGGGTTCGAACCCTGCCAGGAACAGGGTGTTTGTGCCCTTGGGCAAGACACTTAACTACAATTGCCTCTCTCCACCCAGGAGTATAAATGGGTACCTGCCAGGGTAGAGGACCGATTGAGCGCTGATATCGGCTGCCGCGTGGTCCCATGGCCTGATGAACGGGGTAATAATTGTAAAGCGCATTGAGATCGTTGATACGATGGAAAGCGCTATTAAAGCACAATTATTATTATTATTATTATTATCATTTTCTCTTCGTGATTCCAGAGCACGCAGTCTGACCGTCGTCAAGAACCTGATGGCCCTGACCTTCTGCGCCAGCCTCGGGGAGCTGACGTCCCTGGAGGAGCTGCTGGCCGAGTTCATGAGGAGCAAGGACATCCCTGCCCAGGCCATCCAGCTGCTGTGGGAGTACTTCACCAAGAAGCATGCCAACACCGCGGACGAGGAGAGCAGAGCCGCGCTGGTCATCATCGGCATGGTTGCTGGGTAGGTGTTGCGTTTGTCGGATCTGTAGAACATTTTGACTGCAGAATAGCTGCAGGGAATAAGTAGATCTATATTATGGCAGTATGCTAGTGCTAACGTTATTAAACCTAACTCCCTAGGGTGATTAAAGATATAGTCACTTGTAATTTGTGCATTTTGTTCGCTTGAAGCAACAAAAGTGTTCAAATCTAATGAAGGATACTGAACAATTAACCTGATGAAGTTTCAGCTCAGCTTCAGCTGTATATTCCAAGAAAACAGCATTCTAGGATCTCAATTTCAAATCAAAAGTTGCTGAATCATGTTTTGAATTATTTTGAATTGCAGCTATATGCAATGTCGCGCACTGATCCGACGAATCATAGCAACTGCGCGCGCCTGTGCGTCGTGCCAATGCTTGCGCGGGCTGCGTCGAATAACAAAACGAACTACTAATTTAAATTTTCCTACGGTGCGTCTTAAGACGCACTGTTGGAAAGGCCTTCTTTCGTTGATTACTCCAAAATGATAGCTTGCCAGAAAGATTAATTTCACGGGGAGTTTAGCCCACGTACTATCTTTCAACCAAGTATGTTTTTCAACAATAATACGCCAGTTACTTTTCCGGATGGCTGCAAATGATGGACTATAGCTTTAACTAGGAACCATCCTCATCCTTGCAAATCCCAACACCATTTGGTAAACTGTGCACATAAACAGTTGGACTCTGTTTATTTGTGGTATGCCTAATCCCACGTAAAGCACAGTCAGTTTACTAGTGCAGTACTCATCCTAACAGATTCCAACAAACCCTGGTGTTGGAGTTTGGCTGGTTGGGGATCATTAGGGTTAAAGTTGTGTTCCCTGTGCTATTTACAAGTTTCTTCCTGAAAAAAAAATTCCTTTTCTAAATTTTTTTTTTAGCAATACAAAAGATATTCACTTTTGAATAAAGATAAAAGTGTTAAATTATCATCCCCCCTTCCATTCTTGCAGTGCTGATGTGAACATTGCCCGCAGCAACGTGGACGTCTTGGTGTCGGAGGGGCTGGGGCCGAGGGGCCAGGAGGACTTCTCCTTAGCCAGAGATACCTGCCTGGCTCTGCTTAAGATTGTCAAAGCGGACAAGGTCAGTCTGGTTTGCATAGTTGGCTGAGTGTTCCAACAAACAATGCAACAATTGGTCTACCCTTGCCAGCTAGATGTCAACCATTGAACTTTAAAAACTTTACGACTACGAGTATTGTACAACACGCGCTAACTGTATGGTGCCTGGAGTGTTTTTGTATCAATACCACATTGTCCCGTCATGGTTCCTGACTATACATTGCATTGTCATTTAAAATCAGTACGACCGTGCCTGTTGATTTGGTGGAAACTTGTCAGGAAAACTCCCCTTTTTTTTTGAGGAAAAAAACACACTTTCAGAAATGTTATTTTTTTTTTGTAGCCAAAAGTTCTAGGAGGTGAGGAACCATTCCGCTTCCCGGCTGACCATCAGATCTTCACTCGCCTTTCAACCATCCTAGTCACAGGTACGTATAAGTGAAACCGTATTAGAAAGCATAACAGCAAAATCACTCTATGACCACAATGAGTTGTCCACATTCCAATGCAAACAAGTCTTGTACATTCCAAAAAGTCCATGCACACAAAAAGCAGCAACTCTAGGTTGAACCACTGATGTACCCTGTAAATCCTATATATCCCATTGAGAACCTTGTGAAACCTAAAGGTTAACCTCAAGGTAAACCTCAAGGTAAACCTCAAGGTAAACCTCAAGGTAAACCTCAAGGTAAACCTCAAGGTAAACCTCAAGGTAAACCTCAAGGTAAACCTCAAGGTAAACCTCAAGGTAAACCTCATGGTAAACCTCAAGGTAAACCTTCAGGTAAACCTTCAGGTAAACCTCAAGGTGAACCTCAAGGTAAACCTTCAGGTAAACCTCAATGTAAACCTCCAGGTAAACCTCCAGGTAAACCTCTTGATGAGCTGATTGATTAGTAATGCATCAACTGATAGCTTCAATAGATTGATTGATTGGTTTCAGGAATCACTGACCTGAAGAAGAACCACTGGCTGCCTCTAGCCGAGCAAGCCATCAACACCATCTACCGTCTAGCTGAGCATCCAGACCGTGTCTGCGGTGATATCACCAAGGGTCTGGCATCGGCTGTCCTGACCACTGACCAGGACCAGGACAAGACTGCCAATGCTGAGGACCCAAGCCAATCAGAACAAGAAGGTAACTTTCAACACTTTAAAGTCCTAACTTCCCTGAATCCTTCAAAATTCTCTTTGCCAAAGTAGAGGAATTTGGAGGATTGAGGTTACATGGCCAAAGGGCGTTACTGATTTCGTAGGATGCACTTTGTCAAGGTCTTGGGCCGGACTTTGCAGTGTTTTTGCTCAGCAATGCATAAATATAGGCCTGGATTATGCTTGAAATCCTCCATACTGCTTCAGGATGTCACTGGCCAAGCCTCAACACATTGACAGTCACTGCCGCAGGATTTTGCAGGATTCGGGCAGTGTTCACCCCCCCCCACGGACCATATTCAAAACTATGGAGGAATTTGCAGGATTGAGGTTATATGCTATTTTTTTCATGAGGCCAATTGGAGGATTTTGCAGGATTGAGGCTACATCCTAGCAGAAAGGCCTGGGGAGTTATAAATGTTTTATTTGTTTGCAAATTTCAGTTAATCAATATTTTGTTTGTTACGGTTTCAGTTCATGGAATGGCTGGGGTTTTTTTGCGCGCTCATTTTCTCAAATTCTGGAAAGCCAGCACTAGTTGCAGCATGCAGGTGCCTGTCCATGGATTGTTGGAGGTTTTTGGGGTGTGTTATTTTTTGGGGGTTTTTACCCCGATAATATTTGGTGTATTCTTTTGTGTCTCAAAAGGTAACTGTCATTTTCACAAAGTGGTTTTCAATTGACTGAATTAAAAATTGTAACCACACCATCATACATCATACATCGATTGATTAATTGAGTAATCAAATAAAAGTTGCAGCCCTAGAAGTTTATAACTTGGAATGTGTTGAATATTTCACTCGGAAAATGTGTTTAAATCAGCAAAACATGCTGGAATATCCTGGGCGTACAAGAACCCGGTGTTCGCATGTTAAACTTTTCCCTTATTGGAATGAACCAAGATTGAAATACACATGTATGCAATTTGCACATAATCACATAAAGCTGACATTTCAAGCATACTGTCTTCTTCTGACAATAGGAGAGTTGATGCTTTGCATGTTTGCATGGTGGAGAAATCAAGTGTTGACTCTTTGCTGTAGAAAATAGAATTTTATTAGAAATTGGTTTTGAAAAGAATCAGTTGGTAATATAGCTCACCACTTTTCCAGATAATGCTGATTTACCACATTCCACGAACCTCTGGAATTTAGTTTAAAAAAAATCCTTCAAAAAAAGGGAAGCAAAATTCAAATCATTTTATTGTTCATAATTATGCTGCACTTGCGGAGTCATGGTTTTCATCGTTTACACCATTTATAAAGGAAAAGTCTTATGAACATGATGTATTTACTCATAATTTTCATCCAGCCTTGTCTGTCCATTTTCCCCCAGCCGAATCAGCGCCAATCACCGCCTGTCAGGCCGGCGTCCTGTCCCGTTTCCTGGCCTTTGCCGGCCACGTGGCCTTAGCCCAGCTGGTTCACCTGGACGTCATGGTGTCCGGGGAGATGAAACGCCGACGCAACATCCAGGAGAAAGAGAAGGAGAAACAGACCAAAGGACAGAAGGAAGCCGCCAAGGTAACGTGATCACTGCATGTTGCGTAGTCTGTGCGTAAAACTATTGAGGGCGCTGATGACTTCAAGTTTCTTTGAGCTAGATAGATTTTGTTCAAGGCGTATATGATACAGTTGAACGTCGCTATACCGAACATCACGGGAGCCACAGAAATTGTTTGTAATAGCAATCGTTCAGTATAGCGATTTTAAGCCGAAACTTACCAGCTTGTGGTTTTTCACACATTAGTGGCGCCCTCTCTTGACCATTGTTTTATTATAGTGGCATTTACAAACCGCGCTCTGCTTCGCCAAACTTGTCCATTCATCTATTCAGTTCCGTAAGCAGAACTTCACCCTGCACGCCCTGGTAGTTCCTGAAAGACAACTTTGAATATGTGCGACTATTGAATCATGTAATTACACAGTTTTTGAGCTTACACGGGTGGCTTTTCCCTTCTATTCCTGGGGAAGTAATAGCCATTTGTCGCTCTTCTGTTGACATTTTTCATCAACAATGTTCATGTTCAATGTTCATTTGTACACAAAAATTGGGAGCCAAGGATGATGGTCCATACAGCTGAATGTTCGGTATGCATTTATCCCAAAATCAACCCAGCGAATTATAATCAAAAAGCTTACACGGATTAAAGATCGTACTGGTACTGAACACCCCATGAAATCAGCAAATTATAATCAAAATGCTTACTTAAATCAAAGATTGTACTTGTACTGAACACCCCATGAAATCAGTCCATCTGGCTTGCTGTCATTTTAACAAAATCAAGAAAAGTAGGCGATTTCTAACGATAAGTCAATTGACTGATTTTTGGGAAATAAAGAGTGCTGTAGACGATATCATGTTTTGTGATCAAAAAGTTGTGCAGAGTTTTTTACTGTTTATTTTTGTTTTCGAAAAGAGTTTCATCCACTGAGCTGAATCAAAGTTCAACGGGTTAGCTTTTGAAAATTGTGAATCTGCTCTTGTGACCATCTTTTGTGTGTGTGTTTTCTTAGGAGAGTGTTAGTGGTGAGCAGGCAGGCATTGAGGATGAGATGGGGCTAGGGGCAGCAGCAGCTGAGGATGCCGAGGCTGAATACATCCGCAAGATATGCGAATCAGAACTCGTCACTGGTGAGAAGGATTTCAATCAAAGTTTTGATCTGTACCACCCAAAACTGCCAGGCTTTGTACTCCAGGGGTGTGAAATCTCAGCTTTAAAGCTGATTTCAGCTTTTTTTGTTTTGGATTTCAGCTTTTTTCCCTCACTTGCTGTGTACAAAAGTATAGGAGATTTCCAAATTCAGCTTTTGTACACCCTTTTTCAGCTGTTTTCAGCTATTTTTATCAGTGGTCACTCACACCCCTGGTACTCGGTCACTCAAATTTTCAAGCGGGGTTTTGGATTTTTGGACAGAACCAACAAATAGGCTGGACGATAGATCAATTTTTCCAGACCCTCCTCACGATTTCTTGACAAATTCACAGTTGTGATTGCAAAAAAGGAATGCCCCACAAAAATCTGACGTGCTTGCATTTACTCATGATGCCTGTGGTTGGAACATAAATTTCATTCACCAAGTTTAAAATGCACTCACAGTTCACATTTTGACTGTGGATCTGTTTTGTTCAGACAAAAAATGGTGAACAGTTGGAAGAACGGATGACGTCCATAATTTCAGCAGATTATACCCGCAGATTTTCAATAAGAACAAGACAAGACAGGCCTTGAAAATCTGATACTAGACCAAAACCCTGCCTGATAATTTGAGTAACCAAATACGTGGAGTGCTGTGGCCTCGTGGTTAAGGGCACTGGATTCGTGGTCTGTGTAAAGCTGCAGGTTGTAGGTTTGTGTCCAGCCTGGGGTCATGGTGCATGTGCCCTTGGGCAAGGCACTTTGTCACTCGTTGCTTCTCTCCAACCAGGAGTGAATGGGTACCTGTGAGGGCAGAGATGGTTATTGTGATTGAATTAGCTTCCTTGCGCCTAACAGGCTGCATCGAGCTGTATACTCCCCGGGGAGCTGAAATGTTATTTGGAATATTAAATTGGCCCAATGATCAGGAGTAATAATAATGTAAAGCGCTTTGGTCTTTGTTAAAAAAAGCGCTATAAGAACCTGCTATTGTTATTATTATTATTATTGTTATACTTATTATTATTATTATTATAATTACCAGTCTAAATTACAAGTGACAGTCAGTCAGTGAGATAGGTAACCAGACTAATTCACAAAGAACAGTGAGTCATCAGTTAGATTGGAATAAAGACGACTGTCGGCTTGCCCTGTGAGACCAGCAAATGTGATGCGATCAAGCTACATGAGTCGTTTGTCGACCCTGGTAAAAAAAAAATTATTTCAGGTTTGAAAAGAACACCATCTCAGCATTAAAGATATAGTCCATCATTTGTAATTTGTGCATTTTGTTCGTTTGAAGCAACAAAAGTGCTCAAAATATAAAGAAGGGTACTTAACAACTAACTTGATGAAGTTTTCAGCTCAGCTTCAGCTGTATATTCCAGAAAAACAGCATTCTAGGATCTCAATTTCAAATCAAAAGTTGCTGAATCATGTTTTAAATTGGGCCTGAATTCAGCGTCCTAGATACGTTCTCACTGAGCCGATTGCAGCTACGTGATGTCGCGCACTGATCCGACGAATTATAGCAATCGCGTGTGCGTCGTGCCAATGCTTGCGCGCTTCGCTGAATAACAAAACGAACTACTAATTTAAATTTCCTACAGTGCATCTTAAGAAGCACCGTTGGAAAGGCCTTCTTTCGTTGATTACTTCAAAATGACAGCTTGCCAGAAAGAATAATTTCACAGGGAGTTTAGTCCCCATACTATCTTTCATCCAAGTATGTTTTTCAACAATAATTACGCCAGTTACTTTTCGGATAGCTGCAAATGATGGACTATAGCTTTAATGAAAACCGCATGCTGATACCATCTTTAGTTCAAAAATTATGGAAGTTGGAACACCAAGAGATGTGATGAAGTGATTTGATGAAGTGGCCCTATTGTGGCCTGTATCTCCAAATAAAAAATCCTGACAAACGACTCATTTAACTTGATCGCATCACAAATACTTTCAAGTACAACAACACCACATTGACCACAAGTTTCACATCCCTCTATTTCTCCCAGGCACCAACCTCCTGTCAGCCGTCCGTCCTCTCCTGGTCTCCGTCTGCAGCAACCCTGTCAAGTACAGCGAGCCTAGCCTGAGGGCTGCCAGCTCCCTGGCCCTGGCCAAGTTCATGCTGGTCAGCTCTGAGTTCTGTGAGGCACACCTCCAGCTGCTCTTCACCATCTTGGAAAAGGTAGGAGCATGTCTTTCACATTTCTCAGATCCTTTTCTTTCTTACAAAATTTCTTAACGGGTTTGTGCCAAACAGAAGGCCAAGAGCAACTCAAACCAGTGTTGTAGCGTAAGAACTTGCGACGGATCACAAGTACATCACAAGACTGGTCACAGATAATCGCTAATCTTGTCACAGATAATCACTAGTTGATTCACAAGTCCTGTCAAAAGTAGTAGGAGATGAACAATAATTTGAATAGCTTGTGACTTTACTTGGGACTAATTGTCATGACTTGTGATGGATTTGTGAGGGGTTTGTTATCCATCTCAACTGCCTGCTATAATCTAAAAAAAAAAACAAGGAAAAAACAAAAAAATCTTCTTTTGTCGAAATGAAAAACTCAGACTTTGGATTTGAGACTCAAGGCTTTTAATTGATTACAGAATGTCATGTTTTTTTTGTATTGACCCAGAGTATCCAAAGGCAGAGACTTGAACACTGGAGCCTAAAGTCAAATGTGCTGACAAAGCCAACTTTTTCGGAAATAACACTGCAGCCATCATACTTTCTTCGTTTCTGTTTTTTCTTCCCAGTTTTTACATTTCCTTGTGAATGCATTTGGCGTGACAATACTCACCCAGTATTACAGACCCATCTCAATAACAAGTTTTAAGGTTTGTTTTCTTTGGTCTCGTTCTCTTTCAGGCTCCGCAGCCCGTCATCAGGGCCAACATCATCATTGCCCTGGGCGACCTGACCTTCCGCTTCCCCAACCTGATTGAGCCTTGGACTCCAAACCTATACGCTAGGTAGGATTTGATAACCCCATCGCTCAGAAATCATATCAAAGATCTTGTTAGACACCTTGATTAAAGTACATCTGTATTGTCATCATTTAAAGCCTCTATTCATCTGAAACATTTTCCTACATTCATGTATTGTAAAGACTTATTGTAAGGTTCATGTAACTTGAATTTGCAATCCAAATTAACTAAATCAATTTGTTTGTGTAGCCCATTCATTAAGTTTTCAGTTGCAAGTAATAGCCGAACAGTTAAACATTGTTAGAAAAAACTGTATTTCGATAAAATACAGATAATAAGCTTGAAAATGATAAACATGTTTCATTTGTGGCATGGAGGTTTACAATTCCATTGAATTGCCCTACTGTTACCACAGAATTGTCTGCTATTAGACATTAATACTTTGCGTACAGTAAGAAGCACAAAATTGACCCCTGGTTTTGTGGGGATGGATTTTGTACAACCAACCAGTTGGGCAACAACACATGAAAACAATCAAAACCTTCCCTCCTAACTCCAGACTGCGGGACCCGTCGCCCCACGTCCGCAAGAACACCCTGATGGTACTGACCCACCTGATCCTGAATGACATGGTCAAGGTCAAAGGTCAGATCAGCGAGATGGCCACCTGCATCGTGGACTCGGAGGATCGCATTGCTTCCCTGGCTAAACTCTTCTTCTTTGAGCTCTCCAAGAAAGTAAGCAGAATTTCAGTGAATTTTCTCACACTAGCTGCAGATCTGAGATACCCAGGCGACTAGTTTATTGCCCCTACATAACTAAAGTTGCCTGAAGTTGAAGCCGCATTGGTGTCTGAGGGCTTATTTCTGTCCATTTTATTGAGAAAAAAAGTAACAACTTTTCAGCAATCTAAATTTTTACTAGTGTAACAGATACAAAACATTCAAAAATGAAACTGTCAAAATATCATGAAATATCCTAGATGATTGTAAGTAAATAATAGGATCATGCATCCTGTGAAATCATTGCGCCTAGTATGGGCCTTATTCACGTGTTGGCCATTTTTGTTGAGTTCCCTGAATGTACTTCATTAATTGTTAACTGTTGAATAGGATGGCGTCAGACTTTTTATGCAGGCACAGTGCAGCCTTATTGTAACTGTCATTTTTGTTTTAAATATGGCTTTAAACATTCGGGAATGTTTAATTACAAATGTTAAATTATTCATTGAAGCAGACTGGAATTTATTTTAAATTAACTTGCTTTTATTTCTCTTCGCAATTTCCAAAAATTGACATTTTACCTAACTTTCAATTCAATATGGCCGACTTGTGAATAAGGCCCATGCTGTCATTTTGGAAGAAAATAGGAATTTACCATCATTTCCTCATGATGGTGAGAATCGAACATCACGCTGTCAACAGAAAACCTATGCTTTGTGTCAATTAAAATATGCGTTTTCACAATTTTTTAATATGGCATTATATCTACTGAGCTGTAATTTCCCCAGTTTAGGCCCCCCAAAAAAATACTCGGTCTCTTGGTCAGACCAAAGTTTCGGAATTGATGCGGAGACGCGACCTTTTTTTTTTTCTTTTTTCTTTTTCAAGCTTGGATTGTACAGACAAGGTAGGGTACTATTTTTGCATTTTTTGGTGTCCTCATGTACATTGGTGTCCTCCAATATTTGCCTTGGTGCCCGCGATCATTTGCCTTGGTGCAATGTTCCATTCCTTGGTGCTCCTTGGTACAAAATTTTGAGGAGGTGCAGCAATAGAGGCTTCTGTTGGAGCTACCGCGGAAAATTTTGGGGAAAAAAGGATTGACGCGCATGATTAAAATCGACGCGCACGCTGACCAGAGACCCACTATTTTTTTTTTTTGGCCTTATTTGTTTTTCAATAACCTGCTCCAGATTTATTGTTGTTCCTTGAATCGGCCAAAACGCAGATTTTCCCTTTTTACGTATAAAACATTCTGATGGGTTTCCCTTGCAGGGTAATGCCATCTACAATGTGATGCCCGATATGATCAGCAGGCTGTCTGACCCAGAGTGTGGCATGGACCAGGAACAGTTCAAGACGATCATGAGGTCAGTTGGGCTCATTTATTTTCTCTTAAAAAAATTCTATCCATAATTATCTCAAAAGGTTGGTATTTCCTGTTTTTAAAGATTTTGACCCACCCTAAATTTGCGGAAACAAAACCTTTCAAAATCTTCTGAGCATAATACGGCACAAAGTCCTACTGACACTTACATCCTGTGTTATGTTGATTTGGGTCAAAGATAAACATGTACCTAGCAAAGAATATGACGCTGAACAGGGTATAATTATCATCACAGACAAAACTTCTCTTTTTTCATTTGTAAAATTCATATAATTTGTTCACCGTGCCCTATGTATTTTTAATTGGTGAATATTCCACCTAATTTTGTTTCCTGTGACCTACAAAAATGTTTTTTTTAAGAATGGAGAAATATTTTACTTTCTAATGGAGAATGTTACTTTCAATTATATTCCACTGTAAATATGCAAACAAAAAAATGTGGGTAGATATTTAGAATTAGAAAAACAAAATTTAGAATAAAAAAAAAAAAACAGCATAAGTACATGCACCGTACATAGATACATTATTTGCCACTTAATATCACTTGCAAAACCAGGTTGGGTCCATGGGAAATCTCACGGACATAATTTATTGACACCTTTTTGATAGATGGGCCATCAAACCGCTATTTACAAGTTCTTGTACACGTGCTGCCATGATCATGAGGCCGTTAATCAGTTGATTAAATCCACACCGCGTCCACATGTGATTCATGAGATACTTGCAAGTGCATGGAGTTCAATTAATCAAAGCTGTCAGTTCATTTCCAGTAAAATGTGGTATTTGGAGATCACAAATATGTGGCGTTTGCCCAGTTTCGTGGAAATTACATCAACCAATTTACTTGGTGTTAATTTGCTTATTTGTCGCCGGTTTGTGGGGAATGCCTCTGCCAACATTATGGCATTTTATTTATGATGCAATTATTAATGGTAAAAGTAGTGGTGGGAGAAGTCGGAGATTTCAAAATCCAGTTATCCTAAGTTTTTTTCGAACCGAATAACGGTTATCTGGTTTCACCGGAAGTTCCCATTCAGTTCACAGTCATGCCAACAAAAAGTGACGAGTGAGGTGCCACATGCAATGCCCCCCTCCCAATGACTGGGTATAGTTTGTAGGATTCAATGACCACTGGGCCTTTACATTAGCACTCCAGTTGAAAAATGGGTGGGCACTCTCTGATAAGTCGAATGGACTTTGTAAACTATTCATATGACAGTTTTCATGAAGAGACAAATTTCCTATCCACTCTGTTCACAAATACCCCCTCACCGGCAAAGAGAGTACAGTTGGGGGTGACCAACCGACGCCATCTTGCCTGAATGCAATTAATTTGCCGCGAAGTGCGGCCACTGCGTGAACATAGCACAAATGCCCTGGTGTACGTGCGTCAAACACAAGGAACGGTGCGCCTCAACCAGCAAAATGTCCCGCCCATGGGACGTCGTTGCTATGTAAAAGGGCGCCCTCTTTGTCGGCGCACGGAGCTCATTCCCTCAGTACACTGAATTTGCCTCTTCGTGAAAATTGTGGCAGAGTGAATGCAGTTACCGGTACAATCAGAGGTCATGGAGCAAATTGGGGGATGTTACAGCTATTTTCTCATTAAACTCATAGTCAACAACGCTTGTACCGGTATGGTGCTGTGTGTATTATGTGTCACGCACACAAATGTGTACCGTACATTGAATGGTCACGGCTAAAAATACGTATACATGCGTATGCCACAAAATGTCCACCGCGTCTGATGTAAACAACCGGAGTTTTTTTGTCTTTTCTCGGGAGTGGTAAAACATTAGGTGAGTTTCCTTTCAACCAGACCTTTGAAATAGGATAAGTAAACAATCCAAAACATACAATTTTTATTAGGATTTCAGGCCTTAACGTCCCTTTAACATTACATGTTTATGCCCGAGGATATCTTGTTACGGTATGTTTACTACTGCACATCCATTAGGATTCTGAGAATGTAATCAGTCTTAAGATATTGCTCTGTATTCCCAAAGGCTGGGGTACTAAACCATCTGGCTCTGCACATTCTTATTGCCCTTTTTTCAGGGGGGGGGGGGGGGGGAGAGTACAATCTGTAGTCGGCTTCACTCGATCTAGTATCTTCAAGACATGACCAGTGTCATAATTGGAATGCCAGATTGCATCAAGCTTCTTTAATTTGACGTCGCTCATCTCGTAGATTTATTTGCAATTACGGAAAAGCGCCCCATCTTGTCCCGATAGATTTACAAGGCTGCAAATGCAAGCATCTGCAGGAAATTTGGATGTTCTTTTCCCCCCATTTGTCAGATATGACATTTTTACAAGGTAAATTACCCACCATATGTTACTAATACTGTACATTGAGTCGTGATGATATTTTCCCAATAGAAACAGCATACGGTAGGCCTACTCATTCATTCTGATATCATGTATGTTGACATCTTACAGTGGCGTAAATCTGTGCCGGCGAGTGGGGGGATGGGGGATGACCAAAATCCAAAAATTGCCCCGGCCGTGAAATTCGAAAAGCAGGTGGGGGGGGGGGGGGGGGCTGGACACCACATTACATTAGGGTGCGCTCTTCAGGATGTAGATGTGTATCAACATGTTCATTCGCGCTTACATCAAAACAGCGCATTTTAAAAACTTTTGTACTTTGTTTCTCCACTTTTCAATGCTATTGAATACATTTGGGTTGTTCGGATGTTCGAAAAAATACCTAAAAAAACTGCATTTTATTGTTCCCATCACAAAAAAGTGGGGGGGGGGGGGTGGGATGATGAATAGCGCAACCCCCCCCCCCCCTAAAAGTGGGGGATATATAGCCCCCCCCCCCCCTCCCCAGGATTTACGCCCCTGACATCTTATACAGTGAGCAAAAAAGTTAACATTTCTCACAAATGTTGACAAATGACAGTATCTATAAAAAATAGACCTGTAAATCAAATGTAGCTTCTGTAGCGAATTTCCACTCATTTTGTCAGGTTTCGTCACTGTATCCTCAATCTTTTGAAATTACCGTACATACAATAGAAAGATATGTTTCCATAAAAGGAAAGGTACATAGATACATATAAAAATTTAAAGTTTTTTATATCTAAATTTTTTCTCAATTTAGAATGTATCCATAGATTTAGAATATTCCATATACAATTTGTGATTCAGTTACTCAATTTATCTTGCATTATATTGAAAATCAATTATTACAACGATTTAATTTTCGAAACAGGATTTTAATCACTATACTTTGGGAATTTTTACATATTTGAACTTGATCAAATATTTCAAAGCAACAAATATGATGAACAAACATTTTTCTAGATCTCCTCGGGACTCTTCACAATTTTTTAATTTTTGTATTGAAAAAAAAAATGCTAATTGGATTTTCGGTTGATGATAATATATTCGGTTTTTTCAGCATAATCCTACTCTTTCAGTTTATTATTAAAGTTCTGGCACTAGATCTCTCTTAGCTCTGTGGGGTCTTAAAGGGAATGTACATCATTGGCTTTTGCTGTGATTTTCAGAAATGAACTATTTGAGAGGTTATAATAGATCAAATATTGTTACACTGACATTTTTGAAGTTTTGTGTTCGAAAATGCTTGAAAAACCAAGAAAAACACAACTGTTTATGTAGTCTGGTTCCCTGACTCCACTAAAGATAAAATGGATCAATTATAGATGTCGGAAAATTGTAAGATAAGGGAACCAGTCTAGCTGGCCTGCACGGGTTCATGAACATGTAACCAATAGCAAGCAAAATTTGGACTGAACAAAATTGTAAATTTGGAGCAGTAGTTGAAAAATAGTTAGGTTTTTCCAACGCTGGTCGGCCGACCACCGTTGGAAATGTTTACAAAAATACCATTTTCTTGAAAATGACTTCACACCAGGTGCCATAAGTTTACAAGATGCTTGAGACTGTCATTTACCAACATCCTAGTAAGGTATTTCGTAAAAACTTGGTAGTTTTATTTTTCGATGTTTGCAAATGTTGTATAGTCCCTTTAAAGGTGAAGCATTATCAACTTACAATGTATGACCATCACTCTGAGCTCGTAAAAAACAAATTAAAATTAATATCTAGAAAAGAAATCACATCCTGAGACAAAGATCACAGTAACGTATATCACATGAATCCAAAAAAAAAAAAAAAAAATCAATCAGAGCAGCTAGAATTACATCACCCACAGACATTAACTCATAAAAAAAAGTGTGTCACGCACAAAAAGGCCTTTCAGAGTAGGAGCGTATATTTAGTGTCGTAATTTCTCTGTGGGGAATATTGATTGGGGCGGCTTTTATTGCAGACAGAGAATGACTGAAGCACCGCTGCGAAATCAATCCCTCTGCAAACACTGGGGCAGTTTTGAGGATGAGAGGGGTAGGGGGGTAGGGAGGGGGGAATTATAGGCCAAGATATCTCTTTTGCCGCGGGGGATTATTCATACTTTGTGTCATGAGAATGTTACCACTTCCTGGAGCAGGGACCCTGTCTGATCACTCGCTGAATGCTTTTGAACTCACCCCAATGTACATAGAGATTATACGAAAGCTAATACGTGTAATGACACCTATAAATACATGTACACGTGATTAATATCACTGCAGTTTTCCTAATGGATTTTGTTATAGTTGAGCAAAGAAAGTGCATGTAATGTGTGAATCACTGTAATTTGATCCAGATTTAGGGGTTGTTTGTAAGGGGGGTTGTTGGCTTTTTATGTACTTTAGCTAGTTAATATGGCTTGAATTTCAGTAAAAATTGAAATATTTGAAATTAGAATCATACATTTATTACTCGGGTAATTGAGGAGCCTTAAGTAGACATGCTACATGTATGTACCGGTAGATGTCGAATATGTAATTAGGAGATTTCTGAGAAGCTTGTGGCAACAAACACACCGGTCTTTTTTAATTGTTTGCGTCACATTTAAGCTAAGGCCAAAAAAAAAAAGTCTCCGGTTTCTGGTATGCGCGCGCGTCGCCGTAGCCATGCGCGTCGGCAAAATGAAAAAGTTTTTTTTTTCAATGAAAGATGATGTCTCAAAACCGCCAAACTCACTGGTTTGACTGGAATCCTGCTGCTGCACAATTTTAACGTGTTTTTAGATTGGGTTATGGTCGTGATTAAGCTTTATGTGGCCTCTCTGGACTCCCATATATTTGCACTAAGTTTAGTCGGGCACCACTTGCAGTCATCAGCACACATTTGAAGCAAAAAAAATCAGGTAAAAAAAAAAAAAAGCCGCGTCGCCACACCACTTTTTGGGCAAGCTCCATACCAGAAACCGGAGACTTTTTTTTTTGGCCTAATGTGCGGGTGTTCAAAAATGATGCAAACAATAGAAAAAGGACCAGTGTGTTTGCTGCCACCATGTGTTTCAAATGTCTGTCATTTTGTCATTATTTAGGTTTTTGCTGGTCCCAGAAGGCCTGGAATTCTTGTTGCACCAACCTATGATACCACATTATTTGAAAGCTTAAAAGTTTATGATTCCTAAAATTTTGTTTGTCGCTCACGCCGACCCCATCATTCAAAACTCAAATACTGCGAATATCTTGGTGGTCCAACCATCAAAGATGCGAATCCCTTTCACATTACGGGCGTCATATCGGCTAGTAACTGTCTTTCCAAAAAAAAAAATTGACACTTGACAAACGAACACCCAGAATTCTGATAATGATTTGACGACCCCAAAGTCACCTGTGTTTCTGACACTGATATCAGACATTTGGCAGACAGTGGTGACAAGTTTACAGCGCTGACCGTATAGCGCACTTGGACTTTTAAGGTTGACGGCATATCTGATGGCAAGAACATGACCGTTAGACATTCCAGAAACACAGTTCTGGCATGGTTGCTTTAGGCCGGGCCACTGCCTAACGGAATTGAACCTGAAATAGCCTAGATACCGGGGTATGTGTGCCCTGTGAGCTGACTGATCTCTTGACTTGTGTAGAATGTAGACACTTCCTTATTGGATTGAATTGACTCGCAAAGTCAATACATGTATGTTCAATCGGAAGTAAATAGTTCCCTGTGGAAAACCCACGTACAATACAGGGTGTTTCAATAAAAAGGAAACCCAACTTTGAAGAACCAGTATGGACAGACTAAATGTTTACTGGCTATAAAACTGGTATCATCTGAAAGCGTAAACTCTATGCTTTTCAATGATACCTTGTTTACATTTCCAGGGTCATGCATCACTGAGCGCCACCGTCATGAGATTTTGATGCAAAATTGCAGTTGGTTCACTTTCATGTCAAACACAAATAGGCATGGTTTGCATGAGAATAAGTATTCAAGAAGAAGACACGAGTGCATAAAAAGAAACCAAAAAACAAGTCGGGTTGGTTTCAAAACTGGATTTTATTGTTTGTTATGAATTTCACGCTTTGACCAAGCCACGTTCAAAACAATGTGCCATTTTCTGGAGGATTAAACATTCAAGCCATTTCACAGACATTTCCGTTACAATAGGCACACCGTGCCCAGTGGGTTTTTTTAAGTGAAAGTGAACCAACTGCACTTTTGCATCCAGTTTTCAAGACATTGATGTTCACTGATGCACAACTCAGAAAACCTAAACATGGTATCAATGAAAAGCATAGAGATTACGCTTTCAGATGATACCAGTTTTATAGCCAGTAAACATATCGTCTGTCCATGCTCATTCTTTGAAGTTAGGTTTCCTTTTTTTGAAACACCCTGTATAGGGTGAGTTTAAAAAAAAATGAAACCCATATGTCAGGCCTATTGTTTAAGTGAAGTTCTGCATGTAGTACTTTCAAAATCTAGGATATAAAAGCCCAATTCATAAGCTTCTTTTTAGTACAAGAACCACTCAAATCACTCATTTACTTTTCAAGTTATGCAATTTTAAACACAAACACCCTTTTAAAGTTCTGTCCACGGATCACAAAAAAGTGTGCGTTCTTTCAGCAAAATGAAAACAATTCACACACATCCCTATGTGATTTGCGTTTTCATTTTGCTGAAAGAACACTTACCTTTTTGTGATCCCTGGATGATACTTGAATGTAAAAAATTCCGAGGTAGAGGAACAGGAATAAAGTTACGCTTTGGACCTTAAATTCATAGAATAGCCAATATGTTCCACAAGTCCCAAACAAAAGACTTGGATTATAAGTTGAGGGATCCAGTGTACATGTAGTTAGTACATGTACAGTCCTTCTGATTGAAAATCATGGGCGTGTGGAAAAAGGCACACCTGGATTTTTCTACATGTAGGTGTGTAATTTTTCTAGGTGTGTGATTTTTCTAGGCGTGTGATTTTTCTAGGCGTGTGATTTTTCTAGGCGTGTGATTTTTCTAGGGGTGTGATTTTTCTAGGCGTGTTTTTTCTAGGCGTGTGTTTTTTCTAGGCGTGTGATTTTTCTAGAAGTGTGATTTTTCTAGGCGTGTGATTTTTCTAGGCGTGTATTTTTTAGGCGTGTGATTTTTCTAGGCGTGTGATTTTTCTAGGTATGTGATTTTTCTAGGTGTGTGATTTCTCTAGGCGTGTGATTCTGTGGTCCAAACTAGGACTGTCAACAGTCTTGAATTTTTTTTATAATATTCAACTTGGTTTACAGTAAAGCCATTTCAAGAGCTCACAGATGTATAATCATGCTGTAAATGTATGCCGAGGTGTGCGGTACAGAGGGATTCAGGCGTGCGATTATTCGCACTTCTCGGGGAGCTTTAAGGCGTGTGATGGCGTGGGGGTGTGATCGCCTCAAATCAGAAGAACTGCAATGTAGTTTAATACATTATTTAACTTTCTACTTCAGTAGCTTGTTTTGTTCGTTAAAGGTCAACTTTAGAGTAAGATTAGAATGCTGACAAGCCGCTGGCACGAACGGATACGTGGGTGGAGAATAGAGATGGATAACATTGACTCTTGTGGGGATATGTCTTGTCTTAGAGTGCCTCAGGCATGTCAGGGTCCTGTAATTATCTCGGCATCCCTCGTTTCATCCTTGTTGTCAAGATCAACTTTTCAAATGTATCATGTATCTCGTGTCAGGTATTGCAAAAGAAGTTCCACACAGTATTAAAGGTTTAGTCCATCATTTGTAATATGTGCATTTTGTTCGTTTGAAGCAACAAAAGTGCTCCAAATCTAAAGAAGGGTGCTGAACAATATAACCTGATAAAGTTTCAGCTAAGCTTCAGCTATATATTTTGAGAAAAACAACATTCTAGGATCTCGATTTCAAATCAAAAGTTGCTGAATCATGCTTTTAATTGGCCTGAATTCAGCGTCCAAGACATGTTCTCACTGAGCTGATTGCAGCTACGCGATGTCGCGCACTGATCTGACGAATTATAGCAACCAGACGAGCGTGTGCGTCGTGTCAACGCTTGCGCGCACTTCGCCGAATAAAAAAAACGAACTACATGTACTAAAGGAAATTTCCAACGGTGCTTCTTAAGAAGTACCGTTGGAAAGGCCTTCAAACTGACAGCTTGCCAGAAAAAATAATTTAACAGGGAGTTTTAGTCCCCTTACTATCTTTCAACCAAGTATGTTTTTCAACAATAATTACACCAGCTTCTTTTTGGATAGCTGCAAATGATGGACTCTGGCTTTAGAGAATGAAGAGGATAGTACCTGTAATTCACAAGTAACCTTTTAAAAAAAATCCTTTTTTATACCCTTTTTTAAAAACCACTGCAATACTTTTTGTTGAAACCACTTTCATACATGTATGTTCTTTTGCTAGTTTTCCTGTTGCCTTGTTGTACTTGCTTTCGAATAAACATTGGCCACAAATATCAAGCCCTTTTTAGTCGAGGGTTGCTCCGCAATCATTTAGATTGTTTCATCTGATTTAACAACCAACTCGCCGGTTTCACTTTTCATCATCTAATGGACATTGAATGGACAGGTTCAATTTGGTTTCGTTGTGTAGTTGATATTTAATGTCATTTATTTCGACATTTGGATGCTCCGCACGGAGCATCTTGCGTCCACCTTCATCTTATTGTGTTGCTTTAATAAAAGATTTGATAGAACACCATTTTTACCTTTATGCGGTTTTACTGGAGATAATATCGATTGTGTTTATGACCTACTTTCGGGTAGAACAAAAATGAAAGGTCTTTTGTGGTCATGAGGTATCAGTCAAGAAGAGGACTTGGATAAGATAATTTACCACTTTAATTTTGCCACATTTGTTTAATTGTCATCGTTTGAGCTTGTAAAAAAAATAGTTTTGTTTTTTTCATTTGTCAGTCAGTTGACAACATTTTGGTGGTAAATTAAGATTAATCTGTTTCTTTTGGAATTTTGTTGGTGGAGAGATGGCTGTCTAGGTGGGTTTGTGTTTGCTGGCTAGCCGGCCGTGTGATTTTAATTTTCAAATTTCAAAAAATGTAAAGCAGAAAGATTTAAAATATCATTACAATGGTATTTTTAAAAATGTTTGTTTCCACTTGGGGAGTCAGGTTGGTGTAGCGGTACTCTCCTTGCCCTCCACTGCTGTGACCCGGGTTCGAATCCCGCCTGGGCCAATATGTGGATTGGGTATTCATTCCCTACCTGATTCCGTGGGTTTTCTTAAGAATATCCTTCTGGGCTTTTCCTCCCACCACTGAAACTGTAATTTCTTCTCGTTGTCTTCTCTCCACAGGTTTCTTCAGGCTTGCGAGCTACAGTATCTAGGGCACTTTTGAGGAATCCTTGGTTTCATTACCAGAATCAATTCATATTAATAGCAATAAAGTATATTTGTCTGATATTGATCATGTTTTGTTAATATTTTTCTTTCAATAGAATAAGTCTAATTGTTTACTTTATTGAATCAAAGTCCTATCTTTTTTTATTATTATTCCTAGATATGTCTTTGCCTTCATCCAGAAGGACCGACAGGCAGAATCTTTGGTGGAGAAGCTGTGTCATCGCTTCCGGGCTACAAGGTGAGCTAACAAGATCATATGGGCAATTCCACGGTTACTCACGTTACATTTTTGATGTACTTTTGAGTTTCCTTGGGCTTTAATTACCTTACTGAAAAGGTTTAATAACTGTTATCCCCATGGGAGATAGAGTAGACCTAGACCTACCTAAGCACCAAAGATGACATCCAGAAAAAATGTGTTATGTATGATAAACAAGACACACAAAATCGGTTACTCACGTTACGATTTTCTGGATGTCATATTTGGTGCTTAGGTAGGTCTAGGTCTACTCTATTTACATTTACCATGGGGATAACAGTTATTAAACCTTTTCAGTAAGGTAATTACAGCCTAAGAAAACTCAAAAACATCAAAAATGTAACGTGAGTAACGTGGAATTGCCCATTTGCATCAGTAAAAATGCATAGCCGTGCTCTTCTTTATATGTATTTTTTTCTCCCAACAAATGCTAGAAAACTACTGTGTTCCCAATTTTGGGCATCTGCAACCCCACACCCGCTTCGAGAGCCGAATTATTGTCCTTAAATTTGGCCTTAAAATTGCTCAATTTTGCAATGGAGCGCAGGCATCATTTTTTTTCAATATGGCAATAGGCAGACTACTTTTAGGGGTGATTGTCTTTGGATGGAAATTTCTCCCAAAAGTCAACGGAATAAGGCCCCCCCCCCCCCCTAAGAAAAATTGAACATAAAAATGAAAGATGATGACATAAGCTTTAATTTGATGTGTGTCTCAAACACCTTGGAGAGTTGTGAGTATCTTTGCCTGAATTTTGGAAGTGGGTGTATTTATCACTGGGATCTATGGCAGTTTATTCACTAGTCCGCAACCATAAACTTTATTACAAGTACTACTATTGAATAAACACTGCCCTCTTTAGGCCACCGTGGGAAATGTGCATTCACTGCACTATTGGTAATGTGAACCAACATTCATCTTCTTGGAGAACTTTCTTATATTTACAGTGTTTATTAAGCAGAGAGTATGATAAACTGTTTGCCAACTTAAAAGCATTCCACCCAGTTTTGTTACCAATTTACAAAAATTAGTACTAGGCAGAATTATATACTTTGGGAAATGCTTATGTTGCAGATCGAGGGCTCATAAATTGAATCTTCAGGAGCCGACTTGTCAAAAGAATTGCGTACCCTGGCTAGGCAAACAAGTATTCCCCGAATAAACACTCAACTTAGTAAACTGATTGAATGAATTTTATATCAGTATCACATGAACAGGATTACATTTTACATGTTAATGGTCGTTAATATTTGTATTAGGGCCTTCTGGGGTATTAATATTTGGTAGGTTGAAATATGTCAGAAAGCAATCCATAACACTTCACTAACCTGAAATCAGACTTTGCGACTGAACGGCTGTACGTGTACGTGATCAAATTTCCAATTTTTTTTGTAAATCAGGGATGAGATTTTTCATGATTTTCTTTTTTTTTTTTTTTTTTTGGACTGATTTCAGGATTTTTGGTCAGGATATTCCCTGATTTTTCAAGAATTCCCTTTTGGAATTGGAATTCATTTTATATTAAGTTAAGTTTGTCCCAAGCCAATATGGCCAATCAGGCCGTCGTTTATCTCTGGTTTCAGTGGCATGAAACGACAGAGAATATTTCTATCCTTCCAGATGGATGCCAGTCCATAGTTACTCCCCAGCTAATACTGGTACACATTTATACTCCTGGGTGGAGAGAGGCAAGTGGGGATGAAGTGGCTTGCCCAAGGACACAATGTATGGCCAGCAGCTGGATTCGAACCCCTGAGTCACAAACCCTAACTGTTAGGCCACACTTCCCCAGAATTCATTAGGTTACCTATAAAATACCGGTACAGAACAAAAGAAATGGGTTTTTAAAGGTTTGCCTTTAAATAAATTAAACAAACATATATAATAATAGACCCTAAAACCCTGATGCCTTCAGCCATCCTCCAAGCCTGTGCCAACTATTTTGTAGATTTAAATTAATAATATTCTCCCGATATCACTCCTGACAAATCGTTAGCCCAATTTGACGCACTAGTGTGAGCTCATTGATTATGCCTAGCCAAACTACATTCATTTTCTCATCCTCTCCCAATTACCCTTACCCCCACCCATCAAATTTCTCTGCCTTGCACCCCCCCCCCCGCACCCTCCCCTCCCCCCCCCCCCCCCCCCCCCCCCCCCCCCCCCCGCACCCTCCCCTCCCCCCGCACCCTCCCCTCCCCCCATTCCCCCATTCCCCCCCCCCCTCTGCAATGTGTTAAAACCTGTTGTGTTTACTTTACCTTAATTCGTGACAATTGCCCGTCTTAATTGCAAGGTGCGACTGGATCCCTCCATCTACTAAACTAATAAAAGTAAATCCACAAAGGTCACGCACCGCGTTCATTAGTAATAATCCCCTAATTCCTGCACACACACCGAGAGTCTGGCGGTGCATGGAGCAACCACTGCTGGCCCACGCCAACTCTAATTGAAACAACCAATATTGATTTGCCCGGTGTTTTTTTTTAGTGTGCTAATGAAAATATTTTCACTTCTCTCGACTTTGCCCGGGAAAAAAAAAACACATCACAGTTATTCATGTCTTCACCTTGAATATCTAATCACATTAAAGTTGTTTTGTGAGCTGTGAAGGGTTCTTTTATAATTAGGTTTCGAAAATCAATTATTATTTTTTGTTGGCAGAACTGCAGTGTGTCTGTCAAAACAACAGTAGAGGCAGACTTGGATGTGTTATGCTTGCATGAATTCGGTTGAAAATGGATGCAAAAAAAAACCCTGATAATTCTATGTCAGTTTTATTTTTGTTTGAATTCTCCAGCTCCTATTGATTTCAAGTAAGGAGAAAAACTCACATTAATTTTTTTTTTCCTGGCGTGCAAATAAAGATATGTAAGATTTGAGGCTTTGCATGGTGGAGATACTAAATAATGAAAGGTTTGCGGAAACACCATGTGCGAATAATTTCTCAACTAAGAGAATGGTTCTGAAAAGAACCAGAGGTACATGTATACAAAACTCTCTTTACAGAACCATTCTCTTAGTTGAGAAATTATTCGCACATGGTGTTTCCGCAAACCTTTCATCATTTAAATAAAGAAATGAAATATGTGGATGGGCAGGGTTGAATGGGAAAACACAGGTTGTTTTGTCAGACAACGCGATGTTTGCAGATGGACGGATCGATCCACGGCATCTCGATGTACATGAGAGAGGATTACCGTAGACCTGTTTGGCTTTACGGAGGGAAAATTAAAGTGGGTCAAATGCCTCTTTGGGTGAATGGTTGACTTGGCAGGGAACTGGGTTGATCCTGCCCTCGTTTATCGGAGGAGGGGGGAGGGGGGTAAACAAATATATGTCAAGATATACTAACACACAGTGTGAGGAGCCCAGGTTGAATTAGTTTTCACAGAACTGTGATACAAAATTATTTTAACTTTAGTTTTGACTGTTAGAGTTGAGAGATTCTTAAGTCTAATCCCAAGATATGCCTTGAGGAGAGAAAACAGATTTCAATTAAATTGATTAGATTTTATTTGTAATTAAATTAAATTACTCAGAATGGCAGCAGGATTTTGTACAGTAGAGGTTAGGCCCCCAAAAAAGATACTAATTCTGCTTCTGATTACATGGCATTCGGAAATAGGGTAGGTAGGTAGGGAAATTATTATTTTTTTTTTGCAATTTGTTTTGTGTACGACTTTATGGAGGTGTCTGCGTGTAGTCAAGGGTAAAAGGTAGTAATTTATGATGTTCGGGGTTTTTCCTCATTTTTTCCCCCAAAAAAAGTTACGATAGGGGCTGTCAAGAAGGGGTAGATAGGGTAACCGGAAGCAGAACTATTATTTTTGGGGGGCCTTATGCTTGTAGTTTGAAGGGTTCAGGTGTTTGGGAATGAAGTAAGTATTGCATTTAATTTGTTAATTTAAGAAAGATGTTCAAAAACAAACCTGCATTACGACTGATGGTAAAATATCTCATTAGCCAGTCCATATAGAACTCAAAGAATTGTCTTTTTTTCCCTAGACAAGTAGCCCACTTAAAATAATCTCTAAAGTTTGTAGTGATGACGTAAGATCCATAAAGGTTTCCAATTTAAGTACATCTTGTAAAAAAAAAAAAATTTAAGATGCAATATTTGGTCGTCGTTAAAATATCTTGCCACATTTTCTTGAGGATTAAGTCAGCATTTTTTTCAGTTGATGCCACTGTCTTTGCATGCACACATGCGTTAATTCCCTGGGAGATAATTTCCCATTATTTGCTGCACTGTTGTGTGTACATTCCACCAGTGTGTGCGCGATTACCAATTTACCAAAATATCTTGCCAAATTTTCTTGAGGATTAAGTCAGCATATTTTCCAGTTAATGCCACTGTCTTTACATGCGTTAATTCCCTGGGCATAATTTCCCATTATTTGCTGCACTGTTGTGTGTACATTCCACCGGTGTGTGCGCAATTACCGCCTGATCGATCGGCACGCGGCCGTTGTGTAGGCCTTAATTCGGAATAATTCCCCGGCAGTCTTAGCAAACTAATGGGCAGAGGTTGACGTAGAAACCATCCGTGAAGAGTGTACTTAAGATGCTTCCCAAGGTTTGGCAAACACCAAACAGATGAAACAAAAACATCTTGGGAAAGTGCCGTTCACGTATGTCCATACTGCAGCAATTTTTAACGGGCCGAGTTGAAAATCTGTGGGAACATTTGACCCCTGTGGGAGAATTGTGAATGATAATGTTGGATAATGAGTGAGATTTATGGGTTTTTATTTGTGGGACCTGGATAATATGTGGATGACATTAAAAGCGATGACATTAGTCAAGTTAAGCTGCTTGAGCAAGTAGTTATTAATTTCAACATTTTTGGTCAGTCTGTTTGATTTTATCTTTGAATTACCATTCTTTGCTGTTTGATAATAATAATAATAATTGAGATTACCGATAATGGGTCACTAGGGAGACATTCCCATGGACATTTGCACATTTTTCTCCCAACTTTAATAACCCCTTACCCCAATCTTACCTTTTCCAACCTCCACAAATGTTTGTAATTTTACTAATTGGACCACAAGCAATTGGTCTAGCCTATTTGCGACAGTAAAATTGTGCCTCTAAATAGGGGCTGAGACATTAAGGAGACATTGAAATGTCTCTCTAATTCCACATGTCTCCCAAATTCCACATATATGAAGTGTGAATTAAATTGTCCCATTTGTTGTTGTATCATACTATACACATGGGTACTTTATTGTACAGTGCTTTTAGCAAAATCAAAGTGATTTACAAAGAAAATGAAATGGAAAAGATCAAAAAGCTGAGTTCGACAAATTACTGCAACCTGCCCCACAACCTGCTCCACCCCTGCCCCACCCCTGCCTCACCCCTACCCAACCCCTGCCCCGGCCACCTCGCCCCAGCCCTGCCCTACCCCTGCCCTACCCCTGCCCCACCCCTGCTCCATCCCTGCCCAACCCCTACCCAACCCCTGCCACACCTCTGCTCCTTCCTTACCCCTCCTGACCACCTTGGTCCTACCCTCAGTCATTACCCTCTTTAATCAAGATACTTTCCTTCAAAAAAAATTCATTAAATATGCCTCCTGACTGTCATTGTCGGTGTGTCATTACAACGTCCATCAATTTGTCACCCCTGTCTCCCACCCTCCAGGACCGATCGACAGCCCCAGGACCTAGCCTTCTGCCTCGGCCTCCTCAACATGAGCGAGAAGTGCGTGCGTCGCCTGCAGGAGAACTTTGCCTGCTTTGCAGACAAGCTTCACGACGCCGAGGTCTACGCCTGCTTCACTTCCATCCTCTCCAAGGCCAAGAAGTTCTCCAAGCCAGAGACCAAGGTAAGAGATCTTTACATTTGTATGAACCCAGGTGTTTCCTAGCTGGGGTTTTCAAACACAATTTCCATTGTTTAGGCCTACTTTGGGATTTCTTGTCTGTTCAAAAGAGATTTATAAATCAAATCCCAAATAATTTTATCTACTTGCTTAATTTCTGTTTACTCTCTGAACTGTTTCACTGTGGTTTCGTTTGTAGCAATATAGTTGTGCTTTCTTTTTGTTTACAAATCAGGCAAAAACAAAATGATGTTACTCAATTTCCTCCTGAGTCCTGCGTTACATTTATCTGACAGTGTTTGTTTTTTATTATTAATTATAATTTATATTTAGACATAGAACTTTTCCTCAGATCAGACGATTTCCTCTTTTTTAGTTCTCTATTATGCCATTAAAATCTTGTGGAAAAAACCCACTGCAGAGAGTCTTGAAAAGCTTGAAATGTCCTTTCTATTCGTGAGCTCTCAGTCACACGCCTGTACATTTTTATGTAACTTGTGGAGGAAAATAAAACAGAAGTAATAAAATAGTCCGAAGTCAAATCTCAAGGAAAGGTAATAATTAATTTGAATAACATGTACCTAAATTGCGCCTGGATGATTTCGGGGGTTGACTGTTGATGATCTAAGATGACTTTTGGGGAAAAGATAACAACTCTGTCTGCCATTCCAATAAAACATTGTTCCTTTTCCTTTAAACTCTGGCAGGTGATGGTGGAAGACTTTGAGCAGAAACTGGCCGAGTGCCATGACAAAGGCGTGGATGACGTAGCCGTGGCAGACAAGGCCAGTAAAGCATCGGCTGCGGCTAAAGCTAAGGAGAACGGCGGCCGCTCGGGTGAGTGTAAACTGTAGAGTTGCATTCGAGTAACTTGAGTTGAGTCGGTCGCAGATTGCTTTTGTTGAGTTTGAGTCCAATTTACAAGTCGCTTGGTTTGAGTTCTAGTCAGAGTCATTGGTCATTTGATTGAATTTAAATGTAGTGGTATTGTTTTGTTTACAATATTTTTTTTTTTAAATGGTTTTGTCGGGTGAAGAAAGAAAAAAAAGGGACTCAAAAGTCATGAGTTCTAAGCCTAAGTACAAGTCCTGTGCCAAGGTCACTCGGGTTTGAGTCTGAAATTGTGACTCAAGACAAACTTAAATTGAGCCCTGGACGTGAGTATTAATATAACTGTAGTATGCACCCTGTCGAACGGTGCTCCTGCCAGGGAAGGTGGAAGGTACATGTATCATACGGAGTAACAGCGTATTTTGTGGAAGAGTAGTTTGAATATTTCAGATAAAAGTTCTTCCATGCCCTCAACTTCAGAGGTCTGAAAAATATCCACTGAGTTTAGTTATTTACATGTAATTGTTGGCCTAGAGCTCTTATAAATGCACTGGTTTTGTGTGTCTGTTAATAAGAAGATTTTTTAGCCAAGAGTTAATCTTGGTGAACCAATGTTCATCATATTTTCTTTACATTCAACAGATTTATCCTCTGAAAATCGCGTTTTACAAACTTGTTTGATGTAACTTGAAAGATTTCGTGGGGTTTTTTTTGGGGGGGGGCAATTTAATTCTTATTGGTATAGGGATCATGATCATCCCGTTTTACCAATAAAAAAAAATCTCTTTCTATTTTATCCATTTTCAACATACCCCGGATGCCACAGAATTTAATAAAACTGCACACGAATATCTCGTCACGGTGCCCCCTCCCTCAGCAAAAAATCCACGTATGTCATCACACATCATACATTTTCGGACTGAAATAGCATATTAAATACTTCCCCTGCTGGAAAGCATTTCAAAAATTTTGGGTTTATAATAAAATGCATGTGTTGCGAGAGATCTGTTTCATTTCATCCCGTGTTGTTGGCAGAAGTTCAGACTGAAGCTAATTCATAGTGTCATAAATAATAATTACTCTTTTCGCCCCAATAGGGTGACTTTCCCATAGACTTGTGCACAAACCTAAACTGTCACCTAACCCAAGTTTACCTTATGTTTTTTCCACGAAATTTAGTATTTATACTAATTGGACCATGAGGAATCGATCTAGATGGTTAGCGACAGCAAAATTCCTTGTCCTAAGGGTCGTTTTCATAAAAGGGCGACAGTTATTTTGTTGCCTCAATAAGGTGTATCGCCCTATTGTGGACGGAGTTCGCAAAACCTCTCGCCCTATTACAGTAATAGTAGTAGTAACCAATCTTATTAAAAGAAAAAAAAAAGAAAAAAAAAAGACCTAAGCTAATTCGTGGTGTCATTACAGGTATTTTAAAGAAATGTCCTGAACACTGTACAGCGTACCGGTACATGACATACCCCCCTAAAAAAAGAACAAAACTAAAAAGAGTACAGAGTTCATTCCATCAGAAGGATATCAATTTTTATGACTGCAAGGTGTGCAGTAGTCGTTATTAAAGGCACGTACATTTACAATTACCCGAAACTTACCTACAGATTACCCGAGAATATCCTTGCTCAAAGTGAAGATAGGACTGGTACCAAATACCCTGTGATATTACTCCACCTGAAATGGGAAAGTGTGCCCACGGGCTCAGTTTTTTTCCATGTGCTTTAAGCAGCGGAATCCAGTTACGAGACTCCAAATATTGTGCACACGTTTTCTCTGTTTTCTCAAAGTGTATATTATCCACATAATTCAAACGTCAGTTTTCAGTTTCAGTTCCAGTTCAGTTTTAAGTTTCAGTTAAGTTAATAAGATTTCGAGCAATTTTGTGCATTAAAATGCATAAAAAGCAAATGATATCATATACATACACGTACCTTTAAAGTCAGTTTTCCCCAGTCTCTGTCTTGATCATCAGTTCTCATTTGTTGAATAAGGTTGATGTATTGGAACAACGTACATCTCCATTTGCAATTTAATGGATTCAACAAGTAGTTAGGTCCAAGAATGTCGCTCGTTACTGTAATCGTGTCATTGTATAAATTTAGAATCCAAAGTGTGACATTTTTCCTGTCCCTGTTTCCTGGGCCCTTTGTCATTTTGCCAGTCAAGTATCATTAAGAATGACTTCAAACGATTGTGTTATTTGTTGGAAAGGCAGTTTGCTATTCATAATCCCTCTTGGAGGATGACTGCATTAAGGAGTGTTTCAGAATTATAAAATCATTGATGTCAGATGTAATCATGTAACATGGGTTGGACATTTTTTTTATAAAAAGACATTTGTGTAATTTTGGAACACAGCTCCATAAATAATAATAATAATAATAATAGTGGATATTTATAAAGTGCACGTATCCACCAGGACTGGTGCTCAAGGCGCTACATCATTATTACCCCTGCTCATTAGGCCCATGAAACATTCCAAATACCATCTCAGCTCCCTGGGGAGTATACAGCTCGATGCAGCCTGTTAGGCGCAAGGAAGCTAATTCAATCACAATAACCATCTCTGCCCTCACAGGTACCCATTTACTCCTGGGTGGAGAGAAGCAGTGAGTGACAAAGTGCCTTGCCCAAGGGCACATGCACCATGACCCCGCCAGGACTTGAACCCACAACCTGCAGCTTTACTCACAGACCACGAATCAGTGTCCTTAAAGACATACATGTAGTCCATCATTTGTAATTTGTGCATTTTGTTCGTTTGAAGCAACAAAAGTGTTCAAAATCTAATGAAGGATACTGAACTTGTAACCTGATGAAGTTTCAGCTCAGCTTCAGCTTTATATTCCGAGAAAAACAGCATTCTAGGATCTCAATTTCAAATCAAAAGTTGCTAAATCATGTTTTGAATTGTTTTGAATTGCAGCTTTACGCGATGTCGCGCACTGATCCGACGAATTATAGCAACCGCGCGCGCCTGTGCGTCGTGCCAATGCTTGCGCGCGCTGCGCCGAATAACAAAACGAACTACTAATTTAAATTTTCCTACGGTGCATCTTAAGACGCACCGTTGGAAATGCCTTCTTTTGTTGATTTCAAAGTGAGAGCTTGCCAGAAAGAATAATTTCACATGGAGTTTAGTCCCCTTACTATCTTTCAACCAGTATGTTTTTCAACAATAATTATGCCAGTTACTTTTTTGGATAGCTGCAAATGATGGACTATAGCTTTAAACACGAGGCCACAGCACTCCAGCGCTAACTCTTTTCTCATTCAAACATGATTTATATGACATGTTAGGAATGAGCAATGGAGGGATCGTATTACTCCGATATTAACAAATTGTTTGGTTTCAGTTTCTCGTTGACGTGACTAATAAGATGAAATGATAACAGAAATTAATGACTAATTGAACCGGCCCGAGGATTCCGGATCTTGTAATATAATGTTGTAGGCCTTATTGCCTGATGTTGCGATGTTTCTTTGTGTTCAGGGTCCGTAGAACATTCACAGGATATTTTATCATTCTTTATTGGATTTTACAGATTGAATACGGTATTGTCCAGAATTTATTTTTACTTGTAACTTTTGATTCTTTTGCTTTCATAATATTTTCTCTTCTTAATCCAACAAGATCCGACAACACTTTTTTTTCCCCTTTAAATTGTTTTGTTAATTATTATTATTAATCATTTCTGGTAATGAAACCAAGGATTCCTCACAAGCGCCCTAGGCACTGTAGCTTGCAAGCCTGAAGAAACAGGTGGAGAGAAGACAATGAGAAGAAGTAACAGGGTTTTTTTGGGGGGGGGAGGGGGTGTGATTTTTGTTTGCTTTTTGTTTTGTCAGGTTGTTTTCTTTTATTTTGTTGAGCTGAGCGGTTAGCAAGGATGTGTTTCGGATCCCTTTCAGCAAGTGCCACACTTCCATATTATTATCTGTAGAATATTGTGGGATTTAGCTGGGAGACGATTCTCATGCAAACAAAAACTAGAATTCTACCAACTCAGCTCATTTTGTATAAATCGCATTCCATATGTCATTCATGTTTACAAACTGTTGACAATAACTTCAGAGATAAGTAGTAAAATTGTTGGATTTTTTTGGAATCCTTGTCTCATCAGTCAGAAAAAGGAACACCAAGAGACGCGGCCGAGGCAAATCCTCCCTGGACAGCGATGAAGAAGACGATGACAACAATCAGGCCCCAGTAACCCCTGCCCCCTCCTCACGCAAACCCGGCCAGAAGGGGCAACAGACCACAGGGCAGAAGACCCGGGGGAAAGGCAGGAGGGTCCGGGCGGTGACATTCTCCAGCGACGAGGAAGAGGACAGTGACGAACTGTTTGAGGCAAACAGTGGGGAAAACGGAGCAAAAGGTAAGAATTTGATTTCTAGATCTCAAAACAAAATACTGAAATATGAACCCACATGTAAGAAAAGGACTTGGTGTTGTGAGGAAAATGGAACTTAAAGTGATTAGATATATTGAATTTCAGTGTAACCTTGTAAAAAAAAAAATCAATTAATAATTTTTTTATGATTTTGTGTTCAGCCAAATGTTCATAAAATTTGGACACTTCTGGAGAATGATGTCCTGGCTTAATTCATGACACGGATTTTGGCAATTCCTAAAACTGGTTTCAGTGTAATTGAATCAATTTGTCTACCTATTGAAAGAAAATTAAAGATTTGTTTTTCAATGAGCTCTTGTTACGTACCTTCTTGATGATCAACTTTAAATACCACAGATTCTTTTGTAGGTTTCTGATAAATAGGTCATGCTATAAATTTAGGGCCCAAAGTGTGAAATTTTTCCTGTCCCTGTTACCTTGGTGCTTTGTAATTTGCCATTGGATAGGTACTGCGATATTAATAGTCACTCTTGGAGGACGAATGCATTAAAAACTTGCATTAGAACGATAAAATTATAGATGTCAGATGTAACAGGGACAGACAAAAAATTGGACAGCAATTTTATTAAATGACCCAAATGGAAAACAAAGTATGTGGGTTATAAAGGAGCAAATTCTGGTGCTGATGCCACCGTTTCAAAATCTCCCATGCTTATTACGAGGTCATCATTTTAAAACCCTTTCATATCGATAACATTACAACATACAGTTGTGTCTAAACAGGGTCAAAAGATGTGAACAATCATGACCCCCAAAATTAATAATTCCCTCTCCAGTTCTCATTAGCTGAGAGCAGGTGTGTCTGGTTTGATGTGTCTCCGAAATCCAATTGACAGATGTGCACTGTCTAGGTCATCGCCTCGGTTCATGCTCCGGGCACCAGGCTAAATCACCCCTGGGAGATGGTTTCTACATCCCTTTTTTTTTTAATCTGTCTTATCACTGGATGAATGGTTTGGCCATCAAGACCCGATTCATGTTATTGAAGAAATTTGTTGGTAATGAGCTGGTCCTTCACGCATTAGTCCATCCATAACATAAATTGGGGCACGGTACACAGAAACACCAGTAATTAGGCTATCAAGCAGATTGGCAATCTTCCCGCGAAATGCCATGCCTGTCCATTACGCTCGGAATTAATCTGGTTTGACGGATTAGTTGCATCTTGGCTCGTGTCGCTTGGGTGTAATTATGGGCGGTGTTTACTGCCTTGGGAATTCGTTGGAACTCCTCTAAATGAATTGCTTCAGTCATTACACACAAAAATTGACCTTGTCTTGCCGGTCAGAAGCATATGTCACTGTTTTGTTTAAAGCTATAGTCCATCATTTGCAGCCATCCGAAAAGTAACTGGCGTAATTATTGTTGAAAAACATACTTGGTTGAAAGATAGTAAGGGAACTAAACTCCCTGTGAAATTTTTCTTTCTGGGAAGCTGTCATTTTGAAGTAATCAACGAAAGAAGGCATTTCCAACGGTGATTCTTAAGAAGCACCGTAGGAAAATTTAAATTAGTAGTTCGTTTTGTTATTCAGCGCAGCGCGCTCAAGTATTGGAACGACGCACACGCGCGCGCGGTTGTTATAATTCGTCGGATCAGTGCGCGACGTGGCGTATAGCTGCAATTCAAAACAATTCAAAACATGATTCAGTAACTTTTGATTTGAAATTGAGATCTTAGAATGCTGTTTTTCTTGGAATGTACAGCTGAAGCTTAGCTGAAACTTCATCAGGTTAGTTGCTCAGTATCCTTCATTCGATTTTGAACTCTTTTGTTGCTTCAAACGAACAAAATGCACAAATAACAAATGATGGACTGTAGCTTTAAAGGAATTTCTAATGGAAATTGATGCATGCAGTGAGTGAATGCTAAACTGTTCGCCACAGCATCAAATCAAACAGGGATGCGACAAACGGTTTCACTAAAGGATATGCATTAAAAGAGATAGCAAACACTTTGTGGAATTTTTTATTGTATGCATTAGTTGATGGCGTAAAGCATTGTATCGCCACTTTTTTTTCTTTTTCTTTTTTGCTTTCCAGTTACACGTGTATTTCAGTTGAGTTTGTGTCGCCAGTTGGCATGATGCAAACATCTCTGCGCTTCATAATTAATGCTTCCGCATCTAGCATGGCACAAAAGGCCCTTTTTTTGGCGCTGTGCCAGCTTAATCAGATTGCCTGCACTTACAATCGAGTCTGATGCATTGCCATGGTAACGCCGCATTCTCCTCTGCTGATGCTTACTGCCTAGGCAGTTTGCATCTATTCTCTCTCTGGAAAAAAATCAATTCAACTTGACAGTGGAGTTGATGTGTTCATTAACTACTGGTACCTGGAAAGAAGCGCTGTTATGTCTGCTTTTGAGAAATCAATTTCATGAAGCAATGGTATAAAAAAGAAAACCGAGTAAGGCCAAACAAAAAAATAAGTCAGTCTCTGGTCAGCGCGCGCGTCGATTTTAATCATGCGCGTCGATCTTTTTTTTTCTCCAAAATGTTCCGCGGTAGCTCCAACAGCGCCCTCTATTTCCGCACCTCCTCAATTTTTTTACCAAAGAGCACCAAGGAATGGGAAATTGCACCAAGGTAAATGATCGAGGACACCAATGTACATGAGGACACCAAAAAAGCAAAATAGTATCCACCTTGTCCGTACAATCCAAGCTTGAAGAAAGAAAAAAAAAAACCGCGTGGCCGCGTCAATTCCGGAACTTTGGTCTGACCAGAGACCGAATATTTTTTTTTTGGCCTAACCTTGCATTTTTTTTGCAGGTGTCTTGTCAAAAATATTGATCTCTCGATCAAGTTGCTTTACATGTACACAAAGTATTAACGTAGTATTGTTGTTTTTTTGTTATTTGGTCAATCTGAAATATTCAGTGATATAATTATTTTAAATTTCCATTTTATTTATTTTATTTGTGCAAATCTCTCACAGATTCAGCGTTTGACTCGGGTAACGAGAAGGCTCACAGTGACGCCGAAAACAAGGACCCGAACCCCACCCCCAGGGGGAAGGGCAAGACGAGGAAGCTACACAACCCGAGGGGAACCCCCAAGGGCACCCCCAAGGGAACCCCCAAGGGGAGCCCCGCCCCTTTGTCCCACCACAAACAGGTTCACGTTACCTGAGAAACTCATCATGGTCGTCTAGCAAAAAAACGCAACTACATCTACCCGTAAAATTTTAAAGATTTCTATATCGGCGGAAAGGCTTTTTTTTTTCAGGAGAATCACTGGCATTTGAAGAGGAGAGACCAATTTTGTTCTGGAGTTAATATCATTAACTTGTAAATATATTAGTTCGTAGTGGTTCATTAAGTTGATGAAATCAAATAGTGTTGTAATGATTTTCTTTAGTTTGTTTTTTGTTTGTTTGGGAAATTGGATTTTGGCTGATGTTTATTAGTATATTGATAATTGACATGTATCTTATTAACCATTTCATGCACCAAGTAACAGTCATTTGTAGCCCTTCACTACGAAACTATTAGAAGTGAAAACCATACACTGCGTTGGATCGATTCTCCTGAAAGGTGAAATTTGTCGTCATCTCTAAAATATTTCATATAAACAAATAATCGAAACAAAAGTCGTCTGTTTTTCTGGTAGGTGCCTGCCCTTATATAGTCTATGTAATAGACCATGGTGAAAAGCCATGGTCTATGATATGTGAGCAGATTAGCTGATAAATTATGCAAGACACCTCTTGACCTCTAGAGTTTGACCAATCAGCGGGCGCTTTCTATATCAGGTCGTCGGTCATTCACCCGTTATCGTGTCATAGACATGGTTAAAAAAACCTAGACACAGCAAACAAAGGCTGTGGTCACGCGCTACGTATACGCGCCAAGCTTGTCTAGAGTTTATAGATCTATGCCCAGCCGTTGTACTATATAACACTGCATTCGAATTGACCAATCAAACGTTTAGTCCTGATAGTCGACTCCGATTGGCTGAGGCGCGGGATCGCATAAATCTGCATGCTTAATAGATATATCAGACGTTAGACCGGAGACTGGGATCTGTGGACAACAGGTGATACTTAGATTAGCCCTTATAACACCTGCTAATGAAATTTTACATTTTTACAATTTTTTTTATATTCTCTTGTTTAACCCTAAAAGGGACGGGCTATTTTGATCATCTGTCAGCCGGGGGGGGGGGGGGGGGGGGGGGGGGGGGGGGGGGAATTCCGCCCCCCCCCCCCCCCCCCCCCCCCAAGATCTCAGCCATCTAGTGACGAAAAATTTTCAAACTCGGTACATGCATAGAACAACTATTCATGAACATACCCAAGAAATTTCATGACCATAGGTGCAAGGGTTTTGGAATTATGGCTAATTAATTATTCATATGTAATTTTGCTCTGTGTAGGCCTACACTACGTATATGGGGAGATTTAGTTTTCACGGCGCGCCGGAAAATTTTTCGCTCCGCTGTCAGGTTTTAAAGTTCGTGAAAAAGAATGTCAGATGGTCATATATCAGACATTTCCTTCACATATGTACACATTTCTTTCATCATTTGCAGACCTGGTTAAAATGGGAGCAAAAAAAAGTTATTTAAAGATGTTTGAAAATATTAATTTTGGCGATTACCCAACTATTTTGTTGGAAACAGTCATTTTGTAGATGTTTTGACTACTTTCGTTTACTTTCGTCTCCGCTTAACGTCAGAATTAAAACAAAATGGGAAAAAAGCGGCCTTTACAAATAACTTTGCTGTATGGCGGGGTGTTTAAAAATGGCCAAGTTGTGTTGGGTATAGGTACATGTACATGTACTGGTCAAATATCGTCATTTGTGCTATCGTGTTCGCCAAATCACTGAGGAATAAAACATTACTATGGAAATAATTCTCCAACGCATACAAACCGAAACCCAATATCGTTTTAGTGGAACACACGCTTACGAAAACAGCTAGCTATGCATCAACCATGTCGAAAAGCTTCTGAGTTTTCAAAAATGGACAGAATTTGATACCTCTCAATTTAATTTACATGAAATTGAGATGCATGGCTTACAATTTCGCAGTCGAAAGAAAATATAAAACCGAGGTCTTGTGAAACTCGAGTCCTGAATCGGGTCAAAACCACTGTTTCGTTCCGATTTTAAAAATGTAAAGCTCCAATTTGAGGTGTTTATGAAGAAGTTGTACAAATAAGCAAATCGACACAGATTGTAATGTGTATATTAAATGGCAGTACGCTTTTTTTTATACATGCAGGTAGAAAGGCACATTTCTAGTATAAAATAAGCACAGTTTTGTGTGTGTAATAAATAGTACGTGAAATAACACATGCCTGCAGTGATTTTCGAGTTCGATTTGTAGCATTGATTGATTTTCAAGATATGTACATGTAGATGGAAAAATAATCCCGTCTTTTATGAGCAAGAGATTTGGACGAAAACTTCAAAAGGCAACAGTGCTTCTATCGAACTGCATTCGTACTATGCCTACTTTAGGAAAGATGACATTTTAACATAATGAAAAGATAAATGTTTCAATGGATGAGCGTCTGATACAATGTGACAGCGTGTTAGTCTTAACCGCGTACGAGGGGGTAATAGTGTGAAAAACTATAAGACTGGGGGCAATATTATCTATTTGACTGGAGACTATCATCGATCATAGACACCATTACATCGTTCTTAATAGCTCCACGTACTGAGGCATGGAGTTTAAGCGAATGGATTTGAGAAGAAAAAAATAATAAAAACTACCACAGTCGTGCGAAATTATGGAACGCCTTGTCTTAACTTCGAATGTCAATGATTCAGATCTCAAAATGAAGGTGTCAACCGGATGGTTCCGTCGAGTGTGAAACATTAAAATCGCAGTTGATATCCCGAAATATTTGAATGCCTTAGTTGACCGCAGTTGATATCTCGAAATATTTTAATATGTTAGTTGACCGCGGTTGATAGCTCGAAATATTTTAACACTGCAGTTGATATCTCGAGATATATTTAATATGTTAGTTGACCGCGGTTAATAGCTCGAAATATTTTAACACTGCAGTTGATATCTCGAGACATGCATATTTAATATGTTAGTTGACCGCGGTTAATAGCTCGAAATATTTGTACACTGCAGTTGATATCTCGAGACATGCATATTTAATATGTTAGTTGACCGCGGTTGATAGCTCGAAATATTTGTACACTGCAGTTGATATCTCGAGACATGCATATTTAATATGTTAGTTGACCGCGGTTGATAGCTCGAAATATTTGTACACTGCAGTTGATATCTCGAGACATGCATATTCAATATGTTAGTTGACCGCGGTTAATAGCTCGAAATATTTTAACACTGCAGTTGATATCTCGAGATATATTATTATGTTAGTTGACCGCGGTTGATAGCTCGAAATAGTTTTACACTGCAGTTAATATCTGTATAGTTTCTTTTTCTAATAATCACCCTGCTACGCGAGCTATCTACACTACACATAATCCCAACAGGCGAATAACTGTTTTTCATGCAGGGTTATAAGTGCCGAGATCCCGCACAAAACCGGCTTCGTCTCCGCTCGGGCGTGAAGCATGTCATTTCCTGTTGACTACACAGATACCCCCAAGCGCATCATGCATCCACGAAGCCGTTTAAAGTGTTCATCTGTATAGTAATATAACAAATTCCTTATTTAAATTCTACGAAAGGATAAATTGCCGTCTTCGTATATCGAGAAAGATTTTGAAGTCCTCTCTTGCATAAACAACAACACCTTTCTGTGAGACATTTGGGAATGTCTGTCGATTGGAAAAATAAATCCACGGACGGGAATATTTTTAAGGAAATTAAAAACAGAACCCGTGTGTTATGCAAACGCGAAAACGAAAGGAGGATTTGTGTTATTGTATAATTCAGTACGTGGATTTATTTAATCGCCTAATTGAATGAAATCTTGGAATATGACGTCAGTGGAATTAATTAGTGTCCTAAAGCCGTAGGCCTAATGCTATCAAAGGTGTTTAAAAAACGAAAAGTACACTAATTAAAACCGTAATCCACCGGTTTAGGCCTATATGCATACAGTGTTTCTTTTTTTTAATCACTCGGGAAAAACAAAACGTTTCAGGGCCGTAATGCACTGAGCACAAGATGCATTTATGTAACTAGAGTTGAAGTTTTTTTACATAAAGTTTAGGTAAAAATCGGTCCCTTCTTGCTTCAAAAGGCAAAATGTCATACAGTTTGTTAAGAGGAGATGAATGTCGTATACACGTAGTTAAGATACCTTTTTTTTTAGAGCACAATTGGCCGAATTTTCTTAATAGCATTATATATTTTCTTGCGTACGTTAATTCGACATGCAGCTGAGGGTTTGGGTTTTTTTAAAGAAAAAGTTGGCTACCTGGGTGAAATTTTGTAAGGACCTTTTCTAAATTCCGTGTCACTGCCATACTGACTCAATCATTTCACCAAGTTTCTTGAATTCGGCATGGCAAAAGAGCACGGCGTTTGATTAGAACCATTCATCAGATCGGCAAATTTAATTCGGCACGGCACCGTCCCAATGGCTCGACAGGGCCTGCAGTGCTACTGCCGTTCCGAACGGCAGTTGTACGTTCCTGTTCCACCCCCCCCCCCTCCGAAGTCAATTTATTTAATACGAAGTTGGGGCGAATATTTCACGAATGAGAATGCTCACGGCAGCATCTCTATACATGTATATCGCGTCCGCAATGCCTGCTGTTAATTTGTCGTGAAGACGGCACAGAAACTGCAAGAAGCTCGGAGGTTATTTCAATAATCTCAATCATAAATTGGGTGCATTATTTGGACTTGTTAAGAGGAAAACTTGTGTTTTAGTAATTCAAAAACAGGGAAGCAAGTCCTGCGATTGCCTGATTTTATCCCCAACCCCCAATTGTAAATTCCTTTTAGCACCATAGTGATAGGCCTACATGACGTGTATTCCTTCCTACCTCAGATTTTAGGCAAAAATATCAGTGCCCACTTACATCCTTGCACTTATGAGCCTATACCAAGCAAACTATAGCAGCTCCGCGAAACACGTCAGGCAAACTGGTTTAGGCAGACACAAACTGATGTTTGCTCAACAAGAACATATATACTTCGCATAACTTTTTCTCAGCATCTGATAAAAGAAGTCCCCCGTTAAGAAACAAGTGAATGTAAGATTAAAGGGTATCAACAAAAACAAAATGATATACCGTCTGACAATATCAAACCTCCATTAGTCAGAACTATGAGGTCCCTCTAGAGGAGCGAGGGCCATTACAAAACTTCTGACCAGTAAAAACCAAACCGGAATGTTACATAACCGAAAATGCCACGGTCACCAAATGCGTAAGCACCAGCAACAGTCCACGTGGAAACGAACTCACGTTCACCCTTTAGGACCTACAGGTCAATTATTTTCATGATTTCACACAGGAAAATTAATCTTGTAGTTGACCACTCGGTATAAGAAATGATATTGCCACGTGTGTACTGGCCTTGGTAGGGTGTCCAGCACGGAAATTGATTGTACAATATGCAACTGACTTGTACTTAGCCACACCGCAGGCGAGCACAGTACACTGTTACGGGCAAGTTACAAAATTAAACTTTGCCAGTAATTTGCGCCATGTAACATCTGCCCTTGAAATGCCCAGCAGGCATTTCGTATCAAACAAATTCAATCTGCCTTTGATTTTTTTTTACATTTCATGTTTTCCCCGTTGGTACAAGTTATAATTATTTGCGTTTCCGAGGCGAGGTCGTGTATATAACAACGCATTATCGCCGCCGATGTGTCCGTAGTTTTCCGCGGCGAGTTGCAATTTCCTCCGGATGCGGATCAGGCGATCTCTCCGAGTCGATCGGATCTTCAGTGACGTCACTGCGGTCACATGACCCCGCATGCCTTTTGATTGACAACTCAAACACGTGCACGCACCTGGTACGTTTTGTAAGCGTTCTTGCGCGCGACAATCGGGCACAATCACTGTTACAAAATCGGAAGTTCACAACGCGTAGACCTATCTATTATAATTATATGATGTGTTTGATAAAACAAAATCGATGACAGTTTATTATCTTTAAAAAGTACATTCGCTTAACCTGGCGATTAGTCATTAATCATTTTGGTATCAAAGATGCCTTTCAGGCATGAGTTTTTCAGACTTTTGTCTGAAATCAGACTTTTTGAATATGAGAGAAAGACATTATCAGTTTAGAAAGAAATGCATCTTTCAGACCTTTCATCAAATTTTCAGACTTTTTTTAAATTGACAATTTCATCCCTGATTAATTAAAGCAGTGTTTCCATACGTGCGTCTGTTGCGTTTTTCAGTTTGGTTTATGAGAGCGTGCTGAGATTTCCCGTGCTGAGTTTACCTTCCCAGCAAAAGTGCAGAAGCGACCCTTCTATATAAACACACATAAATTAAAGTGAAATCAATCAATTTGCCGTACAGGTGTCCTTGTTTGTTAAACTGCATGCATAATAACATGAACCGAGTAGTAAAAATAGGGAATTGATTTTTTCCCCGCAGGGCAAATCAATAATTTATACCACAGAAAAATAGTTCACGGAATTATTGGAGATCGTGACTGCTCACAACTTAAGTCAGGCAATCCCTTCGTTCCCCAGTTTACATTAACATTGAATGGATTTCGGAGAAGTCAGAATTCAGAATTTCAATTGCGGCGCCACCATTGTGTGCCATAATCATCCAATCAACATTATTTTCATTCAGAGAGCCACTTCAACAAATCTGTTAACTCGCTGACTAGCCATCCGATCACAACAAAATAATAGTCAGTCGCCAACCAAGTCTCGAAATCTGCCAGCTGCGACCAACAGAATAATTAGTTATCCAGCTGATGGCCGAAAAAAGGCAGCAGCCATCTTGTCAGTAGTATGAAATATCAGGTCTGTGATTCAGCTAAATGAGCCAACAAGCAAGCATACAAGCCCAATATAGGCTGGTCAGATAACCAACCAGGTACTAGGTCAACCAATTACTGAACCCACCAAGTAGCCAGCCAGCTTGCCTGTCATCCAACCAGCCAGCCACTGCCAGCCAGATGGCCTGCCAGCAAGCGGCCACTCAACCAGCCAGCTTGCCAGCAATCAAGCCAGCAGCCAACCAGTCAGCCTGCCCGTGCCAGCCAGCCGCCAGCCACAACCAGCCAGACAGCCTGCCAGCAAGCGGCCAGTCAACCAACTAGCTTGCCAGCAAGCAAACCAGCGGCCAACCAGCCAGCCTGCCTGCCAGCCAGCTGCCAGCATATCTGCCAGCCAACCAGCCAGCAATCAACTAACTGGCAAGGCGGGTATCCAGCCTTCCTATCGGGTCAGACAGACAGCCAGCCAACCATCCATCGGGGAGCCAGCAAGCCTGCCTGTCAGCCAGCCTGCCTATCGACTAGCCAGCCAGCCATCCAGCCATCAAACTACCAGGCAGCCATCTGACCAGCCACTGACAGCCAGAGAGCCAGCCTGTCTGTCAGCCAGCCAGCCATCAGCCTGCCAGGCAACCAGCTAACCAGCCACTGACAGCCAGGGAGCCAGCCTGTCTGTCAGCCAGCTAGCCAGCCAGCCATCAGCCTGCCAGGCCGACCATTTAATCAGCCATCCAACGAGCCAGCCAGCAAGCCTGCCTGTCAGCCAGCCTGCCTGTCAACCAGCCAGCCATTAGCCTGCCAGCCAACAAGCCGGGCAGCCAGCGTGCCTGTCAGCCAGACAGCCAACCAACCATCCATCGGGGGAGCCAGCAAGCCTGCCTGTCAGCCAGCCTGCCTGTCGACCAGACAGCCAGCCAGCCATCCATCAGACTACCAGGCAACCAGCCACTGACAGCCAGGGAGCCAGCCTGTCTGTCAGCCAGCCAGCCAGCCATCAGCCTGCCAGGCAACCATTTAATCAACCAACCAGCCATCCAACGAGCCAGCCAGCAAGCCTGCCTGTCAGCCAGCCTGCCTGTCAACCAGCCAGCCATCAGCCTGCCAGCCAACCATTTTACCAGCCAACCAACAAGCCGGGCAGCCAGCCTGTCTGTCAGCCATCCAGCCAGCCATCAGCCTACCAGCCGACCAGATAGCCAACAAGCCGGGCAGCCAGCCTGCCTGTCAGCCAGCCAGCCGTTAAACGAACAAACAAATTAACTAACCAACCAAAAAGTATCCCGTTTCACATGCTCAAAAACGTAAACATTTCTCAGTATGACTATTCGAGTGAAATTTCGTATTGCAACCCTTATTCTAAGTACTTAATGAGAAACAATAATTAAACGGAAAGACCGCAAAACCGTTCTACGTAAACTGTTTGCACCAAAATATTTGTGAAAAATTTCAATAATACTCAAAGAGAGATATTACATTTTTTCCCTATTCGTAAACAATAGTTTAGTTAATAATTAATTTTAGTCCCAATAGATAAACGAAATAGGTCGATAATTAATTCCATACCAAACTGACATCCTGTCTAAAAAATAAAAAGAAGGAGGAGAGGGTATCTTTGCATTTTTACCCCAAAAGGTTTGAAAACAGGAAACGTGCTTTTTGTGTCACAAACAAATTGAACAATTTGGTTGCCCGTGCCTCTAAATGCTTGTTATTGTGTGTTCGCCATAACATCAAATAATTTCTAGGTGATGCTATTTTACCACGACTGTTAATGTTATACAATATTTAACGCAAGCATTTTCTTTTCAAACTGCTGCCGTGTTTCTGGGTCGCGTTATTGTATTCCAAACAAAAAACAAAATTAGCTTTCAAGCGTTATATTTTTGCTGGCTTGAATTTCTTTATGCAATGCGGTGCCGCCGTATTTCAGAAGCTCTATCGAAAAGCCAAGCCTTCGGGCTGGGAGTTTATAAACTTGTCGGTCCCAAGTGTCCCCAGTGCACTCAGAATGTAATCTCAGATGAGAGAAATAATGATTTAAGAGAAAAAAATTCTTAAATGGATACGAATAGACATTGGAGAGAAGTAGGGGAACAGTATTAGGCGTCCCCCATCCCCCCACAAAAAAATGTCTACTCGCCCCCAAGAGAGATGTTAGTTTGTTCCGTAGTACAACTAAGTATGCAACATCAACTGCGGACACGTACAATTTTAACTATTTTCGTTTCTGACATCGTTATTTTAACCTAAAAGTTCGGCACCACCCCCACCCCCCCCCCATTTTTCTGCCATTTTGCACACAAGTCATGCAAGAACAATATTCACAGACCCACTTCCTTGCAACCGACGATATTTTTCAATAGAATTTTGATAGCAGAAACGACGGCTCAAAAATTAAGGAGACAAAATTGTTTTCGTCAGAATTAGAAGTTATACCTTAGGGAGACACCGGACATTAGGGAAACGTTTCAATGTCTCCTTAATGTCACAACTCTAATTTAGAGGCAACATTTATTGCTAGACCGATTGCTGTATAGATAAATATACCAAAATTCGCGGGGGTATAGGATAAGGTAATATGTGGATTTTAGGGTCATGAAAATTTGAAATTCTTTGTGCACATTCCAATGGCAATGCCTCCTTCATGTACCATTCTCGGTAGAAATAATTTCATGATACTTTCGACTCAAACTTTACATTGTGCTTTTTCAATAATAAATAAGCCAATTTTGAACATTTTGTCGACATTTCGCATATAACTTTTTTAAAGAAAAAAAACCGAGGAACATATTACGTTGATGGAACTAACTTCACGCACCGCACCGATGCACACGTTCTCTGCAGATCGAGATATAAGTAATGAACGCACAATGCATGAGACGCCAATTCAATGGCGGGCAATTGAACTGAGCTTTTGGCTTCGGATATCGCTCAGTGGTTGCCTACCTAACCGTTGCCATGGTAACGGAGCGGACGAAGTTGACAATGTGCCCCGCGGGAAGGAGGGTAGGAGGGGGAAGTAGTCATGTTGTGCTATGGGGGTGGGGGACATGGATTGTCTCGCTATAGACTCATCCACACATCATGATAGGAAAAAATATCCCATGTCATAATGTGGTGATTACTTTCGCATCAGCAGTCGCATCGGTAACTCGGTATGACGATCAATGAGAAAAACGTTTCAAGACGAACGAGCTTCTAAGAAAGAGATTTCCGGTGTTATAAGCGGTCTTACATTTAAAATGCAGCAAATGCGGTATAATTTATGACGATCAATGAGAAAAACATTTCAAGACAAGCAAGCTTCTATAAGAAAGAGATTTCCGGTGTTATAAGCAGTCTTACGCATAATCAATGCTTTTCCAAATAAATCTATTCAATTTCGTGGATTGCTTCCTGCGCTGGTTGGGAAAAAACACTATATTTTGGACCGAATTGGCACTATTTGCACCGCGCTCTATTTATGCTCTGTAAACACTGTTGTGTATAGCTTTTCATCGTGGACTACGCGCAAAGGCTCACTGCGTTTCTGGCTTTCGAAAATCATCAGTTTGGAGCGAAATTTAAAGAAATATAATATCCTGCAACAAATACAATATATGTGCAGGCCTTTATACAATCTTTAAAAAGTGGTTTTAAGTGGCGCGCTCCAATTCAGAAATTGCGCACACTATTCAGAACGAATTGGGAGCGTCCCGCTCTTAATTAAACGAAAGTTGAAAGAAATTAATTAATTGATTACTTGTCGTGGGCGAGTTTGTCGTACAATGTCTCATTCGAAAAGTCGTGATTAATTTAATGCTAGAAAATTATCAATTCAATTTGAACAACTATTTTTTTCAAGGTGTGACACACCCAAAAAGCACGTATAACTTTAAATTTATTAAACAGAACCTATGTTTCTGGATGCCACGCTCAAAACGCACGGGCGGTATATCTTTAGGATGCTAATGGGTTCAACGTTTACTTCGGATACATTGCATGAAGACAATGATTAATTTACCAAATTGAAATTCATACCAGTAGATTGGAACAGGAGAATTGACTTTCTACATCGGCGTCCTACCGCCAGATTCAATTTTACTGCTTGATCAAACAATGTGAAGTGATTGGAATCTTAAATCATGGAGGCAGTGAAAGCCAGCTGTGCTTAAGATTTTAAGAGTAATTTCGTGATTGTACTGTGCTCTGGTTTTTTGGGGGTTTAATATCATATTGTTTGGTCCACTTTTGCAGAAATGTGGACATAAATTATCAATCTTAGGCTGCTTTCATTTACTTTAGTGTACAGGTGTCAGTCAGTCTTTAGGTCAATATTTCTTATCGGATTGCGTTGCTCTTGGGCAAGCGTCTTTTCAACAATTAATTTCTTGTAGGGTTCCTTTAATGCGTGTTATACTCTTTGAACTATTATGACAAAGAAGCACACAGCTGCCATTAGATGTCGGTTTTCAATGTTCAATTAGGGCTACAAATAACCGTGGACCATTTTTTAAATTCACAATTCCTTAAAAAAAAAAAAAGATGGAAGTTTCCGCGCCATTAGTTTCCATGGTGACGACGTAACCGTCAAATTTGGCAGGAAAGTAATCAGACTTAAACAAAAAAGCCACATGTTTTTAGTAACAATTATTGACTTGAAAAACTTAATGAAGGGTATCAAGCTGATAGCATAAACGTTCGGTTTGTTTTTCCAAATAGACTTCCAGGGTGTTCTGAAGAACTCGAAAAGCCCGCCAACGTTTTCTGTTATTGTCAAGAAATTTTGCTTTTCAAAGTACAAACGTTTATTTCTGCTCTCAGCAGCACTACGCGAATGCCGGATATTCCATACGTTCAAATGGGCTTTATGAAAATGTGTAGCGAGGTATCCAGGGACCCGGCCTGCTAAAAAGCACGTGAGGGTGAAAACAAAAAAAATCCATTTTCATATCGACGGTCGTGTCTAGTTGCCCCTGGGAACAAGTCACTGCATCCCCGAGGGACCGACGAATCGTGCCGGCCGGAGCGACCCATGCTCCCCGCATAATCAAAGCAGAAGCACGCTGTGTGTGCTCGCATCTGCGCTGCGCGGCATCGGAGCTGTAGCTCAACACAAGGCTAGGACCTTGTTATCAAATTACAAGCAGTGCTGACAAGGGATACGGATTTACAAGAGAGCTCGGCCAACACGACGAGGCGCGTCAATACAGGCCCAGGGAGCACTGAGGATAGAAGTGGTGTACGGAGCGGGGAGTTCAGTTTTTAATAAGGCTGTCATGCATTCACCCAACTCGCGTGCCAACTCCACACGGCATTCGGCAAGGATGATGCTGCTGGTTTGGTTGTGTGCAATCGTGACTTCAGGTACCGCAGCCACGCCCGGCGGGCCTCAACCGCTGGACGTGGTGGAACTGGGCAGGACGACCGAGGACGGGGAGGAGAAAGTTTCGGCAGCCGTGGAGCCCGGGGATGTGGTCTTGGGAGGACTGTTCATGATCCACCAGGCGGCTGAGGGAAACGGGTGCGGAGCCCTGGCCAGCCAGATGGGGCTACAGGCCCTGGAGACCATGCTATACACGGTGGATGTCATCAACAACTCCACCTTCCTGCCTGGATTTAAGCTGGGCGTACGGGCTTTGGATGACTGCAACCAAGAGTCCAAGTCCTTGGAGCGGTCGCTGGATTTCGTGCACCGGCCGGTGTGCGAGAACGACTCCGGCGTTGGGCAGGGACAGCACCAGGACAAGGGCTCAGACTCCGCCCACGTGGTGGGCGTGGTCGGATCCGCCTCCAGTTTGAATTCTATCACGGTGGCCAATTTGCTGAAACTGTTCAAGATTCCACAGGTGAGCTGGACTACTTATCAATATTTTCCCAATCCAAGTTTCAACAGGCTGCGGTGCTAGCTAATTCAAGGCTTGGCTATAAGCACTGAGGATAACCACTTTTAAACAAGAGTAGTCTGCCTAGAACAGCTAAAACAGAAACCCTCAACTTTCAGTCAGGACTCGGGGAGTCGGTCAGTCAGTCAGTGACTCAGTCAGACTGTCAGTGACTCGGGAGTCAGTCAGTAAGTGACTCAGTCGGTCTGTTGGTGACTCAGTCAATCTGTCAGTCAGTGACTCACTCAGTCTGTAAGTGACACGGGGAGTCTGTCAGTCAGTGACTCAGTCGGTCTGTCAGTGACTCGGGAGTCACTCAGTCAGTCTGTCACTCAGTCAGTCTGTCAGTGACTCAGAGTCTCAGACAGTCAGTCAGTGACTCAGTCTGTCTGCCAGTGACTCATTCAGTTTGTAGTGACTCGGGGAGTCAGTCGGTCGCTAGGGGAGTCAGTCAGTCATGCACTGGGGGAGTCAGTCTGTCAGTGACTCGGGGAGTCAGATAGTCAGTGACTTGGGAGTCACTCAGTCAGTCAGGGACTCAGTCTGTCTTCCAGTGACTCATTCAGTCTGTAGTGACTCAGTCAGTCATTCATTCAGGCTGTCTCTTCGGGTCCAAAAACTAAACCTTAACCTAAACCTTCCGTACAATAATTAAAAGCACCAAGTATAAGCTACCCAAGCTAAAGTTATTCCTTTTTGCACATCTATATTAATTTTGAGGCAATACAAATGCTCTACATTTAAATAGGGCAACCTATTGACGTTTCAGCTCATTGGATATTAATAAGTTTTGAGAAAGAATGAAGAAACCTGCACATTTTTTTTGCATCGTAACTAGACTCAGTTTTAAACGCGCGTAAAAAAATTTCGTGAGGGCAGACGTTTTTTTTTAAAAACCACGTTCAATTATTGTTTCCTTTAAACGATGCCATTACTGGCAGAATAATTTCTACAGGGTATTTTTGACAAGCCGTATCTAATTCACTTTGAGCAATGTTTTTCTCATCGGTACTAGGTACATTTCCCGGTAACACAAATGTTCCTAAGTCCTTCAAACGAACCCGAATTTCAACTTAAACAAAAAACCACCTCAAATATATACTTCACCTTCCCTTCCAGATATTGACATTATTTGAGTGCCGGAATCAATAATCATTGACTTCACTTTATCACAATTTTCCCCAAAACGCATCGGGTACAAAACGACGATTAATCATTGTCGCCGAGGTCCCCCCCCCCCCCTACACCGATGCACTCTATACATGACATATCACTTTCATTTGACAACCATTACTAGTGGTATGATAAACGAGAGTTCGGTGTTGTCAATTAATATTCTCCGAGAGATAGAGGCAGGGAGTGGGCGGGTCGTTCAGCATGTCTTACCCGAGACTGGTTAATATTTTTTCCGGTAGGCTCCCGGTAGGCCGGCCGGTTCTGTTTAATAAAAAAAATGTTAAAGTTGTCCTCCCCGTGAAAATAGACTTTGTTTTAGTTTTAAATTGCTGTTCTTTTCTAGCAATACGAAAGTTATCAACTTTGGAATGAGACACGAACAAAAAGCATCTTCCACTGTTTATTATTGTATGGATAAAATACTTTACGGATATCGATTTATTTGCGGCACGATAATAATTCAACTGTTTTGTTTATGGGTTCAAAAGCATCCCAAAATACTAGGCATATTTCAGAGGGTTTAAAACAAAGAAAATATAGAAAAAAAATTTAATATAATAATTTTTTCCGTTTAAATAAAACATACAAATTGAAAAGTTCGTTTAACAGGAGGGGAAAAAAATCTAATATGCTGCAAAGTAGAGAAACTTTAAATTTTCACATCAACTTCAAAGATTAATGAAAAATGTATATAAAAATAACCTCAAGTTTGGGTAAATTCGAGTAATTTTTTTTCCAACTTTTCGGAAATATTTTCCCTAACTCTAGAGATATTTGCAGTTGATGACGTTGACCAACGTTTTGTGAGAAGTTGAGCAACAATTGCCAAATATCACGAGTGAATGCTGGTTCGGGGAAGACAAATCTATAATCGTAAAATCTAAAGTTTTGTTATGTTCTTCAACAAGGTCAATTGAGGTTATTTTATAATAACAAACAAGTCTCACTGCATTTTAACTTGAGCCTTCAAGTCGGTCAAGGACAGTATCAACCCACAAGACAATTCAGGTTTTTAGGGTAATCGATATAGAGCATTGAAATATCTTCATATATTTTGCCAACCCATGGCTACGTCATTCTGACGTAATTAACAGAATAGAAAATACGGAAGGAGGTTTTTCATTATTTCCCTGGCAAAAGGATGTTAGCATGTTTTCAATTGATTATCAATGTAACAAAAGCTGTTCCCTCTAAAGTGCGGAGCCTGCAACGCAATGATTTAAACATGCCGCTTAAGCGCACATCTATAGCCAGGAAGAGTTCCCGGCAAAGGATCGTTAGCATGACAACGTAAATAACTTGAAAGCAAGTAATATTTTGAAGAAAAAAATGCACATTATTATTCAATTATGAGCACATGTCAGTAGTCAAAATTTCAGAGTTATGTGATTTTTAATTCAGAAATATGAGTACGAAAACCTTTAAACTCGGGAGTATCTCAAAAAGGGTTTGTTTTTGCGTGTCTATGCTCCTGACGTCCTTTTCACTGGCACACAACCTAATTAGATTTTAGTGTTTGTATGGTGTTCGAATACAAACAAAGTGTAATTACACTAATTAGGCCTACGTCATATCAAAAAGAACAACATAATAATTGACTTTAACAAATTGCATTTAGTGCCCAAAAGACGCTAAGGAATGAATTAATTTAATATGTTTCAACCGTAATCTTGTAATCAAAAAGTCAATCTCTGCAATTTCTGAAGAAAGTCTTGAAAACCCGCTGGCGGATTTTGCTCTTTTGCTTAAAACGCAAATATAAGGTTTTTTGAAGTTGTTTTTCGCCCTTTGAGGCTTGTTTCGCTGACCGATTTAGCGTAAAAAAAAATCGGATAATGGAGATCCGGAATTATCCTTTAAAATTTAATCCGATAGTTGCACTTTCGCCGTTGGCGGAACTTTTCTAAGTAAGTTATAGTTGTATATAAACCTGCTTTTGCTGAACGACAAATACATAATGCAATTTATATATCCAAAACTGATCTGCTGATCTTCATAAAAATCATCAAACTTATTTCAGCTAATAAAACCAGTGAATTACTGTCAATTACATTTTAACACAATGTACGACTAAAGCCCGGTTAATACTTCATGCGAAAGGGAATGCGAAGCGAATTTGACGTCATGAAACATTCGCTGCGAAATTCGCCCGAGTTGAAATGTGTTCAACTTTTACGAATTCGCAGCGCGAATGCTTGCCATGACGTCAAGAAATCGCGTTCGCTTTTGCTTTCGCGCCGAGTATGAGCCGGGCTTCACGACTTAATTTCACGGGATGACAAAATGTCAAATTTGTAATTTTTATTTTGTTGTAAATGTGATCACCTTGTTAGCCAAATACTTCACAAGTCGTTTTTGTGCACCAATAATTTCAGCTCATCTTGTTAAATACTGACGTTGTTGTGGAGTGTGGGTGGCTCTGAGGTATAGGTGTTAACCGCGTCATGAATAACGTGGGTCGGGGACCAGATCTCTTGGATGTTAATGCACGCAGCTGTTTGCTACCTTACCCCCGGGGGTCGTTAACCTCGTCCCCTGGGCCCTAGTCTCACCTCCCAACGCCCCTGCCCGTCCACGACTTGAGATCGCACGGGTGTTGGGTTCTCAATGCTTCCACCTTATTGACCACTGGATGAAGAGCTCCGTTCAAGAGTGTTATGACGCACAAGGTTGGAAATGTGTTTTTCGGCGGTAACTGCGCAATAACAGGAAATATGAACTCGTCAAATCAATGCCATGGCGGAACGCGATACACGCTCATTTTTCCACCGCCTTGAGTACGGTGACAGATATGAGACAAAAGGTATCAAAAAGCAAAAGACGCTTCGATCGCTTGCAGAAGCTTGGTATGAAATGTACACCGGTTACCTCCATTTTTAACCTTTTGCCTAAGAAAATACGAACGAAGGAAAGGAACTGATACTGATGCAGTCGTTTGATTACCCTGCTGTTACAGCTAGAGTATAGATGCACATGTTCATGAGCCGTGTCACGCATGTAAAACATAGCAAAAGTTATATAACTAGCAAAAGTTGTCTGCTGCCACCAAGAGTTTTCAAGGCCTCCATGATTCAACGTGGCAATGATATTGTTATACGCCCAACAATAGTAAGGCCACAATATAGTTGGGACTATCCCAACCGTCCCAACTGTAGTTGGGATGATGCTATAGTTGGAACCTAACAATATTCCCAATTACCTTAGATTGTGTTACAAAATATACTAAACCTAAAACATATTTCGTCAGATCTAGAGTCGTGTTACTCGCGAAAAAGACATTGCCTTGCAAGTTGCAAGCTAACACAAGACATCCCTAGAAAGTATATTAAAATTAGTATTTGTTTTAATGTTATTTACACTGAAAATGGGGTGTGAAGAAAAAAAGGTGATACACTGGATCTATTTTAAAAAAAATGTAACAGTTCATGGAAGACATGTTGATGACTGTCTGCTATGTAACATATTGTTATCATCTTGAAAGATTTCTACTCCTCTCGGCAACGTAAGTCCATTAACTCAAGGAGTAACTAGCCTTATTGTCACAGTTGTTGTGAGACAAGCTGAAGCCTTGCCCCTGCCCGATCATGTCAAGCAATGCTGTTTGTCAGCGGCTTCAGCCAGGCCAGCTATCAACTGAATAAATAGATCTCGGCGCGAAGACATTCACCTGGTTGTGCGCACGGTCAAGTCTGTTTATTATTGTATTTTTCCCCCTACTCGCTACGGATGGAGACGGCCGCTCTACTCACTCCGATCTCCTCAGATGTGACGGGAATTAATGAACAGTA